GCCATTCTCCCAGTTTGTGGTGACCACTTGTGAGGTGATAGAGAACCCAGAATTAGCCTGGCCTGTTCCCAGGGGAAATGCAGTGGGCAAATGAGAATCTGTGGCTGAATGTTCTCACCAACCAATTACTACCTAACCTTGCTTTATGAGTGTCTCTGCCTAAGAACACTTTATTTAATATCATTGATTGATTAATATCAAATTACAGGCAAGGGTGCTCTGACTCACCTGCTGTATGAGTGTGTTGGAAGAGGCCCTCTCCAATGTTCTGGGCTGAGGAACTGAGAGCACTCCAGGGCTGTCCCGGAAGGCATTTTAAACAGTGAACAGCCCCCACACACGCCAAGCAAAAACTACAAACAAGCAAAAAAGAGCTAAAAAATATCCCCAAACAAAAAACAACCCACAAAAATGTCAGCAGGGTCTCTACATAGGTCTTAAAAGGGATTCTTATTTACTATATAAGAAGCAAAAGCACGACAGGACTCCGGTCAAGCTCACCTGGAAATGTGCACCTTGGCCACTCAGGGTTTGAGGTTCAGTGAACATCCACAAATAACCAAGAAAGCCCTACAAGCACGGATTTGGCAGTGAGAAATCAATTTTAGCAACTAGCCAAATTCACAAATGCAAAACCTGTGAATAATGATGTTAGTGTGTGTGTGTGTGTGTGTGTGTGTGTGTGTGTGTGTGTTCAAGTCCATAAAATTTGAAGAGCAAAAATGAAAGGAGAATGCCTTGGAGGAAAAAATGTATAGGGAATGGGGCATGAACAGGGCATGCTGAAGAGCGGGGAGGACTCTCCAGCAGGGTGATGGAACGGTCATGGGGAGATGTGTGCAAGAAAAGAAGTGGAATCTGGCTGGAGGCAAAGAGGGGTGGTCAGGTGGAACTGAAAGGAGTTAGGCAGTTAGCCCCGGGGAGGAAGATTTATGGTGACTGGAAAGAAATCTGAAAAAGGCATTTAGGAGGGTGCTGGTAATGTTCTGTTTCTAATCTGGGAGCTGATTGCATCAGCAAGTTTATGTTATAAAGTTCAGTGAGCCACACATGATATACACACTTTTTATGAATGGGTCACGTGCTTCAGGGAAAATATTTTTGAAGTGTCATTGGCAAGAGGGTGATAAGGGAATTTCTCTGTTGCAAGCAAACATGTGGCCTGGTGATATCAAAGGACAAGGAAGGGCTCAGAGGATTGCTATCTCTCCACTGGAAAGTCAACAAAATGAGTAAAATACCAAGAACCTTGTCTATGGAAGTTCATGCCTTCCTTCACACACTACCCATTCATCCCACAACATGCTCAGACAGGGAATTATACTGACCAGGATTCCAAGACATGCCATCGACAAAAAAGTTGATATTGAAGTAAACTGATAATTATGCTCAGTGTGGTTAGTGCAGTCTCGAGGAGAACGATAAGGTATGAAAGAGGAACAGATTTGAGGGTACAGGACTCTGGACTCCAAAGTTCACAATGAGGTAATGCACATTGACAGATAAGGGTAGATATAATGATAAAACAGACTAATCTATTCAACTGAGACCAGTTGTCTTAGTAAAGGTAGAAGTCCCTGTGAATGACAGGAGGTCCCAAATGGCACTCACTCTTATACAAAGTGGAAATTTAAGTCCTGTGGAATTAGTGTTAACATCTCTGCTTGGAATTCATGGTTTGGGATGTTTTTGTTTTATTTTGTCTTTCAGAGACTGTCAGATACCCAAATGTGTACACTTTTCTTGTTGCTAGAATAAAATATAATGCTTGGAAGAACTTTCCAGAGCTGCATTCATTAACTATCCTGTGCTTCTTAAATCTCCTTTCCCTTCTCTAGAAACCCTTTCACCTCTTTATCTAAATACGTTAGTTTCTCAATCCAGGAATGAAAAAGAAAAAAATTTTAAAAAGGAGGAAAAGAAGGAAGAAAGGAAGGAAAGAAGGAAGAAGGAAAGGAGAGAAGGAGAGAGGGAAGGAGGAAGGAAGGGATGAAGGGAGGGAGGGAGGGAAGGAAGGGGAGAGAAGGGAGGAAGGAAAGAAGGGAGGGAGAAGGGAGAGAAGGAGGGAGGACGCAAGAAGGAAGGAAAAAGAAAGAAAAGAGAAAGGGAGGGAGGAAGAAACAAGGAAGAAGGAAGAAAAAATATAAAGCAAGAAAGAAAGAACAAAAAGAAAAAAGAGAGAAGGAAAGGGTGGGAGGGAAAGAGAAAAGAAAGGAAAGATGGAGGAAGGAAGGAGGGAGGGAAGAAGGGAAGGAAGAAAGGAAGGAAAAGAAAGAAAAGAAAGAAAAAGAAAGGAGGGAAAGAACAAAGGAAGAAAAAGAGATAGAATGAAATAAAGAGAGATAAAGAGAGGAAGGGAGAGAGGGACAGAGAAAGGAAGGAAGGGGGAGAAGAAAGAAAGAAGGAAACAAAGAAAGAAAGAAGGAATGAATGAATGAAGGATGGGAGGGAGGAGAAGAAAGAATGGAAGGAAGGAAGGAAGGAAGGAAGGAAGGAAGGAAGGAAGGAAGGGAAGGAGGAAGGGAGGGAGGAAGGGAGGAAGGAAGAGAAAAGCACTTCCTTAATGCCACAGTCCTTTGTTCTTCCTTTGCTTTTCACATTGGTCAATCCTCAATCTTGAGAGAATGTCTTAATTCCCTCCTCTTTTGTTGCTCAACTCACAGGTATCTGGCCTCCCCCTTCAGTGAAACCACAATGAACACAACCCCCATCTTCCTTACCCCCACCCATTGCATAATCCAAGCTCTGGTACTTCTTATTTTCCTGGCCCTCTAAGTTGCATTTGACATGGCTGATTGGCTCTTCCTAGTTTCACTAGTTCGTCTAACTGGCCCCCACCCCAACTTTCAAAATTATCTGTTTTGTTGAGGCATAATTGACCAAACTGTAAAATATTTAAAACTTACATCATGATTAGTTAATATATGCACACATACACGTATGCATATATGCATTGTGTGTATACATTTTGAGTGTATACATTGTAAAAGGATTCTCATATATCTGTCAGATAAAAGTAGTTTAAATTCTGACATGTTCCTAGCTTCCAACATGTTTCACAGCTCTGACTCAGGAGAAAGCTCTGAGCACTGGCAGGAGTGCCCCCCCTCACTTTTTATTTATTTTATTTAATTAATTAATTCAATTTTTTTTCTCTTTGGGTTACACCTGGCAATGCACAGGGGTTACTCCTGGCTCTGCACTCAGGAATTACCCCTAGCAGTGCTCAGGGGGACCATATGGGATGCTGGGAATCAAACCCGGGTTGTGTGCAAGGCAAACACCCTACCCGCTGTGCTATTGCTCCAGTTCCTATACCCTCTCTTTTTGTTTTTATGTTGCTATTTTGTTGTCGATGGGAGTGGAGTGGGGTGGAGTGGGGAGGCACTCCTGCCAGTGCTCAGAGCTTTCTCCTGAGTCAGAGTTCAGGGATCACTCCTGCAGTGCTCAGGACCATATGAAATGCCAGGGATTGGACCAGGGTCAGATTCAAGGCAAGCACTTTAAACCCTGTACTATCTTTCTCGACACATACCCTTTCTTTGGGCTAAGCTTATTTTACTATACTATTGGATGCTCTCCAATCTTCCTGAAATTTCCCCAGAGCTAGGACTGGAAGATTCGAAGTGACTAAGGGACATTTCCACTTTGACTCCAGGTGTCCAAAATTGAATTGAGCTCAATCCCACTCTCTTCACATAGTCTTTGTCTTTGGTTAATGACTCCCCAGCCTCTGCCAAAAATCTGAGAACCCCTTTTTAACATGGGAATCCACTTATCTCCTAAGTACTGCTTCTTCTTCCCTTTATCATAATAGTTTCCTGCCTTTGAGTTTGATAAGTCTCTGCAGACCACCAGCATTCTCTTAATTACATGAATCTTGATCTTGGTGCTCCTCCCACTTAAACTCAGTGGGTGCCCCTGCCAGAGTTAACAGTCTTACTATTTTCTTTGAGACCTGGCATCTTGCAAAGTTAACTTCTGAGGTGCGTTCATAAAGGTGAATCATCTTTCAGCCCTCCTTATACTCCCTCCGGTAGGGATCCAGACCTCAGCCACCTGTTCCAGTTCTGATTCCAATGTTGCAGGCAATTATATACATCTACATATAATAAAATTCTCTCCTTACCAGAAATAGAAGTATATACATCCATATTTTTAAAATGTTTACTAAGTTTCTAAAATGATAACTAACATATATCTCATATATATAACTGATATATATATATACACAGATACAGATACATAGACACACTGACACACCGACACACACACACACACACACACACACACACATATTAAAAAGGACAAAAAAAAAGACTAAGGGAACATTTGTTTAGTAAATTTTCTTGTGCTGGGTTGGCATCAAGACAGGAAAGCAACAAAACAACTTTTAAAAGTAAATTTTATATAGCACACTTGACGGTTCTTTTTGAGGGCTCCTGTGAGACACTTTTCATTTTCAGATGACTGAACTCAAAAAGAAAAAAAAAAAAAGCTATCGTGCCTCCCCGTCGGGGAATCGAACCCCGGTCTCCCGCGTGACAGGCGGGGATACTCACCACTATACTAACGAGGAACTGCACGAGAGCCGGTGTTCAAATAAGTCTCTTATCCTGTTTCAGCCCGCTCCGCCCATCCTATCATTAGCCACCAATAGGTATTCCGTTTTTTTCGTCTCGCCTTTGCAGCTTCCGCCCAAGTTGCGGTGAGCGCACTCGGTTTGACCAGCCCGCGCCGCTTCTCACTTCCTAGCGCCCACCTTCCTCTAACTGCCGGGTCCCATTCCCCTCCCTCCTGCCCCCTCCCCAGCTCAAGGAGCCCCCTCCAGCCCGCTCAGCACAGCTCGGTACACACTCTCCCAGGGAGCATCGCGCGCACTTCGTCGCACTGCACCCTGGGAATTGTAGTTCCAGCTCCCCGCACTCCTCTCTCCTCCGACTTGCACGAACTCCTCTTCCCGACGGGCATTGCGAACTCCTCCTCTTCTTTACCCCTTCCCTCCTTTGCTCGGTCTCAGTCGAGTTGTCTGGCAGCGCCAGCGTTAGGGTATCCATCGCTATACGGCGGGAATCCTCAGAGCCATGCCCGAGGTCGTGGATTCGTGCTCCTTGGCCTCTCCGGCATCCGTTTGCCAGACCAAGCACCTGCACCTACGCTGCAGCGTCGACTTCACGCGCCGGGCGTTGACCGGGACCGCAACCCTCACGCTCCAGTCCCAGGAGGATAATCTGCGCAGCCTGGTACGGTGGCACGAGCCCCCCGCCCCGTGGCCGCCTCTCGACCCTTTCGCCCACGGCGGCCCCAACCCAGCCCCCGTCTGCTGCGCGCACACCTTGGGGGCGCCTCCGCCGCCCGCACCCTTTATTCTGCACCCCCTCTTTAGCCCGCGCTCACTTACATCGCCCCCTCTGCATCCCAGGACCTATCTGCCTCCCTCCCGGACCCCTCTGCCTAGTGTTTAAAGGGCTTCCCGCCTCCCCAGTCCCCGTGCGCTCCCGGGCGCCCCTTCCAAGCCCAGCGCTCGGGTTTCAGGTTGACTTGAGTCCCCCCCACCCCCAACCCAACCCTCCTTTCGTATAATCCTCGTTCCCAGCTCTGATTCCCCCTGTGGGCTCCTCGTTTCCTCGACCCGTTTCCTCGGCCCGCAGCCCAGAAACTCCGTCCTCGGGCCCCACTGTTTCTTCCAGTCCCCAGTGCACTTTCCTCGGGCCGTTCGCTCATCCTAGCCCTGACCCCATCGCCAGCTGCCTCCCGGTGCCACCCTTTCTTGACGGGCAATTATTATTTCGGCCCGCAGGTTTGCAGCCCACGAAGCGCAGGTCATCCTCTTGCACGATCCGGGTCCCCAGTCCCTTGAGTCCCAGCCTTGCACCCCTCTGCGCGCCCTGCCTTGCCTCGACACCTCCAATCTCTGCTGTCCGATTCTGTCCCGGCCCCCGTCTTTCCTATATTTTTGATTCTTCACCCAGCTTCTGTACTTTCAGTGCTGTTCTGGGCCATTCAGGTTTCTGAAAGATGTTTTAAAGACAATGTTGCAAGACGTTATTACCTGGCAATTTAAGAGTATCTCGTTCTCCAGCCCTCTGGCATACAAATGATGAAAAGCTTTAGATTCACAGATTGTTAATTATATATTTTTTAAAAACGTGCCCAACATGACCTGTTTTCCGTGTTCTTACTCAATTTGTTTGATAGTATTGGAACTGTACTTGAATAGTTTCATAAGTGAATGAATGTTTTAGACACTTAAAGGGGATCTTAAAGACCTCAACAATGTAGTTTCATGAATAGTTCATCTCAAACACAGCCCTAAGCAACTTTGATGTAGGCCGGATGGAAAGAAATGAGTATGGTCCATTACTTGGACATAAGAAGACTATATGAGAATTGATAGTTTTCATGGCTCCTCTTGCTGTGAAATAGTCCTGTATTTTGAGTTGACTGATAGGAACTAATATAACACTTTCTCACTCTTAACATTTTGCTAGGCTAATTCTGAATTAAAAATTATTTAAACACTTCCAAGTAAGTTTGTACAAAAGAGCTATATAGAAGAAAGTTAAGACTAGAATAAATAAGATAACTGTAAGAAGGAGATAACTATTTCCTTATAGATTGTACTTTGATCTGCCTTAGTAATGGTGCTATCTTTTATTAAAACATTACCTAGGCAGAATTGCTGAACCAAAGTCCTGTTTCGATGTAGTTCTCTATTTAGTTATTTATTTTGTATTTGGGGGTTACACCCAGCAGTGCTCAGGGCCAAGTCCTGCCTCTGGGCTCAAGGATCCTTCCTTAGTGGTGCTGGGGGCCAGGGCTGTATGTCTCTTGCAAGGCAAGCCATCTGCCCACTATCAAGCCCCTATCCTCCTTTTATTAAAAGAAAGTGACTTTTGGTTGCTTATCATTGTTCATGATAAGCAATCTCGAACTGCTCAGTAAAATGAAAGCTTTACCTCTAGCCCACAAGTCAGCAAGACTCAAGATGTTAAAATCTGCTGTGTTGGAAGTCTGAGAAGAGGGGGAGGGGGAGGGGGAGGAGGGAGGGAGGGAGGGAGAGGATGCCTCTCCAAAGTTCTAGTTGAAAACTCTGCCCATTGTTTTGCATTCCCCAAATCTCTAGAGAAGATTTCTAAGTTCTGGTTTCTGGTTGGGATGTCTGTTTAGTAAATTAAGCCTGGAAGTATAATGTTCGATTTTATACAAGGGAGGCTAATTGTACAGGGACATCTGTTTTCAATTGCTCGCTTATTTATCATGATATTCGGAGGCCAGCAGTTTGGTTTTTTTATATTTAAAGGTAGCTGATTGTTTTCCTCCACTAGAATGTTGAGTCTTGAAGGCAGGAATATGTTTTGGGAATTTGTTTCCCAAGTTCTTAATATCTGGTATGTAGCAAACACTTAAAAGTTTGAATTAATGGATGAATTTAACCAGGAAGCAGTGACTAACAAAAAAACGCACAAACTTCTTCTGAGCTGTACTGCATCCAGTGGGAGCTGTCTGGAATGGGATTTGGCATTAGCCCTTACCTACCTATTGAGAGGACTTCTGGGTAGGGATGAGGTGCATTCCTTTTCTCTTCTTGGAATTCCTGATACTGGGGACTGTTGAATGAGCTCTGCACTGCTCTGTCCTCCCGTTGTTCATCGATTTGCTCGAGCGGGCCCAGTAACGTCTCCATTGTGAGACTTGTTGTTACTGTGTTTGGCATATTGAATACGTCACGGGTAACTTGCCAGGCTTTGCCGGTCGGGCGAGAGATGCCCGGTAGCTTGCTGGGCTCTCCAAAAGGACGGAGGAATCAAACCTGGCTCAGCCGGGCTGGCCACATGCAAGGCAAACACCCTACTGCTGTGCTATCGCTCTAGCCTAATAGAACAAAATCCTAGTTTTTCCAAAATCCTTTTTTTTTTCTTTTTGGGTCACACCCAGCGATGCCCAGGAGTTACTCCTGGATCTGTACTCAGGGATTACTCCTGGAGGTACTTAGGAAATCATATGGGCTGCCAGAGATCGAATCTGGATTGATTATATGCAAGACAAATGCTCTGCCCACTGTACTATCGCTCAGGGCCCTCTAGAAATCTTTTTTAAAGGTGTTGAGTTATGGGCACTGAAGTTTAGTACTCCTTTAGTACTCATACTTTTCAAACTTTTGTTTCTTTGATTAAAATGCTTAATTCTTAGACATTCCTTCAGTTTGTGGCTCAAAGAGGTTTTCATATCTTGATCAAGATCACATACTGTTTGGTGGCAAAAGCCAGGAATTCACATTTTGGTTTTTGGGTTACCCCTGATAGTGCTCAGGGGTTACTCCTGGCTCTGCTCACCAGTTCCTCCCTGTGGTGCTCTGGGGTCCACCGTCTTTGGTGCTGGTGTGGAATAAGTACCTCCTGCCTGCACTCAGGTCATTGAGCTTTCTCTCCAGTCCCACACCAGGAACTGAACAGAATCATCAATGACCCCAAAAGGGAGTCAAGTCAGAACATTATCATTAATTAAAACAGGAAAGAGCAGAACAGATACCAGAGTGGGCAGAAGGATAAAATACAGTTAAAAAATAAGATGGGAAGCTTGTTTAGAAATTGTTTTGTGGCGTATGAAGATTGAAGATTCTAAAGGAGTTCAATTGAAAGTGAATACAAAGTGCAGTTTTTCGAGCTTAGATGGATGGTTGAGTATGACTGGCACTCTGGTACTTGGAGTGTCACTTCCTTTTTGTCCAGACAACTTCCCTTATTTGGCAATGGCAAGAACTACCCTCCTAAGCATAGTCTATGAGTCACATGGTCAAACTTGGTATACCAGAGCATGTTTTCTAGCATCAAACCAGCAGCACTATAAAGTCCGCTTACCAAAGCGCCATGGTTTGTTTTCAGATGCATGACAATAACGCAGGGGTTGGGTTCTATGAGTCTATCAAGAAATATAGGGTGAGTTGAACTAAGGAGTTAATGAGGAAATAAACAACCGATGAGTGTTTTTCATAGGAGAAACGTTTGGGTATTAGAAGCAAAGGCATTTTAATTTTGATTGATTGTTACTTAACTTAGGGCAGGAGCGATAGCACAGCGGGTAGGGCGTTTGCCTTACACGCGGCCAACATGGCCGACCCGAGTTTGATTCCTCCGCCCCTCTCGGAGAGCCCGGCAAGCTACCGAGAGTATTCGATATGCCAAACACAGTAACAACAAAAGTCTCCAATGGAGATGTTACTGGGCCCGCTCGAGCAAATCGACGATCAACGGGAGGGCCTTTTTTCACTTAAAGTCCCACAGTTTTTGTGACTCTCCCAGAGTTATGTTACTGTTACTGGGCCTGCTCCCAGAGTCTCACAATGTACATACAAATCTTAGAAAATAAACATTTTCAAGTGGTTTAGAATCCCAAGAGAGGGGACTTAAACCAAAGCTTATTTGGTTTCATTGCTGCCATTGTCGTCTGTATCTTACTCTCCAAAGGCGATTAGTTCTACTCTATGGTCATTGTAGTCAACCTTGATTTAACTCTAGTTTTCTTTGGTATATGGAACTCTTTTCTTACCATCCCAAAAATATTTATTTCATTTTAGGTTTTGGATACAAAGGACCTGACAATAGAGAAAGCGGTCATCAATGGACAAGAAGTCAAATATACTCTTGGCGAGAGCCAAGGCTACAAAGGCTCACCGATGGAAATCTCCCTTCCTATTGCTCTGTGCAAGTACGAATGTTCTCTATCATCTTTCTCCATTAATAATAACTTATTGGGGAACTCTTTTAAAATTCATTTTGGCATTTTATCCCTTCCTTTTACTTCTGAGTGTGTAGTAATTGGTATGTTATTCCTATTGAGCTCTGTTCAGATTGCATTTACAGTGAAAGCTTTATGTTCTTACTCTACCATAAATTCATCGTATGAAGATTTGAGACTTTGGATCACTGTTACTTCTCCTAGTTTTACTAATATTTAGAATTATGAGGGCACTGTGTCATTTCAGGATTGTCTAGAAAGCTTTTACCAGCTACATATTTTTTACCTTCTTTCTTCCTTGGGGCTAATCACTTTCAATTTTTGACTTTTTATAATTTTTTTTGGGGGGGTGGGCTTGGGCACCACACTGACTGTGCTCAGAATTTACTCTTTGGTAAGATGCTCAGTAGGACCTTATCTGATGTGGGGGATCGAATCTGGAACCCAGGGTTAGTCATGTGCAAGGCAAGTGTTTCATTCACTGTACAATCTCTCTGACCCTAGTTACTTTTATCTAATAGAATAATAGTGATGGCAGGGGCTAGAGATAGAGTATAGCCTGTGGAGTTCACACCTTGTATGTGGCCATCCTGGGTTTGTTCACTGATAGCCCATACTGTCCCCTGAGCCCCAGCAGGAATGAGGCCTGAGTGCTGAACCTAGAGTTAGCCCTGAGCACAGGGCTTTGGGCCGGGTATGGCCCAAAGCTCTCCAAATAAATAAATGAAAAAGTATGATAAGTATAAGAAAAAAAGAATAGCAATAGTAAACGTAGAATCTTTTCTATGTAACAATTTTGAAAAAGCTGCTTGAGATATATTCTGTCATCCAGTCCTTCTCATAATCCCATATATGGTATGACGTGCAATTTACAGATGAGACAAGGATCCTCTGATAAATTAGTAATGAGTTCAAAATAGTGGCAACTAGAATTGTCCTATTTGGAGTGCCTGAAACAAGGCTGACCTATTTTTTTTAAGTGCTCATAGTTTCATCTCTCTCTCTCTCTTTCTCTCTCTCTCTCTCTCTCTCTCTCTCTCTCTCTCTCTCTCTCTCTCCCTCCCCCCCTCCTCCCCACCCCCTGCCTCCCCCGGGCTTGAATCTAGTTGAATCTGGGCCTCACACATCTGCAGCCCCCTTCTCTTCCTCTTAAGAAAGAGAAAGCAGGGGCTGAAGATAAAGTTCAAAGGTATAACATCTAACTTAGAGTGCTCCTTTTTCAATCCCTGGTTCCCCAAGCACTGCCAGGAGTGGATCCCCCTAAAAGAGAGAAAAATAAGAAAATGTGGCATTTACACACACTGGAATACTGTTCAGCTACTTTTAAAAAAAGATGAAATGTTGCCATTTACAACAATATGAATAGATGTAGAGATACTATTTTTAAGCCAATTGGAGAAAGACAGTCTCTGCATTATTTCACTTACATGTGGAATATATATATATATATATATATATATATATATATATGTATCTAAAAAAACAGGATGAACTAAGTCAAGTGAAAATACATTTTTAGACTTTTTGTGGTTACCAGAAGAGAAGTGGGGAAGGGTAGATAAACAGAACAGAGACCAGCTGCTATAAAGTACAGAACTGGACTTTCAGAGATATAGTATATATGCTAATGGTCAGTGACACACACCAGAAATATATAATGTTATTGTGCATCTTCAGTATAAAAGGAAAAAGAAAGAATGCAAACCTCCAAATGTTATCAGATGTAAAAATCTATGGCATAGGAAATATTTCCCCAAGTACATAGAGCCTGTTGATATTTGGGATTCAAACACTGGTCTCTTGAGTGTCATTGGTCTCCAAAGCTCTGGATGGTTCCTCATTCTTAGTATTGCTCAATTCCTCAGACTCTCGGGGGTGGGGGATGGAGGGGGGGATGGACTGCTTTTATTATTTCCTGACTGATCCTTTAATAAAGTGCATTAAAAAATATAACTAAGAGATAAAACACATTTTTTTTAAAAAATCATAGATTCAGTGGACATAAAATGACTCAAAGTTTACTTAAAACTTTGCTTAAAAAGTTTCAGATGTTTCTAAAAATTCAATTTCTTGACTTACCTTGTCTAGTAAGTTTGCTGACAGGCAGGGCTCTGGATTAAACCCCGGCACTCACTGCCAGGGCTAACATTTCTAGTTTCCTAAGATCATAAAAAGATGGAACTATCTCATGAGTGTGCTATGCCTCTGTCGGTCTGATTGTCCCTTCACCTTCATCAGCATGGAAGAGTGAACATGACTCCTGAACTGGCATCACGGGAGGAGAATGAGGCAAACTCCTTCATTCGATGTGATCTGACAATAGTTCACTCTTTATTGTAACAAGCCCTAATGAAACATTTTTTGTATTATTCAGTGCCCTAATGTGAATTTAGATTATAGTCAAATTGCATTAGATTCTACTGACACATTGGTTTGTTTTCCACAGAAACCAAGAAGTCACCATCGAAATTTCCTTTGAGACTTCACCACAGTCTTCTGCTCTTCAGTGGCTCACTCCAGAACAGACTTCAGGGAAGCAGCACCCTTATCTCTTTAGTCAGTGCCAGGTAAAAAAAAAAAGGTGGCAGGGGGGCAGGATTTACTCTGTAGAAAAATTCTACAACAGGCAGGTTAATGAAGCAAAGTGAGACGGAGACTTATGGATGTGTGGGTCTTACCAACTGACATTAATATAGTTATGGTATTTAAAAAAGGAAACTTTGCAGGGCAGGAGTGATAGAATAATTGGGTAGGGCATTTGCCTTGCACAGGGCTAACCCAGGCTCAATCGTTGGCACCAAATACAGTTCCTCAAGCCCCATCAGGGCTGATCCCTGAGTGCAGAGCCAGGGGTAAGCCCGAGTACATCTGGGTGTAGCCAAAATAAAACAAAACAAAACATAACAAAAAAGGAAAAAAGAAACTTTTTGGGAGCTTGATTTTGGCACTCCAAGGATCTGAACACTGCCTGAACATTGCCAGGAATGATTCCCAGGCACAGAACTGGGAGTAACAAAGTTTTGGGTATGGCTCAGAAAACACCAAAATAAAATAAGTATGTTAAAAAGCAAACCAGTTTTGGTAAGAGTGACTGTATAGTGGGCAAGGTGCTTGCCTTTTGTACAGTTGACTTGGATTCAGTCCTTCACGCCATGTGTGATTCCTGAAGCCTGCCAGGAGTGATCCCTGAGTACAGAGCCAGGAGTCAGTCCTGAGCACTGCTGGGTGTGCTCCCCCATCCCCCTAACAAAATAAATGAAAAACAAATAACTTTTTTTCTTTCCCCACCCCCTATGACCCCACCTGACAGTGCTCATTGCTCCTGGTTGTGCGTGGGGTCCTGGTTGCTCAGGATGGCCAGTTGACCGATCTCTATGTCCCCAAGAAACTTTCTTTAATGTGAACTCATTAATTGGACTTTCTAGGTCATATTTATAGTTCTGTCCCCAGTCCCATAGAATTTGGCATAACGTAGGCACTTAGTAAATGGACATAAAGTGAGAGGAAAACAAAATTGCTTTATAGACTGGCTACAGAAACTGTCTACAGTAGGAAGGAAGTGGAATCTAAGATTTCTCAATATTCTTCAGACCTCATTGCTTAGAGAGTTTCACCATGGAGTTTATTGTGTAACTTTTTTAGACTTTTTCTGCTCATTTGCAAATATATGCTGTGTAAATATATAATATATATATATGTATATATATATATATTTCCCTCTCAGAGAGCCCAGCAAGCTACTGGGAGTATCGTGCCCACACGGCAGAGCCTGGCAAGCTACCCATGGCATATCCAATATGCCAAAAACAGTAACAATAATGGGTCTCATTCCCCTGACCCTGAAAGAGCCTCCAATACAGCAGTGATGGGAAAGACGAGTAAGAAGGGGCCGCTAAAATCTCAGGGCTGGGACGAATGGAGACATTATTGGTGCCTGCTCGAGTAAATCGATGAACAATGGGATGACAGTGATACAGTGATGCTATGTAAATACCTTCAGAATTATTTAATCTACTGCTTTCCCTTTATTTCATGGTTTTGGAGTTACATCTGATAAAACTCAAGAGTTACTCCTGGCTCTGCATTCAGGAATTACTCCTTATGGTGCTCAGGGGACATATGGGATGTTGGATATCAAACCTAGGGTGGCCGGGCGCAAGACAAGAACCCTACCTGCTGTACTATTGCTCCCCTACTTCTTTACTTTTGAATTGATTTGAGTTACTTCTGTTTTCAGTTTATAAGCCAAGAATAAAGAAGCATGTAATAAGAGACAATTTATCATAAGGATGATAGATATCATTTCTAGAAGGGAAAACCTAATTATGTTTGTAATCAGATTGTTTACAATTACGAGAACTCACCTTATCTAACATTTACTATTAATATTAATTACAGGAACTCATCTTCTTAGTATTTATTTCTTCACATTGTAGTGGGTGTTTTTTGTATTTGGTACTATGTTAGGAACTTTGGGTTTTTTTTTTTTTTTTTTTTGCTTTTTGGGTCACATCCGGCAATGCTCAGGGGTTACTCCTGGCTCATGCACTCAGGAATTGCTCCTGGCGGTGCTCAGGGGACCATCTGGGGTACCGGGAATTGAACCTGTGTGGGTCATGTTGGCTGCATGCAAGGCAAACGCCCCACCCTCTGCTCTATCGCTCCAGCCCAGGAACTTTGTATTTTTAATCGTCTAAATATTCCTTTGTAATAGATAATATGTTAGTCTCAAATGTGAATACAAGACTAAAAAAAAGAATCAATGATGACATACCAAATAGGTAGTAAATAAGAATATTGTTTTGTTGTCTTTCTAAGAACTCTTAGCTAAGAACTCTTAGCTTAATAATATGACAGAAATAGGTTTAAGCAAGAAATTACAAATTGTAGGCTCTTTTAGGAATATCTGTTATCTAATCAGTATTTTTAATAGTATGTTCATTATCTAAAGTTGGCCAAAAAATGTAAAATTTGTGAGTCATAGAAATACAAATTTTGAATATATTGCTCCATTTCTTATTGATATGTTTGAGATACAGAAGAGAAATTTCAGCTGAATTCAGAAATATCTGCAGTAGGTAAGAAATACAGGAACTGTGAATGTGTGCCAATAACAAAGCTTATGGCTTGCATTCAGGAAACCTAGTTTAAAACACCAGGCTCACAAAAAAGGAGGGAAGGGAGGGGCAGAGGGAGGAGAAAAAAGAAACATGTAGATATGACCAAGTTTTGTTTGATGAACATGCTTGTGGTTTTTCCTCTATGAATATTTGCTTGGTTTGATCTTATTTAGGCATATTAGCTGCCTTAAAGCTCTGAAAAGACCTACAGTGAAGAACACAATTTGACTTCTCACTGGCTTTCACAACCTCACCCCCCACCCACACACAACATTACTGTTTCACTTAACTCAAGACCCTTAAGCAACTATAAAGGCAAGGTCTTGGACTCCTATCTTGGGAGAAAGAACCATAAAGAGACCAGGAATGGGATAGAAGTTGGTGTTTTGGGGGGAGGAAGGGAACGCGCAGGGTAGTAAGAAGAGCAAATGGTTGGTAATAGTGTTTTGCACTGCTCCACTAAAACGGTCATCAGAAGTTATTTCTGGTAAAAATTTCTCCTCTCACAAGGGCCGTATCTAAATTCTTCCAGATAGTTAAAAGAGAGGGTGAGGTTTGTCTCTGAAACTGTTGGGTCATAATTAATTACCTTTAGCTCAAAAATAACACTTAGGAAAAAATGGCCCATTTCAGGGAGTTGTGTTCCAAATCTCTTCATGAAGAATCAGTGTACGCTTAGTTATACTAAAACAAAAACAAAAAAAGACGCCAGAATTTCTCCCTAATTTTTACTTTTCAAGTTTGTTGCAGATTGACGTTTCAGGGATTCTAGCAAATGCTTTCCTCTAGCTAGGTTCATTAGGCACTAGTAGCTAATCAGAGAAAAGAAAAATTATTTCTTGTGAAAGCCAGTGAGAAATCAAATTGTGTTCTTCACCGTAGGTCTTTTCAGAGCTTTTAGGCAGCTAATGTGCCTACTCTCACACCCAAACTGCAATCTACTCTCCCCTGGTTCTTGCATTTATTTCACCAAAGAGCCATTCCTCCTCAGGGTCCCCAAAAACCTTTCACCGTGCACTGCAAATGCTCAGCACATAGAATGGGAAGCACTAACTTGGCTTCAACTGAAGCATGAGGGTTGCTGGGACATTACAATTGGAAAGTGAGGGGTCCAAGAAATAGCACTGCAGGTAGGGTGCTTGCCTTGCCTGTGCCCCAACTCAGGTTTGAACCTCAGCCTCCCATATGGTCCCCCAACTTTGCCAGGAAAGTCATATTTTTTTTAAGCCACGATTCTATTTTCGCTCATATCAGGGATCCCATGAAATGTGAGACATTTTCATTTTTAAAAAGAATGATTTGGGGATGTGGCTGGTGATAAAGCACAAGCTTTATGTATATAAGGCTCCAAGTTCAATTCCTGGCACCACAAAAAAAAAAAAACATAAAGAATGTGTCAAAGAACAATGCGACAATTTTAATTTCATAATGCCTTGGTGTTGAGGAAGGAGGAATAACTTTCTTTTCTTTCCTGTCCCCTCCTTTGCAGGCCATCCACTGCAGAGCAATTCTTCCTTGCCAGGACACTCCTTCTGTGAAATTAACCTACAGTGCAGAGGTAAATATCACAAAATTTTAACTGGATCAAACAATCTAATTTTACTTACTTACTGATTGATTTGGAGCTGGTGCTCATCCTCGGCTCCGTACCTCTAAAGAACTAGTGCCATGGCCCTAGGTAAGTCCTATGACTTCACAACCCTAATTGTCTCACTGCCTAAAGAAAGAAGTGAAACCATGTGATTACCACATGATTTCCTGCAGGCTTTATCCCACCACTGCCAGGATCTGAGGCCGCTATCACATTTGGTCCTGAACTCCTGATGGAGGGACAGCTTGGAGCCCTGGCCCAGGCACGAGCAGGGGAGTGTGGCACTCACTGGAGAATGCTTGCTAAAACACAGACCTTCTGGGATAGTCATTGATTCTGGCATTTATTTGAAATGCTAGTTTCAGAGTCACGGGTGGAGGGTGATACTGGAATGACTTTGCCCCCAAAGAATCTTTTCTCTGCAGATTTCTAGAGAGAATTATTTTCTAGTCCTGGGCAGTAAGTTTATGTTTCTCACAATTGTGATCCTTTAAAGGGCCCATTTTGCATGCAGGAGGCCTCCATTTAGCCCCTGGCATTGCACTGAGCCAGGAGGTACGGGCAAATGCCACCACACTCCATCCCCCTGCACCCTCCCAACAAGTTCTGTATCTAACACCAGGTTTGTTTTTTATATCCAGTTGCTTAAAGCTCTAATCTCTGCCAAGCCCCTGTCTAAAGTTAAGTATAGCTTCATTTGAATTGATTTTGAGGTTATGGAGGGACCAAGGGGTGCCCTGGTTAAAGGCATGGAGATTGGTGCTTTGTGTCCATCATTTTATTCCATGCTGGAATCCTGTGAGTATTATTATCTCCTTTGATGGGGAAACTGAGATTCAAGAAGGTTATTTGGCGAGTTTATGTAATTCCTAGGAGGAAGAGCTAGAATTTTAATCTGCTTTTCTACCAAATTCTCTTAATTTGAATGGATAGATTTCTCACATTCTTTTTGTTCTTTTGTTTTGTTTTGGGGGACACACCTAGTGGTACTCAGGACTTACTTCTGGTATTGTGCTCAGGGATTACTCCTGGCAGTGCTCAAGGGACCACGAATGAAGTGCCAGGGATTGAACCTCAGTCAGCTGCATGCAAGACAAGGGCCTTACCCATTTTGCTATCACTCTGGACTTTGCATTCATTTTTAAACCATAGCACTAATTTTGTATATGGTATGAAATCACCTGGAGTTTTGGAATCTTGGTATATTTATTTTGTAGGCGAATCATGACGGGAAAAAAGGAGAATATTTTCCATATGCAATTTAAGATACATAGAGCCTTTTATAATGGGAAATGCTTTTTCTTCTCCACTAGGTTTCCGTCCCAAAAGAACTAGTGGCACTTATGAGTGCCATTCGTGAAGGAGAAGCCCCGGACCCAGAAGACCCAAGCAGAAAAGTATACAAATTCAGACAAAATGTAAGACTTTAAGTACCAAACCTTTGTGTCAGTTGGTGGTGAACTACCAATAGTTCTTTTAACCCATCTGGAGAACAAAACTGCATCTGGAATAATTCAGAATTTAGTGAGCAGCTCCTATGTCTGGTTTCTTTCATTTATTTATCAGTGTGATTTCAAAACAGTCTGATCTCCTTGTGGTGTTGCATTGAAGAAAGAGGCAGCTGGAACATCCACCTTAGGGACACGCGTCATCCCATTTCCGCTCGCTGGGGCCTACATTTTCCCTGTGTTTTCAAGTCACACTTTTGCCAGTCCCAGCATCTTATTCACAAGGGCAAGAGCTGTCTCAGACTGAAAAAGTGTCCTGTGGGAGCCTGGGGGTGGCATAAAGGCTTAAGGTGCTTCCCTCGAATGTATGTGCCTGATCTTGGTTTGAGGTTTAATCCCCCATGCCACATAGTCCCCTGGATATCACTGGATGTGGCTCTTGAAGCTCCTGAGCAATGCTGGGGTGAACTGGGTGGCCCCTAGCACCAGGGCAGCCTCGGCTTCTAGCACAGGAGCAGCTGATTTTGGGTAAAAAATTGTCAAGAGTGATCCTTTGACAACCTGAGATCACTTGGGAGCCTGCTCTCCCCCCAAAAATAACACACTTCATTTTTTAAAAAAGTTAATTTAATTTTTATAAAGTAGTTCACAACATTTGATTACATCTAATAGTCGAATACCAATTCCACCGCCATTACACTTTCCCACCACCATAGTTTGGATGTTTCCATCCTGAACTCCAACTCCTGCCCTAAAGCAGACTGAAATAATTTATTTTTTTAAAGATTTTATTACTGAATCACAGTGGAATAGATTTTTACAAAGCTGTTCATAATTTGGTTTCAGTCATATAATGTTCCAACACCCATCCCTCCACCGGTGTACATTTCCCAGCACCCGTGTCCTCAGTTTCCCTCCCATCCCCTCCCCTCAGCTTGCCTCTATGGAAGGTGTTTTCTCTCTGTCTGTCTGTCTTCTGTCTCTGTCTCTGTCTGTCTCTGTCTGTCTGTCTGTCTGTCTGTCTGTCTGTCTCTCTCTCTCTCTCTTGCTTAGTCTTGCTCTTTCTCTTTCCTTTTGGGCATTGTGGTTTGCAGTACAGATACTGAAAGGTTATCATGTATATCCCTTTACCTCCTCCCTTTACCTACCTACTTTTAACACTCAGTACTTGTCCAGCGTGATCATTTCCAGCTATTCTTTCCAGCTATCATCCTGGTCCCTTCTCCATCTTACCTACCCTCTGTTCCACACTCGCTTGTGGTTGATTCCAATCATTGACCAATCTTCCTTGACCCTGTTTTCCCTGGCTGTTGATATGCCTTCTATTAGAGAAAGAATATTTACTTGCTCCAACCTGTTTCTGGGATCAGGTTGAAGTTCCCATGTTTTGGGAATCTTCTTATTGCTGAAATATTTTGTATAACTCCAGTATACCAGAAGTGGTGTTTTAGTAAATGAAATTAAATTAAATAAAAAAGAAAAAGCAATCACTGCCAATAAACCAATCAACAAAAAAGGCACAGGGTTTTCATTTAGGTTAAATTTTGAGGAATGTTTAAAATTTCTCTGTGAAATACCACGTTCCATGTGCAGTAAGTACCAGGTGCAGTTGCATTTTTCACATTGCAAAAGCTTTTCTTCTGAGTGCAAGAAAAAGGAAGGAAATGTTTCTAATGTTTTATACCACAGACTTGAGCAACTTTTACCTATTAAATATGAGAACTGAGAAGTACAAAATGAATCCATATTCCTCATAGAGGATTTGAAATGAAATTGCCTCACTTTTTAAGTTTTCTGGTTTTATTTTTTGCCGGGTTTGGGGCCACATGCAGTGGTGCTCAGGGGCTATGCCTGACTCTATGTTGAGGGGTCACTCCTGGTAGTGCTTGGGGACCATGTGGTGTTGGAATTTGAACTGGTCTTGGTCACATACAAGGCAATAACTTTAACCTCTGTACTTTCTCTTTGTGCCTTATTTTTAAACGTGAATTGTCTTACTCTTGTTTTTGAGCGCTAATGCAGGTATGTTGTGTGTTTTGTTTCTGTCTTTTAGGTTCCAATACCCTGCTACCTGATTGCTTTAGTTGTTGGAGCTTTAGAAAGCAGGTGAGTTCTTTTTTTTTCATTTTTTTATAATTTTATTTATTGAATCACTATGAGAGCAGTTACAAAGCTTTCGGGTTTTAGTCTTGGTCATGCAATGAAACACCTGTACCTCCACCAGTGCCCATTCTCCACCCCCAAAAACCCCAGCATACCCCCATCCCACACTCTCCCCCTACCTGTGGGGCAGATGATTTCCACATTACTCTCTCTCTCTACTTTGATTACATTCAGTATTTTGACACCAGACCCACCATTATTATTTGGGACTTTACCCCAACACTCAGATCAAGGAGGTGAGTTCTTGAACAAATTTTGAGGTTTATTCAATCTTGAACCTCTATCCTGATTAATTTGTGGGCCATTTGTAAGTTTCTCAAGATAGCAAACTGACAACTGTAGGAAAATTTCCATCTAGTCACAAAATGTAAGTTTTGTTTATTTTATTTATTTGTGTGGTTTTAAGGACCAAAATCAGGGCTGCACACATATAACACTGAGCTGTATCCCTGGTCTCCGTAAGTTAATTTTCAATTTAAGAATAATTTTTACCAGTCATTATTGAGATTTTCTATGTATTCTGGAAGTTAGACATCCAAAATTGATATAATTTGGCAAATTATTTCTAATAACTTCCAGTTTCACATTCTTGAGGTTGTGGTTATAATATCTGACTTTCTCACATCATAGGGTGCTTTTGTAAAAAAAAAAAATTAATTGAAATATCTGATGATCTGATAGATAGTACAGGGGTTAAGGAGCTTTTGTTGAGTGTGGCCCAGCCTGGTTTGATCCCTGTCACTGCATATGGTCTGCTGCAAACTGCCCAGGAGAGACGTGTGAACACAGCAGAGTGTGACTCTTCCCCACCCTGAAAAAAAAGATTGAATATATGAAAGCACTTGGAAGTCTATAAATAATATTTAAGTATATTTTATTAAAATTTTGCCGACTAAATATCCTTTCTCCTTAATTTTTTGTCCATTACTTTTGTTTTTACATAAACCACAATTGCATTTATTTATTTAAAGGTAAAGGTAAAGGTAAAGGCCCTCCCGTTGATCGTCGATTTGCTCGAGCGGGCCCAGTAACGTCTCCATTGGAGACTTTGTTGTTACTGTGTCTGGCATATCGAATACTCTCGGTAGCTTAAAGATTTTATTATTGAATCACTCTGAGATAGATCTTTACAAAGCTGTTCATAATTTGGTTTCAGTCATAAGGTGTTCCAACACCCGTCCCTCCACCAGTGTACTTTTCCCAGCACCCGTGTCCCTAGTTTGTTTCCCATCACCTTCCCCCACCACAGCCTGTCTCTGTGGCAGACATTTTTATTCTCTCTTTCTCTCTCTCTCTCTCCTTTTTTTGGCATTAGTGGTTAGTACAGATTCTGAAAGGTTATCATGTATATTCCTTTATCTACTTTTAACACTCAGTACTTCTTGAAATGTCCAGCATGATCATTTCTAGCTGTTATTGTCAGCCTGATCCCTTCTCCATCTTACCTACCCTCTGCCCAATACACACTTGTGGTTGATTCCAACTGTTGACCAATCTTCCTAGACCCCGTGTTCCTGGCTGAAAATGAAGAATGTCTGTAGTCATCACATTCTTTAAAATGCCAAATGGGCCAGAGAGATAGATAGTACAGCACTGGCATTCCATGTGGTTCCCTGAGCACTGCTAGGACTAATTCCTGAGTGCAGAGCCAGTAACTCCTGAGCACTGCCAGGTATGCCCCCACCCTCCCCCCCATTTTTTTTTAAATAATGAAAATGTTAGAATCTGGATGTGTAGAGAAGTTAGACAAATAACTACGGCACCTCTCATCTTGAATTTCATTTTCTTTATTCACAACTAGGAATATGTACATTCAAGGATTTTTCTAAAAATGAACAGACCTAACATTTGTAAAGGCTCCTAGCTCACAGGAGACATTCATTAATGATGACTATAAAAGTTGTCACAGCAGCCAACAATTCGAAGTTCTTATTATAATGTTGTTTTCTCTGCATTATCGCACTGAACGTGAATAAGTCTGTAGAGTGGATAGGATTTTTTTTTTTTACCAGTTTCTGGACAATGAAATATACATAGCGAGTTTTAGTAACTGGTTCAGGATCAGAAAGCTGATAAAAGCTCAGGCTTGGGCCTCAAGTCCATGCAGTGTAGCTTTATACTGTCTAGGACCGCAGCCATTAACTAGCCAGATGAGACTTGAATTCTGCAGGAAGTAGGAAATATGAGCTGGATTTCTAAAGAGTGTAAGTAAAAAAATAATAAAATTTATCAATAACTTCTAGTTAATTACTTGTTATAATAATCGTATTCTAAATATGTTAGGTAAAGAAAACACATTATGAAAATCAACATTGGAGGTCAGAGAGATAGTACAGGGTAAAGGAGATAAAGTGCTTCCAAGAAGCTAACCCACATTATTAAGGGGCACTGCAGATGGTCCCCTGAGTACTGCCACTGGGTCACTCCTGAGCACAGAGCCAAAAATAGCTAGTGAGTGCCATTGGGTATGGCCCCAAAACAACAATTACAAGAAGAACAGAAAAATGACTTCATCTGATTTATTTGTGTATGGTCACAAGGTAATTTAAATGGCATGTATGTGACTTTCTTTTGTGGCTCACTGAAATTATATTGGATAGATCTGGTTGTTACCGTTGGTACCTGTAGGTCTACAAGTCAGTAGCTATGCCACCACCAGAGGCTAGAAATGCAATTCTGATCCCCAGCCACTAAATCAAAAGTTGTGTTTTAACCAGCTTCCTCAGTCATGGAGATTTGAAAAGCACTGCTTTAGAACCTGCTGCCTCTCTGGAGCAGGGGACAGGGGTGGTTTGATGTGGCATGTAATTAATTATTAAGATAAAGTGTTGGGCTGGAGCGATAGCACAGCAGGTAGGGCACTTGCCTTGCATGCGGCCAACCCACGTTCAAGTCCCAGCATCCCATATGCTCCCCTGAGCACCACCAGGGGTAGTTCCTGAGTGCAGAGCCAGGAGTAACCCCTGTGCATCGCCAGGTGTGACCCAAAAAGCAAAAAAAAAAGAAAAAAAGATAAAGTCTTGACTTTTTAAGAGCCAGAGAGATGGTACAATGGGTAGGGCACTTGCCTTGCACATGGCTAACCCGTATCTCCAAGCTTGCCAAAAGTGAGTTCTCACGTGCAGAGCCAGGAGTAAGCCCTGAGCACTACCACATATAACCCCAAAACCAAAAAAGTAAAAAAATAATAAATAAAATATTTTTTGAGTTCCAGTTCTGTATGTGACACTATTCTGTTTTTTTTTTTTAATTATTATTTTATTTTGAGTCACACCCGGTGATGCACAGGGGTTACTCCTGTCTCTGCACTCAGGAATTACCCCTGGAGTGCTCAGGGAACCATATGGGATGCTGGGAATCGAACCCAGGTTGGCCGCTTGCAAGGCAAACGCCCTACCCGCTATGCTATTGCTCCAGCCCCTATATGTGACACGATTCTAGGCTGGAGTGATAGCACAGCGGTAGGGCATTTGCCTTGCAAGCGGCCAACATGGCCGACCCTAGTTCTTTTTCTCTAATTGTGATTTTAAAAGGTAAAGGTAAAGGCCCTCCCGTTGATCGTCGATTTGCTCGAGCGGGCCCAGTAACGTCTCCATTGGAGACTTTGTTGTTACTGTGTCTGGCATATCGAATACTCTCGGTAGCTTGCCGGGCTCTCCGAGAGGGGCGGAGGAATCGAACTCGGGTCGGCCGTGTTGGCCGCTTGGAAGGCGAACGCCCTACCGCTGTGCTATCGCTCCAGCCAAGAAATTGTCATCTTAACCATTGTTAAAGGTACAGTTAGCACACTAATTTCCAGGACTAATTTAACGATTTGTCCTTTTAAATATAGAGTAGTGCTAGGAATATTTACATTGTTCTAAAACAATCTTGAGAAGGTTTTCATTTTGTAAAACAGAACTCTGCCTTCCTTAATCAGTATCTCCCCCCCATCTTCGCCTCCCTCTGCACCCTCAAATACTGTTCTTGATTACTATAGAGGGAAGTGAGAGAATTTGTCTTTCTACAGTATTTGTCTCTTTGTCACTCCACAGGATATTTCCAGTTTTTCCAGTTTGTATCTGTTGTTTGAGAGTGTTTGATTTTTACATGCTTGACATATTTAACTCTGCTGTAGAATCAGTTATCTCTTGAGCTGCATCTGAGAGTTTATGATTGGGAGATGGAGGGAGGAAACCATATAGCAGGACCAGTGACCTTTGAGAGTTTTTTTTTTTGGGGGGGGGGAGGTTTGGCTTTCATTTTGCTTTTGGGTCACACCTGGTGATGCTCAGGGGTTACAACTAGCTCTGCAGTGTTTGGAGGACCATATGGGATAATGGGGATTGAACCTGGGTTGGCTGCATACATGGCACTAAGTGCCTTACCTGCTGTACTATCTCTGTGGCTGCAGGGCCCGTGGCCTTTGGGAGCAGGTGATGTCTGAGTTTTGTTTGGTCCAGATTGTGCCTCTTTAGAGCACTGTTTCAGTGGCTGCATAAACAGAAGCAGGTTTGTCTGTGAGAGGAACCATCTAACTTCACCTCTTTCTTTAAGCACTAGCTGAATTACATTCCTGCCATTTGGACATGTACCTCTACTATAAATCTTTTCTAGAATTAGGTGAGCCAGTAGTCCTGACTTTCTCTTTTACTGATCTTTTTAATTTTGCAGACAAATTGGCCCAAGAACCTTAGTATGGTCTGAGAAAGAGCAGGTGGAAAAGTCTGCTCACGAATTTTCTGAGGTTGGTCCAGAGTTTACCCTTTTTTTACTGTTGGGTTTAAGATTTTGAATGCAGAATGTGATGGTTTTAAGTGGGATGGTGAAAGACGTAAGTGTCCAATTTCATGTAAACTTTCAGTTGTTATAGTTCTTTAAATTTTTATTTAAAACAAGCATCATTAACTTGTAGCCATCATATAAAGCAATATAACTTGAGACATCTATTATGATAATGATTAAGACATGCACATAAATATGCATTAATTTTCCAGACTGAATCTATGCTTAAAATTGCAGAAGAACTGGGAGGCCCGTATGTTTGGGGGCAGTATGACCTGTTGGTCTTGCCCCCATCCTTCCCTTACGGCGGCATGGAAAATCCTTGCCTCACATTCGTAACTCCTACTCTCCTGGTAAGTGGAAATATGTCTTCGTTGGCAACTGAGCTCTCCCCAAATGAAATCTAGATATGAAGAACTTTAGAACTTTAAGGGAAAAATTATTATTTCCCTAATTCCTCCTTTTTCTACTTCTGTTACTTATTGTGATTATCATTTCCTATTTTTTTTAAAAAGAAAATAATTTGGCCATTTGGTGTGTGTGGGGGGGGTGGAATTCTATGTTTAAGGCATTTGGGGATGTTGGGGTGGGATAGAGATGTCTTATGATTCATCTGTGAACTTGGAATTGTAAATCCTGACAAAAAAGCTTTGAGTAAACTCAATATATAGGTACTGGCCAAAACATACTGGTCAACACATGGTGAAACACTGTTCACCATGTGTGTAAAAAAGAATTCGGTATGATACTGCTTTGTGCCTTTGTAGGTTACTTTAAAATCTTTTTGTTGTTGTTTATTTTTGGTTTTGGTGTTTGGACCAAACTTGTAGGTGACCTGTATTCAGGGGTCACTCCTAATGCACTTGGGGAACCATATGGGGTAATTTTGGTCGCAAGCAAGGCAAGTGCCTTACCCACTGTATTATCCCTCCTGTCTTCTGTCTTCTCTCTTCTCTCTCTCCTCTCTCTCCTTTCTCTCTCCCTCCCTCCTCCCTATTCTTCCTCCCTCCCACCCTCCCCTCTCTCTTCTCCTTCCTCTCTTCCTCCCTTTTATTCCTCCCTTTTCTTCCTTCCCTCTCTCCCTTCTTCCTCCCTCCCACCCTCCCCTCTCTTCCATCTCCCTCCTCCCTCCCTCCCTCCCTCCCTCCCTCCCTCCCTCCCTCCCTCCCTCCCTTTACTTCCTCCCTTTTCTTCTGTTCCTCTCTTCCTCCCCCTCTCCTCCCTCCCTCCCTCCCTTCCTTACAGTTTTGGGGTCACACGTGACAATGCTCAGGGCATATTCCTAGCTCTGCACTCAGACCACTCCTGGTCGGGTCCAGGAAACCATATAGGATGCCAAAGATGAAACCCTAGTTGGCCAGGTGCAAGGCCCTGTCTGCTCTGCTGTCTTTCAGGCTCCATTTCCTTTTCTTTTTTTTTTAAGCTATTTTAAATTCTTTCAAGAACCAAAAGAGTAATGGATTAACAACTAAATAATTAAAATGAATAACACCATGGGAGTCATAGGGCACTATCAAATTTTTTAAAATATATTGTGGTTGATAAGAAAGTCAGTACATAAAAGAGCAAAGAAAAGCATCTACCAAAAAGTTGTAAAATATATCTCTTGAACATTAGAAATAAATGTATTGGTCCTCCTTGTATTAGAAAGTTTTCTTAGAACTAGGGAAATAAAGACTTTATTCTTCTTTTTGTCTTGTATTTTGTCTTATTTTCTTAGTACATGTCTCTTTTGAACTTGCCACACTACTATATTTTGAAATAAGGATCTTTTAGATATAGTCCATGATTTGATTACTTAAATACTAAGGCAGTTGTTTCTTTTCTTTTCAGGCAGGTGACAAATCACTCTCCAATGTAAGTTAAAATATATTATCATGGTGTTTTCCTCAAGAAGCACTAAGTCAATTGATTTTAGAATATTTGTGGTTTGAATTATGTTTTTAATTGTGATCATAAAAAATAACTTTGGCGATTTTTTATAATTTGTTTTATTTGGGGGTGAGGGGAATGTTACCATACTGGGCAGTCTCAGGGCTTATTCCTGGCTGCTCAGGGATCACTCCTGGCAGGGCTAGGGAGCCATATGGGGTGCTAGGAATTGAACTCGGGTCAGCTGCATGCAAGGCAAGTGTTCTACCCACCGTACTATCATTCAGACTGTTTGGAAAGTGTTCCAATAGAACCTTATTATATCAGCAGATAAATATGTTACATTGAACATATTTAGACAATGGTTTAATTTCTATATTTATGAAATATTTATAAAAGAGTCATATATCTAGTTAAATAATTTCTAAATATGCTCTTATTTTGAATTTTTTTAAAGCTATGATATATATTTTTTCTCTTTGACTAAATTCAGATTATTTTACTCAGCCAAGTTATTTCATATTGACTATCTCAGCCAATGTTTCTTAAAAAAAACAAGAAAAGTGCAGAACTTAGACTAGAAAAAACTGACATTATAGATTATTTTAAGATAATCAGTTTTACTACTAATTACTTTCACTCTTTCTTTTAGGTTATTGCACATGAAATATCTCATAGCTGGACAGGAAATCTTGTAACCAACAAAACTTGGGATCACTTTTGGTGAGACTGATTATCTTTTTTTTATTGTACTTGTTAATTGATTTCTGTGTGTCTCTGCTTGAATTTGCTTTGTGTACATATTATCACCTTTTTTGATAGGTAGAATTAAAAAAATTTTTGTAGCACATGTCACAATGTTAGGTAGAGTAATTTATTTTCATGTGTTGTTTAGTTCCATGGTCAAATATTAATAAATGGACACAAAGAACTAGGACCATGTTTACATTTATGTCTCTACTGCCATGGACTGGTCTGATTTCTCATCACTGGAATTGATTTTTAGGAAATGACGTAGCCACTGTAACTTGTCATGTCCATGTTGCACAAATTGCTTTGTTTGTGGATATATATATGTATGTGATATATATATATCACATATATATCACAATACATATCACATATATATAGTTGGTTAAAAATGCCTTTTCTTCTCATTTGTATGACTGTTTTCATTTATCAGGTTAAATGAAGGACATACCGTGTACTTGGAACGCCACATATGTGGACGATTGTTTGGTGAAAACTTCAGGCATTTTCATGCTCTGGGAGGATGGGGAGAACTACAGAATTCGGTAAATGAGTCCTACCTTTAAAAGCATATGTCCAAAGTTGTGTAGGTATTCAAAAATTTAGTTTGTATGATGTAGCAACTTCACTAAGTAGCAACAAGAAACTCATTTTTCTTGTGGGTATGGAAAAGCACGCCAGTTTTTGCTAGCCAATTGTTAGCATAATGGTCTATTAATGTTCTTCATAATCTGGTGGAAGATTCTGTTTATGATCACTTGGACCTTGTCAGGTCTCTGAAATTATCTGGCCGTTCGGTTACTCTGAACTGCATTTGGTGCCTTCATATCATTTTCAGTGCTTTTTCCTGAAAAGCACAATTGCTGACCAGTCCTGGAACATTTTCCTAGCAGAGTCATTTATTGGACAAGTAAAATCACAGAATACTATACTAGTGAGCCATTCTGTGACTTGACTTCCAGAAATGTGTGATAACATATCCTACTATTTCCTGGTTCTAAGTTGAAGTTCTGGCTCCCTCTTGAGTGATACTGTTGAGTTAATAATGCTTCGTTCTTGTTACCATGGTGGTACCAGTCTGCCTAAATGGACTTTTATCTACTTTTGTTTCTTGTAGATAAAGACCTTTGGGGATACACACCCTTTCACCAAACTTGTGATTGATCTGACAGGTGTAGACCCTGATGTCGCATATTCTTCAGTGCCCTATGAGAAGGGCTTTGCTTTACTCTTTTACCTGGAACAGCTTCTTGGAGGCCCAGGCAAGTACTTGGTGTTTCCTGGTGCTTTTCTTAAGGGTTATGAGAAGAATAAGATTATATAATGGTTGTTTTTGCTCCATTTTATTCTTCTTGTGTGTTGTATAAGTACCCTGATGGAATCTGTATTATTTCTAATGTTACCTTTCCACGTAAAATGTTGAATTATTTTTAAGGTCCAAAATAGGCTCCTTGGTTGGAAAAAACAAAAAACACAAACTCATCAATATCTTTAAAATTAGGAAAAATAATATACACTCAATGAAAAATGAGTTTGTGAAGTCCCTCAGCCCATTTTCTTTACCCCCAGGTGACCTTTGTTGGTAGCTCTATGTGACTTGAGATTTTTTTTTTTATGATTCTTGGGTCACACCTGGTGATTCTCAAGGGTTACTCCTCCTCTGCACTCAGAAATTACTCCTGTAATTTGGTGCTTGGGGGACCATATGGGATGCCAAGGATCGAACCCAGGTCGGCCACATGCAAGGCAAATGCCCTACCTGCTGTATTATTGCTTAGACCCTCGAGATTTTTTTTTTAAGTGTAAAAGAACAAAACAAGTAAACACATATGGTCCTTAAGTATGGAAAACATCATATTAAATATTCTACATATTTTAAAATTCAGCAGTACTTCATATACGTCCTACCATGTCAGTACAACTCTCATACTTCTTATTTTTATTTTTTTAATTTGGGGTTGTGGGGCACCCCTAGCTATTCCCGGGTCTGTGCTCAGGAGTGGCAATAATTGACCAGCAAGGTGCAAAGCAAGCACTGTGTCTTGTGTTCTATTTCTCTATCCCTGTCTTAGACTTTTTAAAGCTATTCTAGAGTTTCATTATCTAGATCTGCTACTTGATGTAACATTCTCCATTGATAGTTATCTTGGTATTTGCCATTGTTGATTCTTTTAGTAATCATTGTGGAGTCACGCCTGACAGTGCTCAGTGGCTACTTCTAGCTCTGTGCTTGGGAGTTAGTCCAGGTACTACTTCAGGGACCTTGTGGGGTCAGGGATGCAACCCAGGCCTTCTGCATGTGTGTGGTTTAGTCCATTGAGCTCTCACAGGCTCTGTTGACTAACTTCAAGGCCTCCCTTATCTTGATCCCTTCTACTTCTCTTATTTTATTTTGTTCCTTTATAGTCATATGAGCCATTGCTTTTATATATATATATACACATATATTTTAATATTTTCATTACACAAATATATTATCTATACAATGATGTATTTTTTATGTTATTTATTTATTTTTGCTTTTTTTTTGGATCACACTGGTGATGCTCAGGGGTTACTCCTGGCTTTTGCACTCAGAAGTTACTCCTGGTGGTGCTCGGGGGACCATATGGGATGCTGGGAATCGAACCCGGGTTGGCTGTGTGCAAGGCAAGCACCCTACCCGCTGTGCTATCACTCCAGCCCCTTTTATTTATATTTTTAAGAAATTTTTATTGAATCAGGGCTGGAGTGATAGCACAGCGGGTAGGGTGTTTGCCTTGCACATGGCCAACCCAGGTTCGATTCCCAGCATCCCATATGGTCCCATGAGCACCTCCAGGGGTAATTCCTGAGTGCAGAGCCAGGAGTAACCCCTGTGCATCACCAGGTATGACCCAAAAAGCAAAAAAAAAAAAATCAAGAAATTTTTATTGAATCATAGTGAGATACACAATTACAAAGTTGTTCATGATAGGGTTTCAGTTATATAATATTCCAACAGTCAGTGCCCAGTTCCCCTCCGGTGCCCCCTGCCCCCCTGCCTGCCTCTGTAGGCCATTGCCTTTAGAACTTGTGTCATGTGTTCCTTTTCTGTGTCTTTGTTCATATCCTTAACTAAAAGAGTAAAGCAATCAGCAGTGGTGGTCACCAAGGTACCCACCAATGGGGAATGTTACATCAACTTATCACATCTCCACAATGAAATTCTATTATCTAAGATAATAATTAAAATTTCTCTTCTCCTTTCTATCAAATGAGATTTATTTCTCAAAGCCCAGCTTCAGCCCTCCCCACCTTTTGAGTCTTTACTCATAAAGGCCCCATTGGTTTCTTTACTCTCTGAATGTTCTGTGTTCTTTACGGTTAATAAAATAATGCTGTCAGGGGCAAAAAGTTAAATAATTGCCTTTCTATATTGACTTATTTTTCTTTATACTTGTAGAAGTCTTCCTTGGATTCCTAAAGGCTTATGTTAAGAAATTCTCCTATAAGAGCATAACTACTGATGACTGGAAGGATTTCCTGTATTCTCATTTCAAAGATAAGGTTCGTTTTTAAAAGCTCTCTTAGTTTTCATGCCAAATACATCTTTAAAAAGAAAGTTTTTTTTTTAAATAGAGATTGCAATAGTGTAATACACTCATAATAATATACTCGTGGTTATGGTATACAAAATTACTGCTTCTTCATCTGGGGGGCTCCACCACTTTCTGTTCTCTCTCCCCATCCCCTCTCCCTCACCCACCCCTACCCTCACTGGTAATCCCAGTTCTGTATTCAAAGCCCAAGGGGTGGGCACTGGACATGGTTCATTTCCTTACCACATTTGAATGAGATCATAAGGTGTTTGTCCTTCTGCCTCTAACTAATTTCACTTAACATAACCCTCTTTACCTCTATCCAAGTTGTAACGTAAAGCATTTCATCTTTTCTTATAACTCGCTAGTATTCCTTTGGACTTATACCACAATTTCTTTGTTCACGCAACTGAACGGGCATGCATATAACTCTTTGAATGTTCTTGTATTCTTGGATGGATGTTTAAGATTGCAATTTCTAAGGGCTAGAGTGATAGTACAGTGGATAGGGCTTTGGCCTTGCATGCGGCTGACCCTGGTTTGATCCCTGGCATCATATATGGTCCCTTGAGCAATGCCAGTGATAATTCCTGAGTACAGAGCCAGGAGTAAGTCCTGAGCATCCCTGGGTGAGACCTCCAAAGCCAAAAATTTTTTTTTAAAAATCCTTTACCCTGAAAGGTGCTGTCCCGCTGCCTGTTCCCCCTGGCAGCTCGGGTTCCGCCATCTTCCAGGTAGGGGCCCACAGTGAAGAGACATGCAGGGCCTCACGGGGTGGGGGTGGAGCTGGCCCTTTCCTCCCCAGCCCCAACGAGACCTCGAATCGCCACCCATGAACAGGCCCTCTGGCTACTGATCAAGCTGCTTAAGCCATGATCCCAGAGACTCAGAAATAAATCTCGGAACTCAGCGTCTTTTGGCAGAAATCCCTCCACTTTTAATTATTAAAATTTCAGAATTCTAAAATCTGTAGCAGTCGCGGTCACATGACATCATATGCTATTCTCTGTAAACTCAAAAAGACAGCAGTGGTCTATCTCTCCCCGCTGCCCATGTTTGTAGTCTCTGCCATGTTCAGTAGTCTCACCCTGGGGAGGTCGATGGCAATGGGCAGGTGAAGGAAGGAAATGAGGGCCAGGCTGGTTGGTGTCAGTTGCAGTTTATTCCATTCCCATCTCCATTCTCCTCTGATTCTCCTCCTGCTTCTTCCTCCCCCATGTTACTTCATTCTCCTCGATCCCCCTTCATTCTCCTTCTGGCTCTGGAATCTGGATCCCCTTTCTCCTTCTCCTTCTGAAGTCTGGTCTGATCCCCCTTCTCCTTCTTCTTCTGCAGTCTGGATTCTGATCTCCCAGCCCACTCTTACAGTCTACTTGTATATCCCCAGCATTAGGGGTTGGGGTAACAATTACAAATAGGTGTGGTCACAATCAATAGGGGTAAAGTTCTTTCCCTTGGGGAATGCAGCTTCTAGGACAGATACTCTCTCAGCAGGACTGTGCTGTCTCTCCAGCCACTGTATTTTTAGTTTTTTCATAAGTTTCCATTTTCATTTGTCCTAGAAGCGAAACCAGTTTACAGACCCCAAAGTGAATGAGGGTTCTCTACATTCTTGCCAATACTAACTACTTCTAGTCTTTGTAATTTAATTTAATTTAGTACTTTGGGGTGGGGTGGGGGAGGCACCTAAGTACTGCTCAGGGGCCTCAGGGCTGTTCTTACCATTACTTGACCAGTTAGGCCAATAGTTCAGTGCTAGGGTCTGAGGATGTAGAGATGCTTGAGCATCTGTGGTGCTGGGGACCACCAGGGCCACTCCTAACAGTGCTTAGTGCCTCCAGACTTGGACCTGGAGATGCTCAGGAGGAAGGTTTAGAAACACACTCAGTGGTGCTCAGGCTTACTCCTGACTGCACACTCAGGGATCACTCGAGGTGATACTTGGGGGACCATATTTGGAGCCAGACATCCCTTTTCCTTACTGTTTACTTCAGGTCCAGTACTCTTTGGTTTTCCATGGTTAGTGGGACAATACCATGTGTCAAAGAAAAAAAAGTACGGCTATCCCTGCTTTTTTTAGTTTACTATTAGCTCACAGGTTGTTTTTCAATCTTTCATTCTAAGATTGTTTATCTTTCACTCTGAGCCCATTTAATTCGGAAATTATAGACTGGAGGAGGTATGATTTTCTTTCCTAATCCATCCTGCTACTCTGTGTCTTTTGATAGGGGATGTTAGTCCAATGATATTTAAGGAGATTTGTTAAAAAAAAAAAATTCTTGCCATTTTTCTCTGAAGATTTGGGGTATTTTTATAACTGACATCATTCCTTGTACTTCTCTTTCTTTCTGTGCATTGTATGACTGACATTTTATGTGCTGATCTGCATCTGGTTGATTCCTTTAGTTCTTGTCTTTTATCTGTATTTTCAGGTTACTGTATATTTATAGCTAATGTTCTGAACTTTTTTCCCTTCAAAGTTACCATGTGTGATTCTAGTGTTCCATCTCCGACTCTCCCTAACTCCCTCTGTCTTTCCCCGTCTTTAACATTTATATGTGATTCTACTTCTGACTGGAGTTTCTCTGCCTTTCACCGGCCATTATTGTATATTCTGTATAGAGCTGGTTTGGAGGCAGTGAATGCCCCTGAGCTATTGTTGTCTGTAAACATTTTTTTTTATCGTCCCCTTAAATCACAGTCATAATCTGCAAGAATTCCTGTTGGAGATTCTTCCATTCAATGCTTCAAAAACATTTTGCCATTTCTCTCATTGCGTAGGTCATTTCTCAGCTATTATTTCTCCTCCTGGTAATTCTTCCTTTTTCTCTTTTTATTGTCCTTCTGGAATTTGTATGATAAGAAGGTTGTTCTTCTTGATCTTGTTCCATATATTTCTTAGACTTAATTTTTTTAAACCATTTTTTTTCAGTTGATGATTCCATGTATCATGTTCTGGATGTCACTGAAGCACACTTTGTTTTTTGTCCTTTCTTTTTTTTTAAAAAAATGTTTTATAAAGTTGTTCACAATATTTGATTACACTTAATATTGGAACACCAGTCCCACCATCATTACACCTTCCCACTGCCATATTTCCATCCCAAATTCCAAACCCTACCCCCAAAGGAGAACCAAAATAATTTATTTTATGATGCTTGTTTTGAATAATCTGCTAAAAATTAGATAAAAAAAAGATTTCTTAGAGGAAAGTGTATGAAGATTGTATTTCACCTAAGAGCCATAAAGCCCTTCTATAAGAGATCAGTAATATGTTGTTAAAGGTTAAGCCTCGTGTGCTTACATCTTTATCTATATAAATATATTTTCCCCTAAGATTGGGTGCATTCTACTTTCAACACAATCAAATGTGGTGTGCTACTTTTGGTATATTGGTGGTGTAAAGTATGAGATGTCCAGGAGTAGATTCCCTCAGGGGTGAGGCTCAGCCCGAGTGTGTGGAGAGTGGCCGTGAGCGTGGTGACAGTTGAGTTCTGGAGGTTTTCGACTGCTGGGGCTCTTTTGGGGTAGGGAGGGGCCTCACCTGCCCCACTCCGGGTTGCCCCGAATGAAACAGCTTAGCATGAAGTCTGGAGACATGGCTATAGTGTATGATTCTGTGCTCTCTTCCAAGAGATTTATATTGAGTCTCTGGATCATGGCTGTTAATGAACTTACATGGCACCAGTGGCAGCTTGTGGGTGTGACTGCCAGCCTACTAGAAATAGGGGGAGATCGGGGGAGGTCACCCATTCCCGGTTCTGTGGAGTCTGTTTTGTCCTGCTTTCAAGTTCTGTAACTGAGTTATTTATTCAGACTGCTACCCTCTAGTTCCTTCAGCTCTTTTTGAATGAGCTTTTCCGTTTGTACATTTATTTTCAGTGCCAGGAATTCAGGAAGGATTCCACCACTGGGCCACACTCCTGGCCCAAGTTTTTCCACTTTCCCCTCAGCCTTCCTTTGTTTTTTTCATTGATGCCAACTTGATGTCAGGGAATCTAGCTTTGAATTCAAATGGATTTGAGTGGTGATCTAGGGCTCCTGCTGGCCTGATCGCTGACACCTTTGGCCCTGGGATTGTGAGGCTACTGTATCTGTTGTTGCCAATACCCCGCAGCTGTTGTAGCTCTGAGATCTAGCCAGTCTGGGTTACAGACCAGGAATCACTGCTTATGGGGCGTGGCCCCCAACAGTGTGTCTCAGTCCAGCCTGCCTGGACAGCAACTGGGGGCTGTGATCTCAAATGGCTAGTCACATGGGTTCAGCAAGCTGATCTTTACAACTGCCCTTCAGCCGGGCCGCAGCAATGAAACCGAAGTTCGACTGGTCTGGGTGGTCTGGTTATTGCCTAATAACACTTGTGCTTTCAATGTGACCTAATGTGTGCAATTTCAGAGATTTGTGATATTTTTCAGAAATTTTGTATGTACTTTATTCCCTCTTGTAATTATTTGATAGAACATTATTGGTGACTATAAAATTGTTTTTTAAAAGAGACCTAATAGGTCTAGACTAATTCATAGATCAGAGGACCTGAATCTGAATGTCTGTTGTTCTCAGTATGAAAGACTGTTTAGCAAACTGCGTGTTCTTCCTGTCGGCAGGTTGACATTCTCAATCAAGTTGACTGGAACACTTGGCTGTACTCTCCTGGACTGCCCCCGGTGAAGCCCAAGTCAGTATTTTCCTACTTCCTTCTCATTCTTCTAAATTCCAGAGCTCTTCAAAATAGCTGAAAAGGTGTGACGCCTTCCTTCAGCTGTTAAGAACAAGTTATAAGAATAGAGTCTTGAGTGTTTAATTCTTCACCCTAGAGTTGAAAGAATAATTTACATGCCATGAGAGTATAAATTATTTTAGTTCATTGCACATTATTGTTAGCCTCCTTTTCCTACACAAGGGTGCTGAGAGATATAGAGAGCGGTAGGATAATTGCTTTTTCCCTTCAAAGCCTTAACAAGGTGTGTGTGTGTGTGTGGGGGGGGGGGGGATAATGTTTTGTTAACCATTACAACTGTGTAAGTTGTCATCCCTGTTTCCACAGAGCTTAATCAGACTTCACCAGATAAAGTGTCTTGCCTAAGAAAATAAGTAGAGTTGCACAGAAAATAAGTAGAGTTGGCATTCACAGTCAGAAACCTACTCTTCTCTCTGCCCCAAGCACCTTTTTCCCTGGTCACTGCCCCTCCCCTGCCAATCCCAGCTGAAAAATTTCCTCATGGGAGCATTCCTAAGATTTTTTTTTTCTCTCTGGTGGGTAGGGCGTTTGCCTTGCGTGCGGCCAGCCCAGCCGAGCTGGCTTCGATTCCTCCACCCCTCTCGGAGAGCCCAGCAAGCTACCGAGAGTATCTCGCCCGCATGGCAAAGCCTGACAAGCTACCCGTGATGTATTCGATATGCCAAACACAGTAACAAGTCTCACAATGGAGACGTTACTGGGCCCGCTCGAGCAAATCAATGAGCAACGGGAGGACAGTGCTACAGTGCTAATCTTTCTGACCATGACAGATGGTCCATTTAAGGTTTCTTGGTGTTGTGTGTCGCCTCTTCAAATCAGTTGTTACTGATTTACATTTATTTGTGTGACAATTTGTGTGTGTGTGTGTGGGGGGGGGAACGGGAAATATTGGGCCATACCTGGAGATGCTCAGGAGTTACTCCTGACTCCGTGCTCAGAAATGACTCCTGGTGGTGCTTGGAGGACCAGATGGTGTTCTGGGGATTGAACCTGGGTCAGCTGTGTGCAAGGCAAATGCCCTACCCACGATGTACCTCCAGCCCTCCAGCCCCTTATTTGTGTGATTCTTGAAGCCCACTCTTTTCCATTTTTGAAGCACTAGGAGAGTGAGGCTCATGTTGGCTTTGCCCATAACTTTTTGTAGTCCCCTGGCAAAGAGATCCCACTTTCCCTCCCTGGGCTTAGCCTTTCCTCATTCATTCATGACAATGAGAAGAACGTTTCCAGGCACCAAGAAACAGACTAGCTAAATGGTTTTGTTTTTAACTGTCCTGTTGGGGAATATGTTGGGACACGTTGCACATCAGTTCTGGGCGGGCGAAGGAGAACGAGTGCTCAGAGAAACCCCTCCGGGAGCAGTTGATCACAGCTCACTTTATTGCCAAATACGCACAGTTTTATAGAGGTCCAGTCACACAGAGCTTAACATTGTTGGCCTGTTGCCTTTTCTACCCTGCTTTGTCCCCAGTCCAGTCGCCTTCAAGGCTGTATGTTGCAGTTAGGATGACTTCCTTAAGGCATACGTGATGGGTTTCTGCGTTTCAGGCATACGTGACTAAGGGGTTGAGTGTTGCAGGCACCCTGTTTTGCTCTCTCTGCCCAGTTACTCCCTCTTTGAGGTTTCACTTCAGGACCGTTTTGCAAGGTCAGGTTTTTCCTGCTCCAGTGCCTGTAACCCCACTCCACACTGTTCATCATTCCTTATGAAATTATTAGTTATGTTTTAGCCTAAGGTGATTTACTGCCTATGAGATGAGGAACTCTGGTCCCACTTGGTGTGAAAGGCAAACATTTACCCGTCGCATACTGGCAAAGGTTCCCAAACATTTTGGGGCCTACTGCCTCCTTTCAAAAAAATTATGACTCAGTGCCTCCTGCTTATCTTCCTTCTCTAAGGAAACACACAGTAATGCCTGCTCCACTTTGCACCTGAGGCTCTACTGCCCCTGGATTGCTCTAGCACCTCCTGGGCTGGTGGGTCGTTGTCGCCCACTTTGGGAAAGACTGATCTCTAAAATAGCCTGACTGCTTCATGAAGAGAAACTGGCAGCTACTTTGGCTTCATTGTTTATGGGGGCACAAACTCTCTCGAAGCAGTTAACTTCTAGTCAATTTTTTTTTTGGGGGGGGGTCATACCTGGCAATGCACAGGGGTTACTCCTGGCTCATGCACTCAGGAATTACTCCTGGCGGTGCTCAGGGGATCATACGGGATTCTGAGAATTGAACCCAGGTTGGCCGTGTGCAAGGCAAATGCCCTACCCGCTGTGCTATTGCTCCAGCCCCACTTCCAGTCAATTTTTACTTCATCTAGGCTCTAAGGGCAGGCACCCCTCTGTTCTCTAAGGCTGATAAGGTAAAGGTAAAGGTAAAGGCCCTCCCGTTGATCGTCGATTTGCTCGAGCGGGCCCAGTAATGTCTCCATTGGAGACTTTGTTGTTACTGTGTTTTGGATATGCTAAGGCTGATATTGCACAGCAAATACCATTTATGATACTTAGATGGTACGGTATGGTATACAAAGTTTGAGAGGTGATTGACAAGAATTCTTTTCCTATTGACACTCTCTTTTATTATTGCAAAAGGATTTTGAACGATTTCTAACATTTTAATGTTCAGTTTATTCCTACTTTCTGCTGCGAAGAAAGAAACGAAATCATCGCACGCCATCATTGTTTCCCCAGTGGCTAGAACAGGGTCCAGATCACAGCCTAAGCCTCAGAGGTGTTTTGTGTTTAGAGGGCTGGAATGAGATAATGAATAATCCTTAGGAACAGCGGATGTATATTGTTTATTGTGTCCCTCATGCTTAGAACTGGTTTATATGGACAGTAAACACTAATTCTAGTTACCTGAATCTCCAGTCTTTTCGACATATTCTACTTGAGCATACCACAGTTTTTGCTAAGATGTTTGGCATCTCTATAAAGGGTCACTGGGATAAAAGGATTACTTTGGTATTCACTGGGATTTCTGAGTCCTTAGATGATGTCAATAATACTAAGTCAGGTAGAAGATTCCAGTTTCCATCAGTCTGGAGTTTTTCAGTCTTTATTTTAAAAGAACTTTGATATTTAATATATTTAATATTTTTTAACTTTAGATTGCATTTATGCAAAAACAGTTTTTATAGAAACCTGATCTCTCGTTGTTCTTCCTCTTTGTAGGTATGATATGACTCTGACAAATGCTTGTATTGCCTTAAGTCAAAGATGGATTAATGTGAGTGTGATTTTTGACCATTTTTAGATTGCCTCAATATGCCTGTATTTGTGAAAGGAGTAGGGTCAAGATGGGAGGTATCTGACTGATAAGCTTATATATTTGGAAAGGCTGTTTATATGTCAAGTTTCCTTGAAGTGATTATTCCAGCACTCATGTGTCACCAACGTTTGCGTGGTTTCTTCTATTATCTTCCCAAGATCTCCCCTGGCTGATGACTCTCAGAGAGGGGACCTATGAATTCCTTTTGGAGAATTGGTCATTAAGCAGCTACATCCTGAGAAGAAAGCTTCTCACTATGTTTGCTGTCATGCATTCAGCAATGTGTGACTTGTTTAAGGGGTTGAAGTAGAGCAATGTAGGAGGAAGTATTAATGGGTCTGAAGGAGATACTTGAAGTTTAATTTCTTTTTTCTTTCTTTTTTTTTGTTGGGGGTGGGTAGGTGGAGTGAACCCAACAGTGGTCAGGGCTTACTCTTGGCTCTCTGCTTTGGGGTCACTTCTGCAATGGTGCTCAGGGCTTACTTTTGACTCTGTGCTCTGGGGTCACTCCTGGAGGTATTTAGGGTACCCTGTGTGGTGCTAGGGATTGAAGTGGGGTTGGTCATGTACAAGGCAAGCACCTTAACCTCTGTACTTAACCCCTGTACTATTTCTCTGGCCCAAGGTTTATTTTTATAGCAAGGTAGTAACTGGAACACTAATAGAATATGACAGGTAGAGAAGGAGTAGAGAACCTCAATACTGGGAGAGGCTACCGAGAGCCAGAAGAAGGAAGAACAGCCAAAATTTAAGTAAGATGATTATGACAAGTAGAACGAGAAACCAATGGGAAAGGCACTTTAATTAAAGAAGCAAAAAAAAAAAAAAGGACAAAAAAATCTTTTGAATTTTTTTCTGTTACAATAAAATTTGGACATGACTAACATTTTAGATCTAAGAGCAAGGTATTTTTACTTTGGGTATAGCTTGAATGGTGTATGAAAGATGTCAAAAGTTTATTCTTCCTATAAGTGTTCTAATTTTTCTTAAATAATATGGACTTTAGGAATCATATAAACTCTTTACAATAACAATTCAGACTCAGAATTATTAAATAGCTATGGCATAAGAACTTTTTTCTTAGTTTTAGGCATCTGGTATCTTTTGCATTATTTTCTTAATTTTTACTTCTGTGTCAGGTAAAACAATAAATATTAAGTAGTGCATGAATAGAAATAACTGGGTAGTATTTATTTCAGGCCAAAGAAGAAGATCTCAGTTCATTCAGTGCAGCAGACCTGAAGGATCTCTCTTCACATCAGTTGAATGAGTTTTTAGCACAGATGCTCCAGAAGGTAAGTACTAATTTGCAGCATTAGAAATTAAAATGCTCATAAAGGCACTGCCTTTATGTTGAACACAATTTGGAGGCTCATTAAGATGAGAACTAATGGGGAAAAATGCTTTCAGCAAAATTGTTAAATTGAAAGAAATTTACTTAGATAAAGGTGTGGGGATTAAAAGAGAGAAACAAGTTCAAGATAGAACACAGGCTTTTTCAGAATGGAAAAAGACAGGAAAAAATTTAATAACTTATTTATTTATTTAAAAGCATTCATGGAATGCCTATTGTTTACTATTAAACTGACAATAGAAATAAGTAGGAAAGAAATATACTGTGTCGTCAAAAAGCTTATAATGTGGACCTAGAGGTGTTGCTTGGTGGTAGAGCACACACATTGCCTGTATAAAACTGTAGATTTAATTCCCAGCTCACACACACACACACACACACACACACACACACACACTTTATAATCTAGCAGGGAAAACATTTATAATCTAAATTTTGCACACTTGCAAAATTTAGCAATTTAGCAATGAAAAGAGGTGATATTTTAGGAACAATTTGAGAAACAGAGGAATACCCTCAAGTGGCAGGATCTGTGGAGGGTTTATCAAGGAGGGAGGATGTGATTTGCAATGAGCAATGTCAACAGGGAAGTAGAAATTCAAATTAAGGGAGCAGCAGGTGGTGGTGCATGCCATGCCCAGCACCACAGGAGCAAATCAAGATGCTGGGTAAAGAAGTGGGTAAGGAAATTAGTGATGACAGGCTCCGGAGTCAGAGGACAACAGGTAGGCTGCTTACCTTATAAGCGGCTGGCCTGGGTTAGGTTTCTGGCATCCCCTATGGTTCCTGGAGCCCCACCAGGAGTAATCCCTGAGCATCACTGCGTATGCTCTCACTCCAAAACCAAAAGAAAAAGAAGTTAGTAAAGACAGTACTAGAAAGGCTGGTAGGCTCAGAGATGATGGGTCTTGAATGCTAGGTTCAAAACTTTAGATTTTATCTGAGTCAGGAAAGGATTTAGCACATGGAGTAGAGAAGGTCCCCAAGCAATGCTTAGGGGTTCCAGGGACCCCCCCCCCCAACAGTAATTCTCTAATTGAGGATGTGATGCTAGTTCGTCCTTGAAGAGTTCCTTGAAGTTCTCAGAACACATGGGATTCCTTGGTGGTGCTAGGGGTCCCCAGTGCTAGGAGCCCCTTCCGGGCTGCACCCAGCAATGCTCGGGAGTCTCTGTTGGGGCCTGGAATTGAATCCAGGACTGGGCACGTGCTGGGCAAGCGCCCTGACTGCTTTACTCTCTCCAGGCCTGGATTAAGCAGTTTTTACTAGGTGAGTCGCTTAATAGAAGTGGTGGGTTAGGGGAACAAGCCTAGTGGTGCTGTGAAGACTGGACTGATTGAGGAACACAGGTGGAGAAGGAAGTTGGGACACTTGCAGGAGAGCAAAACATGAACGAGGGAGCTAGTGGGAAAAGGAAAGGACAGAAGAGAAGATGATCTGACTGGAGGAGAGCAGGGGGGTTTATGACTGAATTTGAAGGAGCACAGGGAAGAGTCCAAGTAGTTCTGAAGGTTCCCCTCTGAGGTCATTAAAGGGATAAGTGAGGCTGAAAGAAGTCGCTGCCTTTGGAGAGGGAGGCAATGCCTGGGGCTTTTCCATTACATGGAAGGGAGCTCCTGGGCTCAAGGACCACGAGAGATATAGGAATGACTCTGAGCACTTTCAGTGGAATCAGTGAGATGAGAATGAGGGTTTGAAGACAGCAGGAGTCAAGAGACAATGTTTGAAGTCTTCACAGTTTCACAAATCCACAGGTGCCACGTGACGTTGGACCACAAAGGGAGCTACTGTGCTGGGACGACTCACGAGTTTGGGGTTAGAAATGGGGTGGGGAGGGAGGAAGGGGGCCTGGGAGGTGACCTTACCAGTGGACTTAGCAAAGCGGACTTGGAGTTTAGCTGAGGTGAAACAATCTGGGAGGCATTTAATGCTCAGTAAGGTGGTTCTTGAGTGTGGAGTGAGTTTTGAAGGATGAGGTAGGTAGAGGGGTGACTTACCATCTTCCTAGTGGCAACAAACCCCAACTCCAGGCACATCTCAGATCCCTGCTTGTCTGAACTGGATTCATCTTCTCTCTTTCCTTCATTCAAACTTGTTCTCCCTTTTGGCCTGGATAGAGATGGGCACACGAGGCTTATGAGCCCCCGAAATTGTACATAGAAGTTAGTGTTTAGGTGGTAAAAATGTATTTTTCCCTCTAAGGAAAGGGTCCATATTATTCATCACTCTGAAACAAAGAGGTCTGTAATATATGAGATTAAAAGATGGCTATTTTGAAGAGCTGTAGAGCATTGAGAAGGATTTCAGAGGAGAAATACGAAGCTACAACTAAGAGCACTAGATAGGGAAAAACACTAAGGAACTGATTTACTATGGAGAATGGAATACTTGAAGGCAGGTATGGTGTAAGGAAGAACTTAAAATCTCTGTATATATAGTAAAAAAGTATGAGGACCATAGTTCTCATTTAGTTTTCTAGATACCTCACACATTAAATTATCCCTTTGCTCCCAGGATATCTTACCCAGAAGAAGTTTGCACAAAGTTCATTTTAGTGCGCATTTGTTGATTTTTATGTAACTTATTTCTACACTCAAAATATTTAGGTTTTTTTAATCTAGCTAAGAATTTCTCTCCAGCTCCTTTCTTCCAAGGAATCCTGTTGAAATGATACATTTGACTTCTTTATTTTGCTCTTAGGCACCTCTTCCATTGGGGCACATAAAGCGAATGCAAGAGGTGTACAACTTCAATGCCATTTACAATTCTGAAATACGATTCAGGTACATCATTTTAACTTGTCTCTGTGGAAGAAAGTGGAAAATTAGCTTAAACGGTGGAGAAAGGGAAAGGGAAAGCAGAGATATTCATGAGTCTTGAAGAAATCCTTGTCAAATATATTACAGTGCTAGAAATAATCAGTAGAAATTCAGGAATAGCTACATTATCTGTAAAAAAGAAGTATTAATCTTTTGTTAGAATCTGTTCTAAGCTTCTCTTGCCTACGAAAAAAAAATTTACGATTCAGTCGTAAATAGGCATTTTCCTACAACTAGTCAAACTGACTCTGAAGTGAGAATACTTAAAAATCTTTTTTTCTGTTATGAATTAACCTTTTTAAATTCAAAGTGTGGTGTGAGGTTTAAGCCAAAGTTTAATTATTTCAGCAATTGCATTTATAAATTACATGACACCTCCATAATCCAAACCTTTTAAAACAATCTTTTTCAAGAACAAACTTTTCTTCCTTCTTTTCCCCAGTTATTAAATTTTATATAAAGATTTGAGACTTTTCAGAATAAAGATATCCCTCAAAGTGGCATGTGTTATAATATTAATGGAATTATTCATCACTGCAAAAGTTAACAGGTATAGCCTGTGATATCCTCTGCCTTTCTCCTCATTTCCTACCCCATGACTCTTAAAAATCCTCCTTTCAGATGGTTACGACTTTGCATTCAATCGAAGTGGGAAGAAGCAATTCCATTGGCTCTAAAAATGGCGACTGAACAAGGAAGAATGAAATTTACACGACCCTTATTCAAGTAAGACTAACATTAGACTATATAAAAGACTACTCTAATTAACAATTTTTAATTAACTTAATAGAGCAGGGACAACCAATCTTTAAGAAATAGGGACCAAGCAGGACTGGTCAATGGTTGGTCAATGGCGTGGGAGATTCAGGGTAGTTAAGATAGAGGAGCGTCCATTATGACAATACTAGTTGCAAATGATCGCTCTGGACAAGAACTGAATGCTGAAAGCAGGTAAAGGGATATAGATGGTAACTTTCAGCATCTGTAATGCAAATCATAATGCCGAGATAATGAGAGAGAGAGAGAGAGAGAGAGAGAGAGAGAGAGAGAAGATAGGTGCTCCTATCGAGGTAGGCTGGGGGTGGAGTGGCTTGAAGGGATTGCAGGGAAACCGGGAACACTGGTGCTGGGAAATTACACTGGTGAAGGGATGGGTGTTGGAACATTGTACTACTGAAACAGAATCATGAACAATTTTGTAATGCTCTATCTCATGGTGATGAAAGAAAAGAAACAGAGAAAGAGAGAGAAAGAAAGAGAGAGAGAGAGAAAGAAAGAAAGAAAGAAAGAAAGAAAGAAAGAAAGAAAGAAAGAGGGACCAGAGAGATAGTACAGTGGGTAGGCATTTTCCGCTCCAGTTTGATCCTTAGAATCCAATATGGTCTCCTGGGCGCAGACCAGGACTAAGTCCTGAGCACTGCAGGGTGTGAAACTAGAAATCGCCTGTTTTTAAAAAGTTTTCCTTGTTACTAAAATACTTCTAAAAATGCAGTCTAAAAATAATATTTTAAAAGTTGTTAATTAGAGTAGTTTTTTGGAATGTGAATGAATAAATTCTACCTAAAAGTTGAGGTGATTTCATTACTTTGTTTAGAAACATTATGTATGGATTATCTATAAGGGACCAAATGAGGTTAAACATGGGTGAAAGGGAAATAATCAAAGGCAAGTTAAAAAGAGTGAACTGGTTAGGGACCGCGGGGGTGGGTGGGAGGGCAGGGAAGAGTGAACTGTTTAGCATTTCGTAAAGAGTGCCAGCAGCCCATGGATGGAGGGGTAGGGAGTTGGAGAATGTATCTTGGTGGAATTATTTTGACTATGGATTTGGTAGGAATTCTAAAAAAAAAATAGAATTGTGCATGAGTATTCATAATTTATTATCTGCTATTTAAAAATTTACTTCGCAAGAATTACAAAATTTGCCAAAAAACAAATCTATTTCTCTGTCTCTGTCTCTCTGTCTGTCTGTCTGTCTCACGCTCTCTCTTTCTCTCTCCCCACTAGGGACCTCGCAGCCTTTGACAAATCCCATGACCAGGCCGTGTCTGTCTACAAACAGCACAAAGCAAGTATGCACCCGGTGACCGCCATGCTAGTGGGCAAGGATCTGAAAGTGGAGTAAGAACCTGCGCATTGCTGACTTCAAACACTGCTCTTTTTAAAAATTGAATCAAAGAAATACAAAATTCCAGCTCCCATTGTAATGGAAAGTGTCTTTAGTTTTAACTTTTTATTGTTTGTGATTTTCTTAAATAAAGCTGAGCTACCTTCCCTCTAGCCAGTGGCATGTCCTTCGGAAAGTGAATGTTTGAAAGTGTTCACCTTTTGATTTACAAATGAACATTTTTTTATTCCCTATTCGTCGTATCTCCTGATGCTCACAAAATAATGTCAAGATGTCATTTCCTGATAGATGAAACTTGGATTTCAATCTGCCTCCTACCCATAATTTCCAACTGGATTTGAGTTTTGCTGTTTCAGTAACTTTTAACATGAACTAACAGTTGAACTTACTCATCCACCTGATGGATGTAAGATGAATTGACCGAACATGTATAAATGGCTTCCATGCAGGACATCTGGGCTGGTCCCTCTCTCCTCTCTGTTAAGGGTCTGAGGGACACTTGCATGCTGCTACTTCCTAGGGGTCCCTCAGGGAGTCAACTGATCTGCCTCACCTGCCTTATTTCCAGTGTTTAGCCAACATTTTCCCCCATGTAGAAATTAAAGCTTGAAGAAAGACCTACTGAAAACACCACAACTATTTCAAAGAAAAGTAAAAATTCCCCAGGGAAGTACTATTATGGAAGTATTCCTCAGACCCTAACAGAGAGGAGAGAGCGACCGGCTCAGAGGTCCTGCGTGGAAGCCATTTATACATGTGTGGTCGGTTCATTTTACATCCATCAGGTGGATGATGAGTGAATGCAAAGCATGCAGTGTGGGAACCACAGTTAGGTTGGTTATAATTTTGCCAGTTACAGTGCACAATTGGCTGGAAGTCAGGAAAAGGACCAGTTACTTTCAAGACACAGGTGAGATGGCTAAGGGAGACAGCTCAGAGAGATGGAGTGCATGCCTAGTATATTTGAGCCCTCAGTTTCTATCCCTGGGGCCGCATGACTCCTGAGCACTGTCCTATATTGTCCTGGTGGCCAGCACTGCTGGGTTGAGCAGCCCCATGATTACTAGGAATATTCAGGCCTGTAGCACCCAGTATTTGTATTTCCAGTACAGGTCCTTCAGCAATGTTGGGAAAAGTTTCAATGACAAGGGAACTAGCACCCAGATTTTAGTACAGCAGCCCCAGAAGCTCCTTTTTGCCCTTTATTAGTCTCCTTTTTGCCTCTTTAATTACAGTGCATGGTCAGGCTACCCCTCCAGCTTCATTCTTGAAAATAGGCCTCACTGAGGGCCAGGTGGAGAACTACAGTGGGGTGCCTCAATTCCAGCTTCCAAGGAGGAGATGTGCGAGTCTGCTTTTGACCAAATGAATGCCAGCCAAGAGGAATGATGTCTTGTCCAGTGCTTCTCAATGTGAAAATGGCAAAAATGAGATTGGGCCAAGTAATTGGATGTGGGTGGGAGGGGAGGGGCACAGGAAGGCACTGATGAGAAGTAGGACCTCAGACAGGAAAAGCTTGAGAAGACACTGTCCTTAGTAGAGTCCAAATATGGTTGAGGGTAGATTATTAGAGAACATAAAACTGGGAGTGCAGTGACAAGTCTTCAATGTAAATACCCCAAAGGTGGGGCAGATAGCGATGGGCTGAGTTCTTTCTTTTCCTCTGCTGCAGAGACTTCCTGCTCTCACTTCTCCCAGTGGTTTCTGTCCTCTTGGACTCTCTCTACACCACTGTATGGTTGTCATTCTCAAATTGCATGCTTGTCACTCATACCAGGACTACCAGAGGAGAGTTTGTTTGTTTGTTTGCTTTTTGGATCACACTCAGCGATGCACAGGGGTTACTCCTGGCTCTACACTCAGGAATTACTCCTGGCGGTGCTCGGGGGACCATATGGGATGTTGGGAATCGAACCCGGGTTGGCCACGTGCAAGGCAAACGCCCTACTCACTGTGATATCGCTCCAGCCCCAAGAGAGTTGGTTTGTAATCATAGTGATTAAGATGTTAGCCAACCCAGGGATCCAAACAATGCATTTTAAGTCTTCTATGGCCCTGGGAACTTACCCCTTCTACTCTAAGCTTCTTAAACTGTGGGTCACCCCTGAATGTGGACATCTTCAAGTATTTGGCAACAAAAAAAAGTCTTATTCGGAGCGGCCTTCAAAATCTACCATGTTATGCGTCGAAGGTGTTTCTGGAGGCATTGGCTTGTGCTGCATTTCTCAGGAAAAAAAAAGGTATCACTAGGGTGAAAATTTAAGAAGCCCCTTCTAAGCTTAGCTTTTTTTTTTTTTTTTAATTTCCCTGACAGTGAAAGCACAGGATGCTTGAATGTTGTATTGAGAGCCTTCAGGAAGTAGGGGGCGCTAGAGACAAACATCCGTAGAGAGTCTCCTGAGATCAGCTCAGGCTCTGCTTGGATTCACTCAGGCTAATACACCTACATGGTCTTGTGCCCGGTAAGATAACAGAGATAAAGTCAGAAAGAGAGGGATAGACATAGAAAGATTGCATTCATCTGGGGAACATAAAGTAACAAAATAGGAGACTAACACCCAAGAGTGGCCAAGATTAGTACCAGGAATTCTGCTCCATGGCTTGGAGGCCAGCCACACATGCTAGGGGAGAAGGGAGCACCAAATAAAGGGTCTTGGGAGGATCCTCCCAGGATGGGAGAAGCATGCTAAAAGTAGACTATAGACCGAACATGATTGCCACTCAATGCCTCTTTTGCAAACCACAGGACCCAAAAGGAGAGAGAGAGAACAAAAGAGAATGCCCTGTCACAGAGACGGGGTGGGATAGGGGGGATGGGAGGTGGGAGGGATACTGGGACCCGTGGTGGTGGAAAATGGGCACTGGTGGAGGGATGAGTACTTGATCATTGTATAACTGAAACCCAAGCACAAAAATTTGTAAGTCTACAATTGTACCTCATGGTGTTTCACTAATGAAAATTAAAAAAAAAAAGATAACAGAGATAAGTTATTTCTATCTGGTGCAATAAAGGGCAGCCCAGAGGGGGCATTTGACCAGTCAAAAGGTTTCCTAGAAAAGAAAAGACTAAATCTGAGCCTTAAGGAGAACAGGAACTATCTAGCAAAAAAATAAATTTGAATAGACACTTGTCCAAAGAAGACATACAGATGACCCACAAACACATGAAAAAAAAATGGTCACTACCACTTATTAGATGAAAATTAAAACCAAAATTATATATCTGCTCATACCTGTGAGAATTGTCTCTATCAAAAAGATAGGCAGCAACAAGTTGTATAGATTGAAGAAAACCCAAACCATGATGGGAAGTGAAACTGAAGCAGTCTTTAGGGAAAATGGTCTGGATATTCCTTAAAGAAAGGAAAAGAAATACCATATGATCCAGCAATTCTAGATAAAGGCATTTGCAGTCAGCAAATAACATTAAATGTGCTGCAAAAGGACTTTTTTGGGGGGGCTCACACCCAGCGATGCACAGGAGTTACTCCTGGTTCATGTACTCAGGCATCTCTCCTGGCGGTGCTCGGGGGACCATATGGGATGCTGGGAATCGAACCTGGGTCTGCTGCATGCAAGGCAAATGCCCTACCCGCTGTGCTATTGCTCCAGCCCCAAAAGAACTTTTTTATGCCAGGAATTTTTATATGGCCTGGAAGAGAGGAGTTCAAATGTTAATACATTTTCCACCTTTAGAACCACATACATACACACACAATCATCGTTAATACCAATTAATATTTTTAGCATTATTATTACCACATATTACTATTATCACTATGATTACTAATTAAGGATATACTTAATAATACTAATTAATAATTCAATTGCTGTGCACATAGGTGAACCTATTTGATCATCCAAACACTGCCAGGAATGATTCCTGAGCACAAAGCCAGGAGTAACCCCTGAGCACCACGGGTATGGCCTAAAACAAAAAACAAGCAAAAGAATTGATAACATGTGAAAATTGTAATTATTTTCATCTGCTGTTTGCTTAGTTTTTATACTTATTTTCAAATCAAGTGTAAAATTTTTGAAACAAATTTACTTTTAGAACTAAAAGCAGGCAACTTCAATTTATCTTATTTTAATTTTTTTGCCATTATTGTCTTTTGGGGCTGGAGCGATAGCATAGCAGGTAGGGTGTTTGCCTTGCCTGTGGCCGACCTGGGTTTGATTCCTCCGTCCCTCTCAGAGAGCCCGGCAAGCTACCAAGAGTATTCTACCAGCACAGCAAAGCTTGGCAAGCTACCTGTGATGTATTCAATATGCCAAAAGCAGTTAACAACAATTCTCACAATGGAGACGTGCCTGCTCAAAATTGATGAACAATGGGAAGACAGTGCTACAGGGCCACCCAATGGATATACAAAAACACTACAGCAAAAGTTATTTTCACCCCTATGTTCATTACTCACAATGTAACATTACTCAGTGTCTGAAATATGGAAACAACCTAACTGCCCACCAACAGGTAATGGGATAAGGGAGATGTGGTGTATATAGACTTGAGAGAGTACTATTTTACCACTAAAAATAGATAAAGTTGGGACCAGTTCTCTAGAACTCAAGGTGATAATGCCAAGTAAAATAGGCAAGGATATGAAAGACAATTACTACATGGTTTCATGTGTGGGATTTGAATAACCAAGGCAAAGAAACTGGCAAAACACCACAAAACTGACTCCCAGGACTAGAGGGATAGTACAGTGGGTAGGATGCTTGCCTAGCACATAGGTGACTCGGGTTCAATCTCCAGCACTATATAGGGTCTCCTGAGTCCTATCAGGGGTGATCCCTGAGCACAGAGTCAGGAGTAAACCCTGAACCAGGCCAGGTGTGTCCAAAAAACAAAACAAAAAAACCCCCAAATTTCTAGAATTTTCTGAAATTGGTGAAATTGTTGGTGATGACTGGACAGAAAGGGCAAGAGGGGTCAGAGGAATGGATCAAGGGAAAACAGAGTGAAATGACACTGTAACTTGGGTGATGGGTGACTTGAGACACATCGAAGTGTGAAACTTTACCCTTGAAATTCTTCCCTATTGTAATCCCATAATAAATGAAGGAAGAAAAAGAGAAAGAAAAACCTAGTCAAGCAAAGTTAGAAATGGGTTCCAATGAAGATAGAAATTTCTAGGTTCTTTGACTCATGAATTTAGACAGAGTGGGTGGATATGGAGGCTCCACATTGTCCAGGGCCTCCGCTTGGAATCCTCAAATGACTGAGGTGACAGAAATCTCCAGCAGCTGGTACCATCTGGAGGCAGAGCCAGAGGAGAGTTTGGCTCACATTCCTGGTTTCTAATCCTTCATAGTGATTAAGATGCTAACCAACCCAGAGACCCAGACAATACATTTTAAGGCTTCTCTGACTCTGGAATCTTGATGATGTTATGTCTCACTCCTGCCTGTGCTCAGCAGGGACTGGCCAGTGTTGTGCCCAGGACAGTCAGATTTTCTCATGGCACAGGATGTAGCTGGACTTCTCACTAGTCTTGCTCACAAGAGCAAGACAGAGAATGTGAAGTGAGAAGTGCTTGGGCTGTATCAAGGTAAAAAAATTGATGCACAAATGAGTGCAGGCACGAAGTTCAGATGCTTTGTGTCTGAGTACCTTGGTTTTCTCAGAGATGGTGAAAAATTCAGGGAGGGGAACACAGAACACTGTGAATTTGGAACATTTGTAGTTTGTAGAATTTGGAACATTTGTAATTTGTAGGGGACACATAAAAAGCTGGGCTTTTCACTTTAGGATCCTAAAGGCAATAATTCAAGGTGATTATTCAGGGTGGGTTTCACTAAGAATGTAGGTGTAGGTTGAAGGTTCTAAGGGAATTCCAAAGTTCTGAAGAAGAAATGGCCCAGGTGAGCCATTAGAGCTTCCCAGGAAAGTAAATAGACTCGAGAGACAACAGAAGGGGCAGGTGCTTGCCTTGCAAGTGCCAATCCTGGCTCAAGTCCTGGTACTATATATGGTCTCCCCATCACCACCAGGAGTGACCCTGAGCACAGAGCCAGGAACAATCCCTGAGCACCAGCAAGTGTGGCTCCCAGCTCAACAACCCCAAACAAAAAGCCTAGGAAAGTATGTGAGGAAGTCCTGAGAGGTGGAGGAAAACAAGAAGCTCTGAAGCGTGTGCCAGGACAGAGATAGTGGAAGTCTAGGGATGTTGGAAGGCTAGAAGGTTGAAGCCAGAAGGTAGTGCTTTGAAATATCAGATTTCTACTGAGTTTCAAATCTAGGTGATGCCATTCCAGGTCAAGAAGTGGGTGGTGATGTACAAGTTTCCATAGGTTCAAGGAGAAAGTAGGTCGTGGTCTATTTCCAAGGATATCACTGTAGAAAGAGACTCTGGGTGTGAGTGCTTTCCTAAGTAGCTGCATCTCCATTCCTAACAGACTTTCCAGTGTTTTCCTTCCTTTAGCTATTATCAGATCTCTAGAAACTAAAAGAGCATGCAAGTTTCTTTCCCTTCTCATGGTCTTCCAAGTTCCTTTAAAGTAGAGGGGATAAAGTGGGTATGAGGGAGCAGTTGTCTGTGTTGAAGAAACTTAACTAGAGCAGGGATATTCATATACAGAGATGAGAGAAAGCAATAGAGGGCTATAGGATCCTAAAGTCCAAATACCGCCAACCACGAACACTTGGGTACCATTTCCCATGCACTTCTTAATACACTCACTTAAATCACTCCAATGGCCCTTTGAAAGGGGGAGTCATTATTCCCATTTCACTGAAGAAGAAATCAAGGCCTAGAGATGCTGATAATGTGTCCAGAGGTCACATGGCTCATGAAAGGCAGAACAGAGCAGAGTTTAAGCTAAAGACTGGCAACAGTTTCCAGAGATGGTCAGCTCCTTGGTCTTTGGATAAGAAAAGGGGCTGAGGAATAACTTCATTCTCTTAAAGCCTCAGAGAGTGGCATGAGAGACCAGCCTTTGGCAGGCTCAGCAAGGACCCTCTGTGATTCGTGCATGTGGGGGTTAGGAAGGGGGCCCTGGGCTGGCAGAGTGATCTCTGGCCTTGGCAGACTTCCTCTGCGAAGGGCCGGGTTCAGGCTTGCTCAACTCCTGTTTGTGGAATAAGCAAATGAGTGGGGATTGCCACACTCGGTGGTGTCACACTTGGCCAGTAGGGAGCTTTTCACAGTTGGGTAATTCCAGATAAAGGCAGGAACATGGTGTTTATAGAAAGCTGCGGTGGATGGAGGCAAACTCAGCCAGAAACCAGGGGAGGGGGAGCGATCGGAGACCCAGAGGTGAGGGGCAGGCCGGTGGGCGCTGGGACTCCAGGGCCAGAACACCGGGGTCTGACTGCATCCGGCCCAGAACCGGGGCTCACAGGCACGGGGGAAACCACCGCAGCCCCCTCCCCTCCCTCAGCAGTGGAAGCCAGAAGGGACACCGTTAGGCCCTCGATCAATATTTGCCCAGTGGGTGGATGAAAAAGGCCAGGGAGGGGACGTATGCAGGGCTATCCCCGCCCTCCCAGCCGACCACACCTTGGGCCACTCCGGCATAAAATTCGGCCCTCGCAGCACCGTGCACAGGCACTGCAGACGGCGGCCAGGCCATGCCCCGGTTCACCGTGCACGTGCGTGGAGAGTGGCTGGCGGTGCCCTGCGTGGACCCGCAGCTCACGGTGGGCTGGCTGGGCCGCGAGGCCATTCGGCGCTATGTCAAGAACAAGCCAGACAACGGCGGCTTCTCCTCGGTGGACGATGTCAGCTTCCTCATGCGCCGCTGCAAGGGGCTGGGCCTGCTGGACAATGAGGACCCGCTCGAGGTGGCCCTGGAGGACAACGAGTTCGTGGAAGTGGGTGAGTTGGCTGGCGGGGAGCCGCCTCGAGTGGATGGGAGGATGGGACCCCGCTGGCCTGGGGTGCGCGACCTGGAGACAGGGCTCGAGACCTCAGAATGAAGGTAGAGATTATTACCAGCGGGGAGCAAAGAGAATTAGACTCAGGACTGTGGGTCTCGGTCCCTTTGTAGCTACTGAACGGTTCTGAAGCTCTTTCTGCACTGCTGAAGAACTACAGTGGACACCAGGCCGTTGGCTTGGAGTTCAGATTTGACATGAAGCTGGTAGTTATCGGGCTGGAGCTATAGCACAGCGGGTAGGGCGTTTGCCTTGCATGTGGCCAACACACGTTCTATTCCCAGCATCCCATATGGTCCCCTGAGCACTGCCAGGGGCAATTCCTGAGTATAGAGTCAGGACTGACTCCTATGCATTGCTGGGTGTGACCCAAAAAGCAAAAAAAAAAAAAAAAAAAAGTAAATAAATAAAGCTGGTAGTTAGCTCTGGAACTTTCATTTAGACCCTGTGTTCACCCCCCACCCTTGCACCACCCCACCCTACTTTTATGCCTTTTACTCTTCTGTTTTCTGAAGATGCTAAGAACACTTGAAAGCCTTTAAAAGGTGATCTGGGGGCAGGAGTAACCTATACTTCATAGTACTCCACGGCTACTCCCAGCTCTAGCTATTTTGAGTCACCCCTGGCAGTGCTCGGGGACCAAGCCATGCCAGGGATGGAACCTGGGCCTCCTGCATGCAAAGCATTGGTCCAACCCATTGAGTCACATCCGAGGCCAGTAAGTCGCCCGTTCTACAGGACACCAGGGTGGGGGTGGCCTTTCTTGGTCAATGCAGTGTCCAGGTGAGCGAGCGGGTCTGTTTCGCACTCTCGTTTCAGTGATAGAAGGGGATGCCATGTCTCCTGACTTCATTCCATCGCAGCCAGAAGGGGTTTACCTGTATCCTTTTCCTGTGGGCTCCTCCCCAGGGCGTCCTCCTGATAGTGAGGGGCATGGGGTCCCGCACACATTCCCTTTTCTAGTGTTTTCCTATACCTGCTCTCAGATACAGCAAATACCGGGAACCAGAAAAGGTAAACTGTAAAGCACTCTTTAGGGCAAGAAAAAGAAACCTCCTCCTTAGAGGGAGCAGGAAGCAAAAGTCAGCACTTTCCCTTGTGGCCTGCTCTGTTCTCATGATGCAGGGAGAGGCACCTGCTTTTGTCCTCTGGGCAGGGGAGAGGCGGGAAGAGGGAGGAACCTAACCCCAACTCCTGCATGGATAGCACACGCAATAGCCTTTCAAGTTATCTCCACAGCCCACGGTGTGTGTGTGTGTGTGTGTGTGTGTGTGTGTGTGTTGGTGGGGGGAGGTTTGGGGCTTTGTTTTGGGCATGGGAGGGCCACGCTGAAGGTGCTCAGGACCCATCACAAGGTCTAGGGAATTGTTCCAAGATCTCGATCACAGTTGCATGCTAGGGAAACACTTTAAGCTTTGAACCTGCACTGCAGCCCATTCAACAAGTATTTCCACTATTTATAGCAGTGCTAAAATCTGTGAAGTCTCAAAGGGTGGTCCTGCTTGAGGCTTCCGTCCTCTGGCCAGAGCACTCAGCCCTTCCAGCCCACTGAGTGCCCCTCTGTTTTGCAGTTCATCGAGCTGGATGGTGATAGTCTGACCACTGAGGACCTGGTCAACTTGGGCAAAGGCCACTACAAAATCAAGGTCTGCTGCAGGCCGGGGAGGGAGCAAGGCTGTTGCCTTTGGGGGCCTGTGGATATTCTCCAGGTGCTCAGCTTAGACCCCTTCCCCCATCTCCCTAGCTCACCCCAGCCGCTGAGAAGAGGGTGCAGAAATCCCGGGAAGTCATAGATAGTATCGTGAAGGAGAAAACAGGTATCTTTTTCTTTTTATGTTTCATCCTTTTTTTTTTACTTTTACAACTTAAAAAAATATGGCCTACCTCTACTTGTCTAACATCAGCTGCTTTGTTTTCATTCTAGTTGTTTATGGCATTACTACAGGCTTCGGGAAGTTTGCCAGAACAGTGATTCCTATCAGCAAGCTAGAGTAAGTCTTGTTCCGGCCCTTCCTGCCACTCACACACTCCTGTGCTTCCGCCACATCTTTGAGATTCTTTCCACAGAGCGAATAATGCCCACGAGGTGGATGGGATTCCAGTTGCTCTGTTTGCCCTTGAATCAGATGGAAAGCTTGGACTTGTCTGTTTCTTTTTGTTTCCCTGTGACTCTTTCTGTCCTCTGCCCTCTTCAAGGATGGACTAACTATTCTTCCCTCCATCTCCCCAGATAAGGAATCTTTTCTCGGCGAGGTATATAAGACAGTTTTTTTCCCCTTTCTTCCAGAGAGCTTCAAGTCAATTTAGTCCGCTCCCATTCTTCAGGTAAATCTTTCCAGTGGTGGGTATTTCCTTCCTGAAGCTTCTTCAGTTTCACGAGTGAAGAGTGGTCCAAGCTGGGGGAGGCAGCTTTTATCAGTTCGTGCATCCCAAAGACACGGTGCCAGTCCTGCTGCAGGGTGCAAGAGAGGCAGAAAGCATCAGACAGGACCACCCCTTCGCTGACTCTCAGAAAAAGAAGAGCCAGGTGGAGGGAAAGAGTTGGGACAAGAGTACATGGATTTCATCGTGCTCACAGACTAGTGAATTTGAGAACAAAATTGAGGCTGGAGTTCAGGGAATGAGTCAGTCAGACAAAGCAAGATGGAAAGCATCGAGATGACTCTCAGATGGACCTGAGGGATGTGAAGAAGGTAGGGTCCTCTGAAGCATTGCAGGAAGGGGAAGTGGGAAGACAAGTCTGAGGGACTCACCTTTATCTGGAGATGGGACTTCCCAAGACAAGAGCCAGGAAGAGACTGGTCTTGACTCTCCAGGTCAACAGGAGAAGGACAATAGCAGACTGATTTGAAGAGGAGAAAGATTTGAAAGATGATGGTGAACAGGAAGTGAGGCACAATTTGTTTTTCTTGGGAAAAAAATTGCAATTGTGTTTTGTAGGTGTTGGGAAACCACTAATCCCTGAGAGATGCCGGATGCTGTTGGCTTTAAGGATCAATGTCTTAGCTAAAGGCTACAGTGGCATTTCCCTGGAGACCCTCAAGCAAGTGATTGAAGTGTTTAATGGTAATGCAGGAGCTCCCCAAACTGACCATCTGTTGAGGTGGGGCATACTGCACAGGCTGACTAGCTGACAGGATGGTGCGGAATTGGCCAAGACAAGGAAACAGAAAATAATGGGGATGAATGTGCCTTGGGCATGGGAAAGATGGGCGATGAGAAACGTGGGGGCAGAGACCCTTGCTCCTGGGTTGATTTGGATTTGGTCTGTACTGATTTACTCTCACTGATTTAACACAGCAGTTACTAACTGGAGGTCATTTGACCCTCTGCATGCATCTATGATATGCCAAGGGGACATACATAAAATGTCAAAATGGGAGGCACAGCAAGATGCTAGGTGGGGCAACTGAGAGGACAGGGGGATGGGAGACAGGAAAGACACAAAGTTGGAAAGGGGCCATGGTCAGAACAACTTATTCTCTATAATCTTTCACTTAGCATAATTGATCAAAGCTTTGATCTCAGGGTGCCTAAATATGGTTAGAAAGCTAATATTAACTCGTCTGGGAAATGATACTTTATGGCTCATCTTGTTCATTTTGTTCAAGATTGGCTCTGTAGTTCTGGTTGGTGCTTTAGAATCTGGAATCTTAATTTTCCCCAAATGGTGGGGTAGCCAGATTTAAAAAATAAAATTTCCACTTCTTGTACAAGTAGAAATGAACTGTAGAAATTAAAGACTGCTTGTACCTCAGAAAACAACCTAGATGCAGTTTATTGTTAGTTTACACCTAGATGCAGAACTTAATTCTTGTGAGAAAAAAATTCTATAAAGATCTATAAAGAAATTGGCCTGAAATGCTTGGGAAGCTAGTATTCCTTCCCACAGTTAAGAATAAAGATTCTAGGTCAGCAGAGGCTTGGGGAAACATTTGAGAGTGAAGGAGTAGGAGGAGAAGCAACACTTGGCAGTCCAAAAATGAAAACACACGTTTGTATCTTTATGGTTTGGATACAAATGATTCATAAATTTGATATTCCAATTAGTAAGTAGAATATCTGATGAGTAGAGTAGCCTATGATTTAAATACCAGTGTCTGTTCCCACACTGCTCAACCCTACAAGTGCAGTTCAGCTTTGGCCTACAGTTCATGGGAAGGGCTGTGACATCTGGGTCCCTGAGTGATTTGGATTTGGTCTCTACTGATTTACTCTCACTGCTTTACCCTACTGACATTATTTATCAGCAGCTGTAAATTAAACTGCAAGCAGGATTCTGAATGTACTTTAGAAAAACAAAGCCTCTTATTTTAGGGTAAATTATTGGGAATACCTTCCCAAATAATCCTGTTTGTTTACAAGTGGTTCTGAGGTGACAGAGTAGGTGACTAGGAATTTAGTAAGAAAAAGAAAGAAAGAAAGAAAGAAAGAAAGAAAGAAAGAAAGAAAGAAAATGAAGATAAGTTTCTTATGACTTTATCTCCCCAGAAAATCTGGTTAATACTTTGGTATACATCTAGAACATTTTATGTTTCATTTCCAATTCATGTTTCCAGATAGTATCTCATCATTTTTAATGTCTATGTATAGCTTGGTCTCTTAGTTCTGTATGTAAATCATTTCTAACATTCTGTTCCTTGGAACAAGGATATACTAAGTAACCACAATGTGTTCATGATGGTGTCTTTAAAGTGTACTTTTAGAAATCCTGGAAATACCTAGGTCATATAGAATATGCATGTCCTCCTAGTCTTTGCCTTTTTTCTCTAGTGACTGAGCCATTAGTCCAAATCATTAGTTGATTATGAAGAATTTCTTTCCTTTCATATATATGGCAAAAGAGAGAATCAAGAGACTATTAAGAGAATTTGGTCTCAGGCAAAGGATGCCAGCATGAAATACTCTTGCAATAATGGGTGTCTACTTTTCTCCAGCCTCCTGCCTATCCTACATTCCAGAGAAAGGAACTGTCGGAGCCAGTGGAGACCTTGCCCCACTCTCCCACCTTGCTCTTGGGCTCATTGGAGAAGGGAAGATGTGGTCTCCAAAGAGTGGTTGGGCTGATGCCAAATACGTAAGAATTGATTAGTGACTTCCATCTGCAGGAATTTCTCTAGGTGCATTGCATGCTTTATGTCATTTAACTCTTACAGCAGCTCTGTATGCCCACCTTTCAAAGGAGAAAACAGAAGCATAGCAATCAGGCTAGACAAGGTTCTTAGTTTTCAATGCTTTGTTTGATTCAAATGCTTTCTGCACTTGGTGATCCTCTGGGTAAAAAGGTTCAGCTGTCAGTGTTGATCCCAGGCATTAGTTTGCACCTAAAACAACTCCTTTAGAAGGTTACACATGGTTCTGATTTACTTCATTGCTGGTCTCGCAGGTACAGGGCTGAGTATCAGAACCACCACTGTATGGCATCCAGAAAACAGGTCTTATTCCCCCCACCCCACGCGCGCGCACACACACACACACACACACACACACACACACACACACACACACACAAAGAGTCTGGTGGCTAATCGGAAAGGCTGGTTTTTGATAAAGGATTGATATTTGCTTGCTTTATCTCTAAATTCAAAGTAAAACAAGACTTGTTTGAGGTTCAATCTTTCACCAATTCCAGAAGGTTCCCTCATAGTCATCAAAAAGGCAAGAACCCAGGAGGACGAAACAGTTTAAAGGAATAGATCATACTTAGGGGAATATGGGTTCCAGATCACCTTCCCTTCCCTTCCTTTCCCTTCCCTTCCTTCTCTCCCCTCCCTTCCCTTCCCCTCACCCACCTTCCTTCCTTCCTTCCTTCCTTCCTTCCTTCCTTCCTTCCTTCCTTCCTTCCTTCCTCCCTCCCTCCCTCCCTCCTTCCCTCCTTCCCTCCCTCCCTCCCTCTCTCCTTCCCTCCTTCCTCCCTCCCTCCCTCCCTCCCTCCCTCCCTCCCTCCTTCCTTCCTTCCTTCCTTCCTTCCTTCCTTCCTTCCTTCCTTCCTTCCGTCCTTCCGTCCTTCCTTCCTTTCCTCCCTCCCTCCTTGATTTTTGGCAAACCAGCATTTGTTCAGGGCTTATTCCTGTCTCTCCACTCAAGTATCACCCCTAGCAGAGCTTAAGGGAATGAATGTAATACCAGGGGGATAGAACCCAGATCTGCTGCATGCAAGACAATGCTCTCCCCACTACACTGTACCTTTCTTCCACCAGATGACTTCTCTGTGTACAGTGTCCACAAACTTTCCCATAGCAAATTCAAGAATGTCCTGGATAAAAGCTGTAATGCTTCCTATTCACCTCAGGAGACTCCACATTACTTTTCTTTTTGAAATTTGGTTGGAATTGGGGGCTCATGGTGCTGCTCAGGAGATCTAGCACCCTTCCTCACTCACCAGGCCAACAGTTCAATAGCGGCCTGAGGATGCACTGACATTTGGGCTCTTTCGTGCCAGGGTTTAACCCAGCCACCCCAGTGGCCACAGGCCCAGCAGGTACCTGAACCTCAGTAGGATTTCTCCAACCCAGCATAGTCTCAATGTAGTGGTTCACAGAGTCTCATTTGTGCAGATATCTTGGCCCTGCCCCCCCACATTTCCTGGCCCTGCCCCCATGCCAGAAGCCAAGGTTCTTGGTGGAAGAACCAGTGTACTTGCTTTCTTTCCTCTCTTCTCTGCCCCCTCATGTTCCCCTTCTGGAAAGTTCTATAAGATTCCCCCCACCCCAAATTCCCCTGAGCCACCATGTCCTTTGACTGACTCCTTTGTGCTCCCTTTGCTCTCATCTTCTGTGACTGTTTTCCTGATCCACTTACCACTTCCTGTAACACTTAATGTCTGTAATGCTGTGACCCTAGGTCACCTCTGCAGCACTTTGCATCCAATTTCTGTCACCGCCCTGAGCTTTTCTCTTTGATTTTTCCTCTCCCTACCCTGGATTCAGCCTAATTCTGGAACCAAATCAGGTGTTCTAAGACACTTGTGACACCTATTCCCTCTAGGTCTTCCTTTCCCAGAAGGACCTTTGCTGAGCAACTGAATTCAAGTCTTTGATTTCAGGGAAATGAACTTATTCTGCCCATTTTCCACTCTGGGTTCTATTTCCATCTCTTAGGCTTACCATCCCCTCCTCATCCACATTTGACACATCAGTGGACTTAAGAGATAGAACAGAGGTTAAGGTTTTTGCCACACATGCAGACAACCCTGGTTTGATTCCTGGCATTACACATGGTCCTCCTAAGCACAGCCAAGAGTGATCCCTGTGCACAGAATAAGGAGTAAGTTCTGAGTATCACTGGGTGTGGCCCAGCCACTTCCCCTGTCCCCACCCCCAACAAACATTTGACATGCCATTGAGAAGCCCTGCTCTGAGGTCTGGGCGTTTTGATAAAAAGGATGAGGATGAAGAATTTATTTAGGTTGAAGACTGCAAGGATGAGACGGCAGACAGACAGAGGCTTGGCATGAGCAGTGTGTGTGTGTGTGTGTGTGTGTGTGTGTGTGTGTGTGTGTGTATATGTGTGTGTACAGGAAGCAGTGGGAATGCTTCACTGAGTCAGGTAATGACAATCAAGCGCCAGCATATCAAAACTCAGGGTCAAGTCTGTGAATTCCAGAATCCTGATCTTAAATACCCCTTCACCCCCCCCAGAATGATTGGAAAGATAATTCTGCTTTCTGCTTTCAGAGTAAACATCAGAACTGAAGATTCAACCATAAAAAAAAACAAACAGCGCCCATTTGTCTAGTTTTATTAGTCTTCTGTAAGACAGACCTTTGGGACTTTGAAGCTCTTCTGCTGGGTTCCATCAGAAAACAAAAGGAAACTGGGTGTTCATTTGATACCCATTTCAATTTTTTTGGTCATTCTTACAGGTCCTGGAAGCCCATGGATTGAAACCAATTGTTTTGAAACCAAAAGAGGTAAAGTGATTAAAGAAAAATGTGTTCATTTTTGCATGTTTCTATTTAGGCACCACTTTCAATCTTACTATCACCCTCTCTGACTTCTTAAACATGCCTTGCTTGTTCGTTGAAAGTAGGTTCCTCAAGGAAAGGCTTCCTAATTAACATTTCAAAATTCTTCATGCCATGAAAACTTTTTTGTTTGTTTTGGGGGCATACCTGGTGATGCTGGGATTACTCCTGGCTCTGCACTCAGCATTACTCCTCGTGATGCTCAGAGGAACATATGGGATGTTGGACATTCCAAGTCGGCTACATACAAGGCAAACACCCTACTCTCTTGTCCTATTGCTCCAGTCCCACGTCATAAAAACTTTAAATTGGGCTCTCTAAGAACCCCTCAGAAATTCCCCCTTATGATTTTTTAATCTGAGAAGAATCTTGGGGAAGAATGTTTGGGAATGGCTTATTTAAAATGGTGAAATATTATTTAAAATGGTCCTCATGGGGCAAGGGCATCAGCAGCCCCGTGGAGTTTTCAGGCTTCCCGATACCCCAAAATTGCCTTTGTGCCTCTGGTCAGGCCCCAACAACCTGGGAGCAAATTTTCCGAGAAATTAAATGGCTAAAAGTTAGGTATGTGGAAGCCACACCCACAAACCACCTCTGGCTCAACTGTACAAACTCGTTTATGGACCTTGCTTCAGAGATTCATAATAAATCTCGAAAGAGATCAAAAGGTGCAGTTAACCTTGGAACTGCACAAGACTGAACAGATTAGAGTAAATTGGAGTGGGAAGGGTCAGCCTGGTTCCCACCCAAGTAGAGCCCCTGGCAGCCACTTGCTACCACAATCCAAAATTGCCACCATGCCCCCGGCTAGACTCCATTATCTCAGGATGAACCTCACTGAGGTATTAATCTGTTGAAAATTCCAATATGCAGGTTTTGTGACTGAAATCTCCAGGCTTTCTCAGAGTTGGGATGGACTACCTTCCCTACTTCCCTATACTCCTCTAAGTACTAGTAGTCACCCCCACTAACCTGCTCCAGCGCCACATGTAAACTCTTCTACTGACCTTACTTCTTCAGAGACTCATAAATAAATATCAAAATAGATCAAAAGCCACAATTAATCTTAGACCCACACAAGGCTGAACTGACAGGGGTAAATTGCAGGGGACAGGTCAGCCTGGTGCCTACAAGCAGAGCCTCTAGCAGTCACTTGTGTCCACAATCCAAAATTGCCACCATGCTCCCAGCCAGACTCCACTGTCCCAGGGTAGACCTCACTGAGATATAGTTTATTGAGAGTATGGATATGCAGATTTTGTGACTGAAATCTCCAGACTTTCTCAAGATCTGGACGGGCTACTTCCCTTCACCTCCCTCTACTTCAGGAAGTCTTGGTAGTCATGTCCACACCCCAAAGCTGCCATGCAATTGAAAAGCTACTCCAGGCATACCTTCCCAATAAAAATACCGAACATCCTGAACCAACATGATGACCTCTTAGTACCTGTATTGCAAACCACAATGCTCAAAAAAAGAGAGAAAAAGAAGAAAGTACCTGCCTTAGATGCAGGCTGGGAGCAGGGAAGTGGTGTTGAGGGAAGGCAGGAGGGAAACAAGGAACATTGATGGTGGGAAATGTACACTGGTGAAGGGATGGATGTTGGATCATTGTGTGACTGAAACCCAATCACAAACAACTTTGTAATGATCTATCTCATGGACATTCAATTAAAAAGGAAAAAAAGGGTGATATATTAAGAAATAAATGCAGCACAGGAACTAAAGGTTTTATATGTGGGCAGGAAATGTGACCCAGTGGGAAAGCCCTCCCATATCTGCATGTTGAGGTCCTGGGTTCAATCCCTGGTTCATAGGTTGGCCCTGAGTTGTCTAATGCCTTAAATAAAGACTGCTGTGCTACTCTCTAGAAAATACAGGTACATACCTTTCAACTGTCAGGCGAACTTTTCTTTTACTCAAAACAAAAGATACAATATCAACTTGTCTGTAGTCTTATTATCTCAATAATTTTTCTCTGTCCCCAAAGGGTCTGGCGCTCATCAATGGGACCCAGATGATCACCTCCCTCGGCAGTGAAGCTGTAGAGAGAGCCAGCGCCATTGCCCGGCAGGCAGACATTGTGGCTGCCTTAACGCTTGAGGTGCTGAAGGGCACCACCAAGGCCTTTGACACGGGTAAGCAAGGGTATTCCACTGGGTTGCCATTCAATTCACCAGGGTTGGTAGGGTGGGCTATTTGGGATCGTTTGATGAGAATAGTGGGAGAGGGTGGTTAGGGAGAAGGAGAAGACCCTAGTGCCCATGCTATCCCCCATACAGCTGTAGCTCCATCTCAGTTGGGTCCTCTTGGGCCCTAGAAGTGATGACACTTTACAGACAGATGTTCACCCTTAGAGGTAGGTGACCTGTTTAGATCATCCAGGTCTGATGCCCATCTCACTGTATGTGGTCTGAGGAGTCTGCTCTCAGGGCTGCAGAGCTAGACGGGAATGAGAATCTACCACTGGAAAGTTAGTAGAGAAGAACAACTGCAGGAGGGAAAGCTTCTCTACGAAGTATGACTTTCAGAGACATCAGACTACTGCCTGTTGTGGGCCGAAAAAATTACCTGAATTGTTTCACAGCTTTATTATCTCAATAATTATTCTAAAAATGACCCAAATTGTTTCATTCTAGCAACTGGTTCCTAGAGAGAGCCTAAATCTGCCTAGGATGGTCCCAGTGTCTCCAGCTAAATCCCCAGTTGCTCACATTACATTCATTTAGATATTTCAAATAGCAAGAATTAAAAAGTCATTAAGGAAACTCCCATGGAGGTAAAGGCGACGCTGAGTGAGGGCAGTGCGCTGCCTGGAGCAAGACCCCCACTGGGCTAGTGCGCCAGGCGCCGACCTTCCCCAGGGCTGAGGGGTTGGCGCCAACTTAGCATGGGAAAGAAAACGCCTGTTTTTAGGTTTAAGTTTCTTCATTTCTATTTCAGCATGATGATTCAGGGCCCCGGGGAATTTTGAGAGTGATTTCAGCTCTGTGGATGGTCCCAAGTCCTGGTGGGGGGAAAGGTCATTTTTTTTTCTAATATAAAAATTACTCAAACTCTTTCTTCTTCATCCATTTTTAGACATCCATGCTGTTCGTCCTCATCGCGGGCAGATCGAGGTTGCTTTTCGGTTCCGGTCACTGCTGGATTCAGACCACCACCCATCTGAAATAGCAGGTCTAGGCATATTGATACAAGTGAGGTTATTTTGTTCTGTGTTTCCTGGAAAGAAGTGAGAACGTGTCCTCTGTCTGCCTTTCCCACAGAAAGTCACAGGTTCTGCGATCGTGTGCAGGATGCCTACACCTTGCGCTGCTGTCCACAGGTGAGCAAGCCAGCAACGAGCTCTTTGCTTTCTCCCAGTTCAGAACAGGCAACAGCAATAGAGGACAAGAGAAGAACATATTAATTAGATCACACAGTGGGCAATTACAATCCAAATGTCCTCTGTTGATAACTATGTATATCTGACTCCCTGCATTTTCAGTTATTGCAAAGTCTCTATACTAGAATGTAAGCTTTTTGTTTCCTTTTGAATTGCTTTGTTCAACCTTCTTGTAGAGGGGCTAGAGCGATAGCTAGCACATGGGAAGTGCATTTGCCTTGCACGCAGCTGACCTGGGTTCCATTTCCAGCATCCCAGCATCCCATATGGTTCCTCCAAGCACTGCCAGGAGTACTTCCTGAGTGCAGAGCCAGGAGTAACCCCTGAGCATTGCCAGGTGTGACCTAAAAAGCAAAACAAAACAAAACAAAACAAAAAACAAACCAAACATAAAAACAAAAACCATTCAACCTGCTTGTAGAGAAGTTCGACAATGTGCTACGCTGACTTATTGCTCTCACTTTTAAAAATATGGAGAGACTGGACAAGTAGTATAGTTGATAGAGTGTTTGCATTGTACTTGGCTGGCCTGAGTTTGATCCTCGGCATCCCATAGCCGAGCACAGAACCAGAAGCCCTGATCACAGCTAGCTGTGGTCCCAAAACAAAAAACAAACAAAACAAACAAAAAAGATGGAGTGATAATACCATCCTAACCTGTTTATGGAAATTAAATCAAAATTCAAGTGCAGATTGATGGCCACACCTTATTTGTATTTTATGGATAAGCAATACTAAGGAATAAATCAGGCTTAAATTTAAATAAAAATGCAGAGGAATTGGGTTCCAGTAGGCATCCTGTGTTGTAAACATTACAACTTGTTTGTACATGGCAATTAGTTGAATCAGAGAGTAACATGCATCTCAAGAATGCAGCTGTATGTACAGAGCCAAGGAGATATTTTTAGTGGTAGAGCACATACATGCTTAAAATGTGAAATGCCTAAGTCCAGTGACTCTGGGAAAACTGAGAACTGCTGAAAGTAACCCCTATGTTTTTTTTTTTTTCAAAAAAAGAAAGAAACAATAGTTCAATATATGCCGCCTTTCCCTCTGACATGTAGCAAAAAGTACTCCCTGGAGTAAGTACTTTTATTTCTTTTTTTACTCAGCAAGTCTCTTCCAGCTGTTAGATTTGAAAATATCAATGAGGATGAATCACCTAATAAGCTCTACAGTAAGAATAAATCTCAGTGTAAAACATCCTTGCTGATCTTTTAATAATGGCAGCTCTCTGTGCTATGACAGAGACTATTATCCCATGTGCTAACAACTAGCCTCTTACGCTAGGTCCATGGTGTGGTGAACGACACAATAGCCTTTGTGAAGAACATCATTACTACGGAACTGAACAGTGCAACAGATAATCCTGTATCCTTTGACAATCTAGTTATAATGATGGGCTGGGCTGAAGGGATCCTTTATGTAATGCTTCTGATCTCCCACTCCATTTCATGGACTCAGTGCCCAAGGTTCAGAGGTTAAGTGACTTTTTCCATGTCAGAGCTGGTAAGTGACAGAGGCAAAGCCCATGGGCCTGATGTTGGGTTTGGAGTTTAACATATTCTGCTTTCAAGATTCACCTGTGAAAGGTGAAAGAGGGGATGTCCAGCTTTGGTTGAGAGGATTCATGATGCTATTTGCTCTGAATTCACTGTTGGCAGCTTGGGGGACAGTGCGGACCTGGGGTTCAAGTATCAGTACAAAGCCCCTGTGGAGGTTGGCCCTTCTTTATCCATTCTAGGATGCCCCAGGACCTTAAACAGAAGGTAACCTGTGAACACTCACCAGAGTACCAAAGAGGTATAGCTTTCCCATCCCGAGTTCTTAATTTTGAACACAGACTTTACTCAAATTGGTGTTTCCATATTTGTCCAGATCATCTCCATTTCTTTTCTTTCCTTCATAGTGTGTAATTCTCAGAATCATCCTGATTTTGCTGTAAGGTCTTTGTGCTGGTCTAAGGACTCAGTTGCCCCTAGAAGGAGCTGTGTTCTGTCAGGAATCACACTGACAGAGTTCTTCACAGACACTATATTGCTTTGGATGATAACCACCCCACTTAGGAATATATTTGTCTTCTTCCATATCTGCCTCTGTTATTTAAACAGAAGAAAGTGCCTCATTATCAGCCTTAGGAGTCCCTCATAGTCTGAGTCAGCAGATGGGTTTCATTGCCCGTGGGCAAGATTTCTCACAAAACCATTGCACTTGGCTTTTCTTACAGGTTCAGCTGTGCTTCATACCCTTGCAGACCATCTTACAACTTAGTCAGACCTACATGAGACAGTCTCCAGCTCACTTACCTACTGCTGCATCATAACATCCCTCAAACAGAGTAATTGTTTTCATGAACCCTATCTAGCCCTACATAGCTTAGCTCCTCTACTAGGTCTTGTTTGTGATGGGTTGACATCCATTTACACAATAGAATTTACACTTGAAATGGTACCTTATAGAGTGAATAAAATGATTATTAAATTACTGGATATGAATGAGTAATTTTCTCAAAGAAAAGTAATTTTCTTTTCTTCCCCATTACTTGCTACAGCAAAAAAAAAAAATTAGCCAAAAGTCTATTCCTTTCCCACACTATTACTTTTTCTAAAAGCATTAGTTATTAATTAGTAACATCAATTATTAATTTGAGAGACAAGTATTTGGGAGCTCTTCTACAACAAAATTTAAATGAAAGACTTTTTCTTAGTTTTCCAAGTGCTGATGAGAGCTCCTATTGCATAGTTGCTGGATTTAGTGGGAATTAATTCTAATTGCTGTAATCTCATGTTCGACTAATCTAAACTATGAAAGGGCTGGAGCTATAGCACAGCAGTAGGGTGTTTGCCTTGCACGCAGCCAACATGGCCGACCCGAGTTCGATTCCTCCGCCCCTCTCGGAGAGCCTGGCAAGCTACTGAGAGTATCTCGCCCACACGGCAGAGCCTGGCAAGCTCCCCGTGACGTATTTGATATGCCAAACACAGTAACAACAAAGTCTCCAATGGAGAAAGAATGATAGAGTTTGATTAAGTTCTAATTGGTGCAGAGATCACTTTCTATCAGGATTCAGAGCATAGAGAAAAGACCAGGGTCTGTGGTCAGGGAGAGGTCCATGGAGAAGAGCAGATTCTCAGCCTTACAGACTCATGATGTTATGTGAGACACGAGTAAGCTCCAACTTGAGCCCACAAACTTGTCACATGCATCTCCACCCCATTGGAAGTCAAAACCTCTCACAGACATCGTGAGTCCCTGGAATTTACTGGGTAGTGGATATTCTTTAGACTGGTTCCTTGGATGCCGGGAAAGAGAATCTGTTACTGCCTTTGTCTAGATGTCTGCTGTGAAGTGTGTGATACAGTGAATGATCCTTGATCCTATTAATAGTCAGTGAATCTAAGTGGCCTTCTACTGAAATGGGCTTGGGAGGTGCTTTTGGCTGCTGTTTGCTGTGAATACCGGACCAATAGTAGGGAGTTTGAATTTCCCAAATTGGCCGTCCACACAGTTGGTGGCTGCTCAAGATCAATGTAGATTCTGCAGTGGAGCATAAAATTCACAGCTCATGGAGGAATCTGAATAGGTTAGTGCTTTTAGAGAAAACACTAACTACTGTATTAGTACTGTATAATGTTATAATTAAGCTTGAGTATCTCTCATCTCAAAAGAAAACTGTCTCATGCTTCATGTTTATTTGGTCTCCAATTGGCTGAATATGATTTATCCTCATGCTTGGGTTTATTTCTGCTTTGCATTCCTTTATGTTTTAGCTGCTTTTAGAAAATATCTCCTTCCCTCTACTATGCAACTGTACAAAGACTATTGCTTCAATGTTAAAAACAAGCCAAGTGGGCAAAGAGTTGTTTTCAATGCCATCAACAAGTGTTACAGTAAAGCCTTAACCTGTTTTGAAAGATGGTCTTTGCCAGTAGGGGAGAAACTATTTCTGGAGGAAACTTCCATGGTGAATACCCAGCTAAAGTAAGTTTCTTTAGGATTCATTGACTCTGAAAGTGTATTGTATGCAATATAGGCTGACTGAATTGAGACACTCTTTCAGGCCCTGGACTATTTGGCCATTGGTGTCCATGAACTTGCTGCAATTAGCGAAAGAAGAATTGAAAGGCTCTGTAACCCCGCCCTTAGTGAATTGCCTGCTTTCCTGGTGGCTGAAGGGGGTCTGAACTCTGGGTTTATGATTGCCCACTGCACAGCGGCAGCCCTCGGTAAGGCCACGGCTCTGTCTCTCTGGCACCTTGCCATTGGTCTGCAAGAGATTCAGCTCTCTCACCACCTCTTCCTGCCTCCTATGATCTTTCTCAAAATTTTATTTTAAATGCCAGAGGCTGTCTTTTTAGTACTTTTCAGAAAACAAATATGACATAAACCTATGTGACTTCATACTGAATCATTATAATGCAATAATGAGGATGTAAATAATGAGTTTCTACCTTTAGGTCTTTATAGAAAGCAATGACTTCACATATAGCTTCTTCTTTGTAGCTCTTTTCCTAATCTCAATTGGAGGACAAACAGCAAAAAGAAATAGATATTTATAGTTAATAGTGATACTTGAACTAACCCGGATGATTAAACTCTGAATACATTCTGTTAGATAAACTAACCTATGCAAACAAAAAGATGCAACATGCAAAAATGCTAACTAGAAGCAGATGCCCTCTAGGAAACTTAAATTTCAAAATAACTGACTGAATTGAGACACTCTTTCAGGCCCTGGACTATTTGGCCATTGGTGTCCATGAACTTGCTGCAATTAGCGAAGGAAGAATTGAAAGGCTCTGTAATTTAATTCAGGACAGAAAAGCACCACATTAGGATAGATCCTAGACAGGGGTCAGAGCAATAGTACAGTAGGTCTGATAGTGCAATAGATAGGGTGCTTGCCTTGCATGCTAATAACCTCCGTTCAATCCCCAGCATCCCATATGGTCTCCTTTGCACAACCAAGAGTAATTCCTGAGTGCACAACTGGATGTGGCCCAACAAAACAAAACAAAAGACAGGGCCTGGACAAAGGAAATACCAAGGATTCATTTATTTTCATTTTAAATTGTCACAACCATGTCAGAAGCAGATGTTATAATTAGTTCATTTTACAGACATGTAACAGATCTGAGTGGTTAAGTGACTTCCTGATGATACTGCACAGCAGGAAAGGTATAACCTTCAAACAAAACAAATCATTTTTGTTGCTGTTTTTAGGGGGCCACCCCTGGTAGTTTTCAGGGCTTGCTGCTGACTCTGTGCTCAGGGATCACCTATGATGGGCTTGGGGGACCATATGGAATACTAAGAATTGCAACTAGGCCAACTGCATGGAAGGCAAGCACCTATCCACTGTACTATACCAAAAAAAATCATTTTTTAATTTGAAATTCATATTTAACTATGTAGAAATTGGTTTTCCCTAGAAAACTTGCCCAAGAGGCAGGGAGGATAGCATGGTGGGAAATGAGCAGTGCCCACAATGGGACCTGGAGCAAGTCTCTTACTCTCTTTTAAAAAAATTTTTATTTAAAGAACATTGTTCAAGTCCCTTACTCTCTTGACCTTCAGTTTATTCCCATGTAAAACAAGTAACCAATTTACCTAAGAAAGCTGGGGAAGAGTGAAAAAACTGATGTGTGTAGAGACTAGGAACCAAGTGGGACTTGTTGGAAGCACTAAACATATCAATTGCTTATGTCTTATTCTTAATTCCCTTCCTTGTCTAAGCCTCACTCACATAAAACCCAACACAAACAACCAACAAAAGCCACTGGATTCCTTCCTCTGATCAGTATCTTCTCTTTGCTTATTTACCTCCTTCTTAAAATACCCCATTACAGGGGAGCGACTTGTCATGCTAACATGAATTTGTGGTGGTAATTGATTTTTCAGAGAACCATCTGCACCCTAGGCAGCCTCCTTTTCAGTAATGTTAGCCTCCCCAGCTGCCAACTGAAATTGTTCAGCTTTCTTTCATTATAATAAAATTGAGGAATTCTTTGGCGACTTCTAAGTTATCTCTCTGAAAGAACTTCACAATAGCCTGTTTATCTCTATAGGAGGGTGAGAGGCACAGGACCTGGGACTTTCTGTGCAGAAACCTAGAACATTCTTGGTAAAGTTGAGCATCCTAATTTGTAGCTCCAGATCCCTCATAGCATCAAAAATAACAGAAGCTTCATGCATAAACGTTTTCATTTTCAAGGTCAAAAAGAGAAGAGGAGGGCTTGAGTAATAGCACAGCGGGTAGGGCATTTACCTTGCACGCAGCCAACCCAGGTTTGATTCCCAGTATCCCATATGGTCCCCTGAGCACTGCCAGGAGTAATTCCTGAGTGTATGAGCCAGGAGTAATCTCTGTGCATCACTAGGTGTGACCCAAAAAGGAAAGAGAGAGAGAGAGAGAGAGAGAGAGAGAGAGAGAGAGAGAGAGAGAGAAGGAAAAATTATTTTGAGAGTTTGACTTTCCCTGACTTTTGAAGCTAGGAGAAGAAATTGTTTGAGGTTCTTGTTATTTACATTGTGGTTTTTGGCCCCAAATTACAGCTCTTACCTCAGTTATCTGAGCAGCAGAATCTCAAGTCTCACCTCAAACTCAACATTTGCCCGAATAGAAATCAAGGGATTCTATGCACCACAAAATTTGAGAAATACCAATCTAGAACTTTCCATCTACCTTGGACAATTATCCAGCCCCAGTTTAACATCAATATATCTGTTTGTGTCATCATTTTTAGCAGTCCGAACAGTTAAATCTTCTTCCTGAAGATCTTTGATTCCAGCCTCAATACCCCAAAATTCTAATCCCACCTCCACTGGTAACACAATCAGCCACCTTGTTCTCAAATACCCATTTTTTCTTTCCAGTCTGCCTAGCATGTTAACTGCTTCCATTTTTCGCAACCTACCTTCCTCATTTAGTGTTTCCACCTTTAACATCTGAATCTTACATCAGACCTCAGAGCTTTGGAGTATTTGCAGGAGTAAGGGAGTACTGTTTCTTTTCTCCAATATAATTTTGGATCATCTTATGTCTGAGTAATGAACAACGAAGAGTTCTTGGAGATGGGACTTCCTGTTAGGGGCACATTGGGAAGCCACAGGCCCTTGGGTTAACTTTTCGTATGCCGAGCTTACATAATGTGCATTGGCCTCTTGCAGTGTCTGAGAGCAAGTCGCTATGCCACCCCTCATCTGTGGACTCCCTCTCTACCAGCGCTGCCACGGAAGACCACGTCTCTATGGGAGGATGGGCGGCAAGGAAGTGCCTCAGGGTCATCGAGCATGTGGAGCAAGGTAAGCCTGCCTGCCCCCTCCACCCCAACCTGGAGGGAGGGAGGCCTTAGCGAAAAGTGCCTCTGCTCCTGGTTTTCTGAGTGGAGGCCTGCAGGGAGCATTGCCCCCACCTGGAAATTGCTGGAAAGACAGATTATCAGGTCTGGGGATGAGAAACTTGAGTAAGGCAACAAGTCCTCTGATTCTATTCAGAGCTTGCAGCAAAGCCAATTCATCAGCTGACATTGGAAACACTAAAATGGGTCTTTAAATGTATTCAGTAGTGGTGAGATTAGTACCCTACCCCTCACTTACAGACCCCTCTGATTCATTCAGAATTAATGAATTCTATACTTGCTTCATCCTTTCTTCTTTCTTTTGTGTTCTCATATTATTTTTTGGAAAATTCTCATCATATTACTATTTTGAGTGTGTGTGTGTGTGTGTGTGTGTGTGTGCGTGCGCGCGTGCACGCCCACATGCTGGTGGGCAGCGGGTGTGCAAAAGGGGTCACCAGCAAATGCTGGAGGTTCAATGCAAGGGCCCCAGGCTTCTGCTCAGGTCCCTGCAGTCCTGGTGTCAGGGATTACCTGAGTCACCCTGGAAGTATTCAAGGGCCTCTAGGACTGCATCTAGCAATGCATAGGGGCTGTGTGGTGCTGAGGATCAAACCTGGTGGAGCATATGTGCCCTGATGACTGTACTATCTCCTAACCCTCATTATAGTATTAAGAAATGTTTTTAACTAAAAAAAGTTTGAATGTGGAGCACACCTGATAGTACTCAGAATTTCCTGCTAGCTCTGTGCTTGGGGGTCATTCTTATCAGTGCTCGGGGGATCATGCAGTGCCAGGGATTGATCATGGCTCTTCAAACATGCCCTCAACCTATTAAACTCTCTCTCCAGCCCATTATATTATTTTTTCCAACAGACTTTAGCTATTAAATAAGAACTCTTTATAATATTAAATGTCAGCACAATACAATTATAATATTGAAGAAAAATCAGTAGTTAATTTTGGTGTCACCAGTGAGTCATAGGTTAATTTTCTGAATTATGCTAGTGTCTTGACAATAGGTTTATTCAAATCAGAATTCAAGGCCTACATGGCAAATTTGGTAGCCAAGGTTTAAAGCACCCCCGATTATACTGGGATACTTTGATTTCTGTATCACTGTATCACTGTCATCCCGTTGTTCATTGATTTACTCGAGCGGGTGCTAGTAACATCTCCATTTGTCCCAGCCTTGAGATTTTAGCAGCCTCTCCTTACTCGTCTTTCCTAACAATTGGAGGCTCATTCAGGGTCAGGGGAATGAAACTTGTTATTGTTACTGTTTTTGGCATATTGAATACACCATGGGGGGCTTGCCAGGCTCTGCCGCGTGGGAGGGATACTCTAGGTAGCTTGCCGGGCTCTCTGAGAGGCTCTATGATGATGTGTCACGCAGCCAATTTACAATTTACAATGATTTACAATTCTATTAATGATAGAGTTTCATGCATAATGTTTGACATCACCGCCAGAGTGTCCACTTCCCTTCACCAATGTCCTACAGTTCTGTCTCATTCAATCTCTCTCCCCCTGCCCTGGTAAACTCAGCTCTGTAGGTCACCTCTCAGCTTCTGTTACCTTTGACATTTTGTTATTCTCTTACTTTCTTTATATCCCTTTATTTCTTTACATGTGAGAGAAATAATTTTGTACCCGATCTTCTTCTTCCTACTGATTTCACTCCACATGATACTCTCCAGATCTATGCATGTAGTGGCAAACTGCATGACTTCATCTTTTCTGAGTAGTATTCCACTGTAGGTGTATGTCACAATTTCCTCAGCCACTCATCTAGTTTTGGACACTTTGATTCCTTCTAGATTTCGGCTATTGTGACTAGAGCTGCAGTGAACAAAGGAACACAAATATCTTTTCAAAGGTGTGTGTGTGTGTGTGTGTGTGTGTGTGTTTAAGCTTTCAGCGTATAAAGCAAGAGGTGGAATTGTTGCGTTTCATGGCAGCTCAATTTTTTTTTAAGAAGTCACCCTAATAAGTCCTCAGATCGTCTATGTTATTTAACAACATGTCTACTAACCTGTGAAAGATAGCCAAATTAAATCAGCATCATCTTCTTTCAATCAGTATCCTTGCTTTCACTACTGTTCCTCTGAATTCACATATACAATAAACAGGGCAAGCTTCTTAAAAAGAAATTTTGACCAGTCTAGACCCTCGCTATAAATTTGTCAGTTGCTTCCTATTGCCCCAAACAATAGCTAGTCCCTTTTCTACAGTCTCCAAGTACCACACAGTGGTTATAGGCTCATTGCCACTTCTCTCCCTGGACCCATGGTGTGATTCTGTGTCTACATGTGTCACTACCATAGCACTTGCATCCTCACTCTCTTGGATGGCAGTAATCTTCCCAAGGATCCATTTCACTTCCTCATTCCTATGTAGTTGCTCAGTTTTTACCTCTGCTAAAATAGTTTTATAGTGTACTTATAATACCCAATCATCGTAATTGTATAATATATAAAATATTATATGATGTATTTAATATATAATTTATAGAAATCATAAAATTAATAAAATTGTGTTTATTATAATTTATAAAATAATTTATAATAAATTATAATTTATATATAATTTGTACTATTATGATTTATGATAACCTATAATTTATGATACTCAATATTTTCTCACTTTTGGTTATATTTTCCTAATAGCAGTTTAGTATTCCTGTCATACTTAGGCCTGTCTTTTCTAAGCTAGGTGAGAAAAACTCACTTTCAATAAATAATAAAGAATTTTGGCTCAGTGAGGACAGAGATCTCATGGTCTTGATCACATTCCTAGATAGTCTTAAAACTTTTAGAACAGTGCCCAGCACAGACTTGATGTTCAAATATTTTTTGTGAAAATTAGCCTTGAAGGTTCAAATAAATAATTAAAATAGTGATTTAACTCATCTTGATGGAGTTATATATATTTGTGAATTGTCATTAACAGTAAAAAGAATGAGCAGATAATGTTTCAAGCATAATTGTTACTTATATTTGCTTGATTATAGATATTAAACTATAATGCTTGAAATTGGTGGTGCTGTAAAATAAGTACAAGACAGGCATATACTTATTATAGCACCTAGAGATTCTTCATGTTGCTCAGCGATCACAGAAAGGATAATTCTACTTGGCTGGAATGGAAAGGTATTTATCCCTTGAGCATGTGGAGCTATCTAGGAATAATTCCTTTCTACTCACGTGGAGATGAGTGTAATCTGAAAGAGGGGCATAGGACTATATCTTGGCAACTCTTTGTAGATCTTAAAATTCTAACTAACACATAGAGTTTTCAGAGGATAGAATTAAACCTGATGTAAACAGAAGGAGTGAGAAAAGGTTTCTTCAAAGCATATTTAATATTAAGACTGGGATCACGATCACGATCACGATCACGACCACCCTGTTGTTCGTCGATTGACTCGAGCAGGTGCCAGTAACGTCTTCTTCGTCCTAGCCCTGAGATTTTTTTTTTTTTAAAGTGCCATATTCAAGGCTTTTTCAGGGTTAGGAGAATGAGACCCATCATTGTTACTGGTATTTGGCATATTGGGTATACCACGGGGAGTTTGCCAGACTCTGCCGTGTGGGCATGTTACATTTGGTAGCCTGCCAGTTTGACCGAATTAGGAATGAGATGATAAGATGTCGCGCGGCCGCAAATGCGGCCGCGTGCTTCCGGGAGCTGAGTGTGATAATCTCTGGATCCTGGCCGTTGTTGGAGTTACACGGCAGTTGGTGGGTGTAACTGTCTAGTTATTGGCAGGTCCAGTCCCAAACTGTACAGGCTTGGAGATCTCAGCCCCGGGTCCCACACACCTGGGTTCCTCTGTCAGTTCTTTTATGCATGAGGCTCATCCAAGTGTGTGGAGAGTGGTCCCAGCAAGGCCTTGGTTGGGCCTCGGTGGTCTTCAGCTGTTGGGCCCTGGTGGAGACAGTCAGGCATAGGGTAGGAGACTCTGTCTTGTTCTCTCCCAGGAGCTGAGTGTGATGATCTCTGGATCCTGGCCGTTGTTGGAGTTACACGGCAGTTGGTGGGTGTAACTGTCTAGTTACTGGCAGGTCCAGTCCCAAACTGTACAGGCTTGGAGATCTCAGCCCCTAAGACTGGGATGGGGAAGAGAAATAATACATTGGATAGGGCACTTGCCTTGTTTGCAGCCAGCTCAGGTTCAATTCCCAGCACTATTTATCATTCCCCAAGCACTACCATGAGTTATTCCTGAGCATGGAAGTAAGAATATTCTCTGGACAATGTCAGTTGTGGTTCCACCCCCTTATCTACCCATCATCCCCTCTGGCCAAAAACACTATAGCACTGTAGCACTGTCTTCCCCTTGTTCATCAATTTGCTCAAGTGGGCACCAGTAACATCTCTATTATGAGACTTGTTGTTACTATTTTGGGCATATCAAATACGCTACAGGGAGCTTGACAGACTCTGCTATGCAGGCGGGGTACTCTCGGTAGCTTTCTGGGCTCTCCAAGGGGGATGGAGGAATCAAACCAAGTTGGCCACGTGCAAAGCAAACTCCCTACCTGCTGTGCTATCACTCCAGCCCTTGGCCAAAAACAAACAAACAAACAAAATTATTAAGACCAGATCAACAATTAGAGCCAGGTAATTTGGTTGAAGGAATTCAGGATTAGTTTTGTAAGAGAAGGGTGTACACACAACAAGTTGTTTGAGAGATGCAACATTGCATTGAGGTGAAGATATAACACATCCAAATACAGCTTCCTAGGTGCAGCAAGGAGTTAGGATGAATGATAAAGGAGGTTAGAGGAGACTTAGAGGTTAGAGAGAGAAGATACCAGGGATAGAAACTTGAGAGATGCTTGCATTCACTGGAAATAAAGGACCTTAAATAACAGTCCTTAGGAAGAGGGGAAATCTTTCTGAAGGGAGCAGGGCTGAGAGCATTGCAGAGATCTAGAGTCATAAAGAAATCAAAGCCCCAGAAATAAGCACACATATCTCAGAGCCTGGAATGGGGGTGGGTAGGAAATGCAAGGTCAAAGAAAACAGTTTTTTCTTAGAGAAGGGAACATGAAATAAAATAGCTCTTGTTGATTATTATTTAATCTTATCCCTTAATTTTTTTTTTTTAATGTTTGGTTCAAAGTGCTTAGAACTTACTCTTGGCCCCATGCTCAGGGATTATTCCTGGTGGTTCAAAAGGTTGGGGGACCACATGGGGTGGCAGGGATTGATCCCAGGTCAGCCACATGAAGGCAAGAAACTTACTTGCTGTACTATCTCTCCAGCCACAAGCATTCTATCTTTTAACTCATTTAATCTGCTCAAGAATGAGAGAGAGAGAGAGAGAGAGAAGAAAAGTGTCTGCCATAAAGGTGGGGGAGGTGAGGGAAACTGGGGGCATTGGTGATGGGAAATGAAAGGATGGGTGTTGGAACATTATATGACTAAAACCCAACCATAAACAATTTTGAAACTGTGTATTTCTTACTATGATTAATTAAAAATTTGATATTTTAGTTAAAAATTATTTCATACTTAAAAAACTCTAGGAAGTATCTACTATTATCACATTTAAATATCAAGATATAATCTGAATATTCAGGTATGTGTGTTTTGTGACTGAAATATCCAGGCTTTGTCAGGATTGGGATGGGCTACCTTCCCTCACCTCCCAACACTTTCAGAAGTCTAGGAAGTCATATCCACACCCCAAAGCTGCCTTATAATTTAGAAGCTACTCCAGCCTTACCAACTTGATAAAAATACTAAATGATAGCCCAGCGGTAGGACGTTTGCCTTGCAAGCAGCAATATGGTCGACCTGAGTTTGATTCCTCCGCCCCTCTCGGAGACCCCGGCAAGCTACCAAGAGTATCTCACCCGCAAGGCAGAGCCTGGCAAGCTCCCTGTGATGTATTCAATATACCAAACACAGTAACAACAAGTCTCATGATGGAGACATTACTGGGCCCGCTCGAGCAAATCGATGAACAACGGGAGGACTGTGACTGACTGTGACTGCCCTGAACACCATGACCCTTAGCCATGATCTGTATTGCAAACCATAATGCACAAAAGGAAAAGGAGAGAGCAAGAGAGCCTCATAGAGGGAGGCTAGGGGCAAGGGGGGGTGTTGGGGGATGGTGGTAGGGAAACACGGGACATTGGTGGTAGGAAAAGTACACTGGTGGAGAGACGGGTGCTGGATCATTGGATAACTGAAATCCAATTATGAACAGCTTTGTAATGGTCTGCCAGAGCGATAGCACAGCGGGTAGGGCATTCGCCTTATAAGCGGCCAACATGGCCGACCCGAGTTCGATTCCTCTGCCCCTCTCGGAGAGCCCGGCAAGCTACCGAGAGTATTTGATATGCCAGACACAGTAACAATAAAGTCTCCAATGGAGACGTTACTGGGCCTGCTCGAGCAAATCGACGATCAACAGGAGGGCCTTTACCTTTACCTTGTAATGGTCTATCTTATGGATATTCAATTTAAAATTTTTATTTATTTTTTTAAATTTTTCACTTTATTTCTTTTTTAAATTTTTATTAGTGAGACACCATGAGGTACAGTTGTAGACTTACAAATTTTTGTGTTTGGGTTTCAATTATACAATGATCAAATACCCATCCCTCCACCAGTGCCCATTTCCCACCACCACAGATCCCAGTATCCCTCCCAACCCCCAACCCCCCATCCCACCCTGCCTCTGTGGCAGGGCATTCCCTTTTGTTCTCTCTCTCCTTTTGAGTGTTATGGTTTGCAAAATAGGCATTGAGTGGCAATCATGTTTGGTCTATAGTCTACTTTCAGCATGCTTCTCCCATCCTGGGAGGATCCTCCCAAGACCCTTTATTTGGTGCTCCCTTCTCTATCTGAGCTCCCTTTTACCCTAGCATGTGTGGCTGGCCTCCAAATTTTTAAATAAATAAAATGTTAGTGGCCAGTGAGTCAGCTGCAACTGAAAAAAATGGAAATCAAGATAGAGGTCAAAGAATGTGCCCCAAACTACAGATTGTAAGTGGCAGAGCTAAGATTTAACCCCAGGTGATTGGTGCAAGTCCACTATTTTAACCATATCTCCAGTTGCCACATTAAATACTGAAAAATAAACAAGCACCTTCATTTTTTAAAAAAGTTTTGGGTAACACTTAGCTGTGAGTAGGTCTTACTACTGACTCTGTGCTCAGGAATTATTCCTACGGTCTCAGGGAAGCATTTGAGAAGCTGGTGATTGAAACTGGGTCAACTGCATACAATGCAGAGGCCTTACCTTCTGTACTATCTTCTTGCTCCCAACACCTTCATTTTTAAAAATCAGATCTCCATTTGCAGAATTGTTCTATATGAGGTATTGGGTACTGAACATGGGAACAGCCACTTGCAAGGCAAGCGCCTACCCACCATTCTATCACTCTGGCCTATATGAGGAAATTTCAGCAAATGAAGATCTCTGAAAATTGATTTTATGTTATTTTAATCATATCTTTGTAGCTATGAAGTGATGAAGCTATGAAATTACCTCATTGAGATTGATCAATGAGGTAGTTGATTTGATAATAAATCAAGATTATTCACAGTTTTTAAACTATCCTTAGACCAAAAATATCTCTCTTTATCCACACCACAAACATCCCCATACTACTCATTGATCAAAATGGATGGCATCAGTACCTTTATGTGAATTTTAGTTTGTTTTTAGATCTGAAATATCTAACACATAAAATTTCATCAAAAGATTGCCAGAAAATAGTGAATAAGCTAATAAACAATAAACAGGGAGAGGGGAGGCAGAAAAAAAAGAAAAGAAAAAAGAACATGAGTAAGAAAGAAAAACAAATGTCTTTGGTGCCTTGAAACAAATTCTAACATGTTCTCAATTTCTCAAGCCTTCAAAGTTAAAGGCTTTAAGGGAACCCACTAGAATGGAAACTCTAAACTTTAACAGTTCATTAGCTTCAAGTTCATTAATAAGCTAAGAATTCTTATCAAATGTACATACCTCACAATAAACTCTGAATATTAAAATAGAAATTTCTCTACATTTTATAGACAATGGGAAGATGTGTCTAAAAATAGAACTAATTTTTGGGTTTCATTATTTAAAAGTTGTTAAAAGTTGTCAGACCATTTAGGTGACCAAATGGAGCATTAGAAGCATTTGAATTCTTATCCTAAAATTTATGTAGTTCATCATCACAGACTTTGATGAGCTCAGGTCACAGATGGAGAGGATGAAGTTGATGAATTTAATTTGACCTGAAAGAAATTTCCTATCTGCTAGGCTAGTCCCTCACTTTTCAAGTAAGGAACTGGAAGGTTGGAAAAGTAAAGAACCTTATGAAGCAGGTGCCCATGTTTATGTGATAGGTCTGGGCTTGGGGGCAGGACTGAGTCATCTTTCGGATTCCTTCCCTTATGCCTGGGACACTGTGGCCTCTTGGTAGGAGAATGTGAACGAGAGAAATGGATAATTTCTTTAGTGCAGATAAAGGGAACTACCTGGGTAGGTTTGAGGATCTGGTCATCTAACCAGTGAAGGCTTCAGTTTTCTTCTTCCCTTTAAAGATACACCCAGGATGTTAGAAAAGCAGGTCTAACCTTGTAACCAGGACCACTGAGATAGCAGAATGGACATAGCACACACTTTGCAACCGGAGGCCCAAGTTCAATCCCCAGCACCAAAGGGAACCCACCACGCACCTTCAGGTGTGAACACCGGATGTGGTCCCCAAACAAAAACAAAATTTAAATGGTAACCAAATAGTAAGGTATCTCCATTTGACCCAGAGACCAAGAACCAACTTTCCAGCTGGCTCCTGCTAAGCATTTACTTAGGTGTGATTTGTTTCCCAGCGGAAGCAGGATTTCCTCAGCCATTTCCTGCATGTTTCTTGTTTCAGTGCTGGCCATTGAGCTTCTTGCAGCCTGCCAGGGCATTGAGTTTCTACGCCCCCTGAGAACAACCACTCCACTGGAGAAGGTCTATGACCTGGTGCGCTCTGTTGTAAGGTAAAGTCAAACAGCAACCTGGAAGCAACATGTGTCCGACCTGTGACCCCCTGGTGGTGGTTAATGTTTGGCTGATGCTTGGTTGTGCTTCTCCTCAGGCCTTGGATTAAAGATCGCTTCATGGCCCCAGACATCGAGGCTGCTCACAGGCTACTGGTGGATCAGAAGGCAAGCTGGCTACTTGGCTCCTAGAAGGGTTGGAAGGTTTGCGGTCATTTGAGCAAAGTGCAGTGGGAATAGAGTGGAGAAGCCTCGCCCTAGTCTTTGGTTTCTTGGTTTGTCTTTGGACATAAGCCAAAAAAGTTACTTAGGACACTTGCCAGGCCACCAAGAACCTATCTGATAAACTCCATTTTTTTTTATTTTTTTGGAATTACAAATTATTTTTTATCTTTTTTTTCCCTGATAAACTCTTAAATGATATACCCCACATTGACTATTTAGGGAGTAAAAGTGGAAATGGTTTGAAGTGGGTTCTGGGCAGAGTACTTGTGGAGAGAAAAGAAAAAGAAAGATTTCTGGATCCCCATCACCAAGACTGTACTCTCGTTCAAAAGCACGCCTGGGGCCAGAGAGATAGTACAGCGGGCAGAGTGCTTGCTTGCTTGCTGCCAGCCTGGGTTTGATACCCCCAACACCCCGCCCTCCCCAAACAAACAAAAGCACCTCTATGAGGCTGAGATATGACTCCAAGGGCTACAACATATGGTTAACCTGCAGAATCCCAGTTTCAAGCCCCCACCACTACATGGTTTCCCCAGTACCATCAGAAACAACCCTCAGTACCGAGTCATGAGCAGCCACTGGGAGTCGCCAAAAACAAAACAAAATAAACCCCATCCTGTCCCCACCACCACTACCACCACCCCACACACAAAAATAACCTGACCCCGGCCCTTAAAAAAACAAAAAATACAAAAGTGCTTTCCCTTCCTGATAATGTTATCACTAGTACCATCTGATCCATCAATGACAGACAAATGAGTAAACAGGGTTGGGGCTTTTGACCTGCCTCGTTCTCTAGCATGTCCTGCCCATTGCCTGGGTGAAATCCAGCTTCTTTCATTGCTTATTTCTTCCAGCTCCCCTCATCTGATAGGGATAGATGCTTAGCACACCAAGTCATTTTTTGGATACAATTTGTAAAGTTCCCTATGCATTTTGTGATCATTTGTGGTTATCAAGTTCCTTAGAATTTTTTGATCCATCCTGGACAGCTGGCATGTTCCTGAGGAATAATTTTATCTTTAATTTCCATGCCTGTTGTTCCTAAGAATGCCCTGTCTACTCCTCACCCTGCCCCCACCATCACTGTCAAGAAGGCCCCAGCTTGTTGGCCAACTCTGATGCCAGGACATAGGTGGGCAAGACAATTGCCTTGGAAGGAATAACTCTTCTAAAGTATTGTAGCCATCCTATAACCATATCTCTTCAGAAAGAAAGCTTTTGTTCAAGATGACGTTCTTCTAGAATGGGGGAGGGAGAAACTGAAGTGGACCCAAGGCAGTGCTTCTTAAACCTTTCGGTGCTGGGTATTTCCTGACATCTCCTTTCCAAGTAGGTTTGGATGATTCAGTACCTCTGGAGTGGGACTGTCCTGATGTGGTTGATCCCTGGCTCATCTTTTGAGTAGCAAGTGAAACAGAGAGTTCTGGGCCTAGAAACTGATCAAATGGAGAAATTCATTGCCTTTTGTCATACCAGGCTTTCAGAGAAAATATAGTTCAAGAAACACCGCCCCCCCCCCCAGATGTCCCTATTGAATTTCCCAATGGATTTTAGCTACCAGTCTGCGGGCTGATGCACAGGTGTCAGAAAGCTAAAAAGGCTGTTTCGCGTGTTGGCTTGTTTTGCTTTCAAAGGGAACCCAGCTGAAAACCTTCATAGTACCTTGAGATACATTTCAGACTCAGCATGATAGGATGCTATCACTGCAGACCATGTGTCAAATGGCTTCCAAGGAAGCAAGTGTTGCTACATGTCCTCAGGCAGAGAGAATGTTTTGGCTTAGAGGAAACTGAGTATGACATTGAAATTTTCTTTCCTTCTCAGGTTTGGGAAGTAGCTGCACCATACATTGAGAAGTACAGAATGGAGCATATTCCCGAATCAAGACCTATTTCTCCAACAGCCTTTTCACTGCAATCTCTACACAAGAACGACACCAAAATTTCAGAGTCTGGAGATCTCTAGTGTGTGTATGGTACTTAAATTAGATGGTACTTTGTTTAACAGCAAACACTAGCAGGCTGAAAGGAGACCAGTGCATTTCCCTGGGTAGTTGAATGTAGGATATAATTCAGTTCTTCTAAAAGCTACTTTGGTTTGGTAGGTGACACCATTGTAGTTGCTAAATCTAGTACCATAAGCACTGTATTTGTGGTGAATTTGTTTGATATGCATCTAATATTAGGAGTTTTCTTTCTTAAATATACCAAGAGGCAACTCACCCAGAATTGCCAGGGTCTTTTTCTTTTAGCATGAAATGAACTCAAATCTGATTAAAAGCATTCTTTCTTTTTCTTTTCTTTTTCTTCTTCTTTTTTTAGTTTTTTGCTTTGACAGTTTTTCCACTAGATAACTTTAGCTGATTGTACTGTGCTATATGATGGACATTCATTAATATGCATTCATAAATAACTGCTTTAAAATTATAATTTGTCCTTAAGTCACTTTTTTCCTTCTCCCCAGTGAATCCTAATCAAAAAGAGTCAATATATCAATAAGAGTTTTTGTGTAAAGAATTAAGGAATAGGGGACCAGAGTGATAGCACAGTGGGTAGGGTGTTTGCCTTGCATGAAGCCAACCCAGGTTCAATCCCTGGCATCTCATATGGTCCCCCGAGCACCACCAGGAGTAATTTCTGAGTGCAGAGCCAGGAGTAACCTAAGCATTGCTGGGTGTGACTCAAAAAAGCAAAAAAAAAAAAAAAGAATTAAAGAATAAATATAAAGAACATTTCAGATTGGGGGCTGGTTGAGGAATGCATTTCGTGCTTATCATATATCACTGCACATATCCAAGAGAAGGATTCACATGTTTAAACTAGAATTGGAGGTTAGTATTTATCCCTTTCTTACTCTGTGCTAGTGCTCTATCCACCTTCTTCTAAGAGCCCTGAGTTATGAGGTTTCTTCCTGCCACAGATCAAGAATTTGGTGATAAGAGTCAACCATCCCCCTATCTTTGTAGGGTAATCATTAAAATGAAGTCAGGCAAAGGTCAAAATGGGATCAGAGGATGTGTTACCCAATCTGTCTCCCCCTTCAATAAAGGAAGCTAAAGGACCTTTGGGAGGGCTTAAGTATAGTTGTGGGATGAAGGATGGGCAGGTGATGGCTTGGCTCTCCCAGGATAAGATCTGGGCTGTGTCCATTTGGGCAAACGTGCAGAAGGCAGGCCTCATACAGGCAACGGAAAGCATGGCTCTAGGAAACCCAATGGTGTGGGAAAGGACAGAAGGACAGTCACATTCGCCAGCTCACCTCCCATCTAAAACACCCAAGTGACGTTTCTCAATCCAGTTTTCACTCTTTCAATCACAACTTGTTCACAGAAAGGTGGAGACAGAGGTGAAAAGTACTGCCTGCAGCAATCCAGTGGGCAAAAAATGTGCTGAGAAACTGTTTACTTAAAGGTTATTCTTGATGCTGTTCTTTGCCAAATGGCAAACACACGCAAACTAGGTTTATTCATTCTTATCCCTGAGTCCAGCCATGAGAGGACCAGTGGCTCCAGCAGCCTGGCGGCAGCTCCCCAACGTGCACAGGGCGTGCCAGACGCCCACTGGCCCCTGCACTCTTGCCACTAAATTTTTTTCTACAACGGTGTTGGTGACAGCACATGCCATCAAGAAATTTCAAGATAATTGTGGAATAAACTGAGTCTCAAGTGTCTTATGTTGCATTGCATTCTTACATTTGGGAAGGTGGGTGCATAACTTAAGGGGCTGGAGTGTGCACTAATTATGTGTGCAGGGAGGAAGGGCTGGTTTCATCCTTGCTACCACATGGTCCCTAAGCACCACCCAGAGAGACTCTGAATACATAGAGCCAGGAATTGACCCAGGTGTGACCCCAAGACAAACTAAAAAATTCTGTTGTGACTTACTTGTTAATGTGCTGTTGACCAAAGCAACTCTGATGTAATGCCCAAGTCACACTTCAAGTCTGTGTCAATTTGAGCCAAAAATATACTCAAGGGCATGGGCCTGTGATGGGGTATGATGTGAGTACCACTGCTGCAACAACCTGTCACATAAAATACTGTACAGAATTCCCCCCCCCCCATTTAAATGCATGTTATTAATACTTCAAACTTGATCTTATTTCTGGAACTGGTCCCTCGGCTATGTTATTTTTCTTAGAGGGTGGGGGTTCCTCCCAAGCAAAGCTCCTGGTAGATCAATGCTACGGCCTTGATGAGGTGCTACTCCAGCCTAGCGATACTGGGACCAGCTGGGGCCAGCAAAGCAACACCTGAAGGTCCTGAGAAAGGCTGGTGGTAGGGGACATGTGGTACTAAGGATAAGGCTCAGTTGGGTGTTTGTGCATGAGGGCATGCACCTCATCCCTATATTATTGTTTTAGTTTGTGGGGGCCACACCCAGTGCTTAGGGCTTACTTCTAACTGTGCTCGGAGATGACTCTGGGCAGGTTTGGTGGACCATATGAGATGCCAGGGATTGAACCCACATTGGCCATGGGCAAGGCAAGCACCCTACCCATTGTACTATTGCTCCAGCACCTCTTATCTAATCTTTTTATTAAACCTGATTATCTCACTAGTAGCATGACCCTGAGAACATTTTAGGGCTTACTTTGTTAAAAGCATTCATCTATGAATGTAAACTCATTGAAAAGATACAACACACAAAAAAAGCACTGGCAGAAATTCCCCTGAGTGCATCATCCTGGTTGGGCAGTTCCATTTCCTTGGCTTCTTGAGGAGTTCACAAAAGGGTGAGAGATAGACAAGTATTTTCCTGGAAGTCTCAAAAAAATGCTTTCTCTGGTGAGACTTATGGCAGCTAGCTTTCTCCTGCTTAACTTGAATGAGCACCTGGGGCTGGTTGGGGGTGGAGGGGCGGGGGTGGGGGGTGGGATCTGGTTTTAGGACACACCCTCACTGCTGGCCAGCCAGGGGAGTAAAGGAATCTGGAACTTCAGCGTTATTGAGCAACTAGAAGAACAATCCCTGAGACCTGCCCTTCCTTGAATTTTCAATGGAAAATGGGTGATCTTTGTTTTTTGTTTTCGTTGTTGTTTGGTTTCTAGGCCACACTTGGAGATGCTCAGGGGTTACTCCTGGCTGTTACTCAGGAATTACTCCTGGAGGTGCATGAGGGACCAACTGGGGTTTTGGGGATCAAAGCCAGGGAAGCCACATACAAGACAAGCACCCGACCTGCTGTACTATCTCTCTAGCCCACGATAGACTTTGTTAAGCCACTTTGGGCCTTGATATAGGGTTTAATATAGCAGCTGCAAAGCTGCAAAGCTGCTGACATTTGTCACTGTGGATGGCTGTAGACAAAGTTGAGGTGTATCGACATAGTCCTGGAGTCAAGATTTTCCATCTTGTATGATTGTAACTCAAACATGAAAGCCTGTAGCTGTATTTCATGGTGATTGAATAAAATTTAAAAATTAAAAATTTTTTTAAAAAAAGATTAGGTTTGATCCCCGGCACTGTAAATAAATAAAAGTATGTAAAAATAAAAAGCAGGAGATAGAGGGGAAAGATAGTATAGGGGTTAAAGCAGTATGCAGTGACCTGTATGCAGTGACCCTGCGCCTTTCCCTGGCATCATATGGTGTTCTGAGCACACTGGGTGAACCCCAAATAATCCCCAGTACTGCAGGTCCCTAGCAGTACTGCAACCACAAAACATCACATTGAACTGCTGGTCCAGTGGACCAAAAATCACCAGGAAGAGCCCTTGAACCTCTTGCACACCTCTTGGCAGGCTCTCCCAAATAAAATTAAATTAAAAATAAAGGTTACAATGTAGTTGTGGCTATCACATGAGAGGGGAGCAGAGTGTGGGTGGGAAGTGACTCGCTCTGATTCCCACATAGAGAAAACAGGGGAAGCATTCCAGGGAGTGAGCATAGAGCAACAGAACCTGGATCCTCAGGAACAAATGTTTTTGAAGAACTGGGTGAAGTCAAGTGTGTAGATTGTAGCACTTCAACGGGCCCAGACAGCACCTGGAGACTTGCTAGAAGTCTGAATCCGACCTGATCAGGGTGGGATTGTGTCCTAGCAGGTTCCAGGGAGTTGTCAGAGTTTGTGGTGCATGGTCTGGGGACAAACAGTTTGGGGGATGTGTATTCTTTACTGCCTTCATTCAAAAAAAAAGATATGCCTAGGGTTGGAGAGATAATACAGTGGGTAGGAAACTTGTCTTGCATGAGTCCTCCCTGGGGTTCAATCCCTGGCATCCCATAAGGTCCTTCAAGCCTTCCAGATATGATTCCTAAGCACAGACCAGCAGTAAGCCCTGAGCATAGCTGGGGGTGGCTAAAAACCAACCAACCAAATCAACAAAAAAGATTATTATTCCATAGGTTTAAGGATGTACTCTGGGGAGGGTGCCCAGGACACACAGATGTGAGAAGCTTGAGCTCTGCCATTCATATCTTTGTGCACCCACTATTGACCAGGTGACTGGTCATACATAGGTGAGGCATCACCCACAACACCCACATGATTCCCACACCACTCACACCTCTTCACCATAAATCTAAGCTGCAAGACCCCATGCTGCTAGGCGACAGATGTCCATGGCACCCAGAACCTCACAAAAAGGATATTCCTGATTTTATTTATTCCAAATACAGTGCAGTCTCATTGATTTAGACCTCATTCACGTGAAACTGGTGACACGTTGATAGTTCTGTTTATTTCTCAAGTCTCTTTTTCATAAATGGGACAAAGTTGATGGTGATGAAGATCTTTAAAATGTTCACATATGTTTCAAGTAAACTCACATGGCTCTAGAAAAATGAATTTACATAAACAAGCATTCACTCCTTTTTTGGGGTAGTAAAACCCAGAGCCTTCTGCATATCACGCATCTGTCCTTGAATCACATCCCTGACCTCCAGTCATTCTTCCTGTATGAATAATTCTGTTACTTATCCACTTGCTCAAATGCGCTAATAGACCCAGTGCCACTCTCTGGGCTAAGGAGCAACAATAGAGAGAGCAAATATTTACCAAGAGCTATAAAGTGGGCTTATTAGTATACTTACAGGGAATCAAAAACAAACAACTTTCTTTTATGTTTTTAAATTAAAAAAAATTTTTTTTTTGCTTTTTGGGTCACAACTTTCTTTTAAAAGAAAAAAAAAAAAGTCCTGGAATTTGGAGAACATACATACAGGAAGTGCCCGCAGACCCTGGCTGAAATGGCTAGAGCTGGGACTTTGCAGTGACCTCTGTGGTCAGGACAGAATTGAGACATGCTCCATCCCAGCTCCCTCATGCATTCAAAGAATGTCTAGAAAGTCAAACTTGGGGAAAGGAAAAGCTAGTTTTCTTATACAGAAGCTACATGGTAGCTTTCTTGGTGGCCTATTGCTCAGATGGCCCCTCCCTCAATTTTTACTAAAATTCTACTAAAATGCTTTTAAAATTTTTTGAAAAGCAGCAATAAATTGGAAACTCTAAGCCACATCTAATTGCTTTCCTCACCAAGGTCCTTTAGAATTGCCCCATCATAGTGATTTTCAGAACATTTGTATCAAATATTTGTGGAAAATTTTAATATTTTGAGAATTGCATCACAATTGTTTTATCAGTTTACATATCCAAGTGCATATAGTTTTTCAAGCAGGGTAATACAACACTGAAATATTTGTGTATGAGTGACATCATTCTGAGAAACTGCTAAGCTATTTTCATTTTTAATATAACTTTTATGTAGTCAAAGGGTCTTCTCTTTCCTTTCATATCTTGATCACTTTTTATAAGCGATTTTTCCTTTAATTATAACATATTCAATTAATTGGTGATGGCCTCCAAACTGGTAAATCAGATGCTCCCATCTAGAAAGAAATAAAAGAGGATGTCAATGCCAGAAGTCAAAATAATGACAGTGTCAACAATACTAAATTTAAAAATACCTACTCAAAGGTATTTTTGTGAAGGGAATGAAGGGAATGTGCCTGCCACAAAGGCAGAGCGGGGGAAAGGGATTGGCGGGAGGGATACAGGGAACACTGGTGGTGGAGAATGGGCACTGGTGGAGGAGTGGGTACTCAATTACTGTATGACTGAAATGTAATCATGAAAGTGTGTAAGTCTGTAATTGTATCTCACGGTGTTTCATTAAAAAAATTTTAAAAATAAAATAAAAAACCAAAAATGCCTATTCCAACAACTTATACACAGATATTTTTTAGGAATTAAAGATTAACTTGCTTATGATAATCAAATGTTTTTAAAGTATGTATCTGACCCTGAGGTATTGATTCAATTAGTGATCCCTGAATTGTAACATCAGCATTATTTTTGATAGAAAGAGTTTTTTTTTTTTACCCTGGCTAGTAGGATTACAGAGTTGCTACTTGTTATATTAACTAGAGGACTAGAATAGGGACCTCTTGGATCCAAGAACTAGAAAAATGTCAAGCAGCAGTAGGAATGACAACTTTCATAGGTAGAACATTAAATCTGAATAGTCACATGGGCAACCCAGGTGGTTAGCAGACTGGAGTGAGGAATAGAAAAGCAGGGGTAAGAAAACTGAAGGCGAGCTGTTGGAATCCAGCACCAGTGAGACATCAGGGAACTATCTGAGGTAGGCTGTCAGATGAGGAGGCCTGGCCACACATTCAAGGAGCCTTAACACAAGGACATGTTTGCAGAGACCAGGCATTTGGGGAAAAGACTCATCCAGCAGCAGACCCAATCCGGAAGAGACCCCCAGACTTAAAAGTCTTTCTCCTTGACAGTTTCCTGGCAATAACCCTTAGCCCAAGCTGACGCAGCTTGGAAATAAATGATATGGCATTAAAGTTCCCCAAACAGCTCAGCACATTCTGTTCTGGAGTTGCCCTTATCCCAAGATAGGGTGCATCATTTCTTTTCCTTTTCCTTAGAGCACCACTCAAGGGTTACCCATGCCTCTCTAGGGTACAGAATTCTCTTTATTCTCTGTGTCTGTCTCCCTCTCTTTAGAATTCCCCCTTAGAATAAGTAGTTTCCCTTAATTAAAGTTTTTACTCTACAGTGTCTTCAGAAGTTCATTTCTGTGAAGTAAACAAACTTCGAGAATCTGGGTGGAGGTCAGATTGAAATTTCCTCCTCCTGAAAAGAGCATAAGCTTGCCATAGCCTGAGAACCCCAGTTCACAGGAAATTCAAGTGCTTGGGGCTGGTTCCCATGCTGCACAGATCAGATGGGTCTCGCTCGGTGCTTGGCAGCCACGGTAATAAGGCAGCAGGACTTCAAGGCCCACTGTGAAGGAACTTAGTAGACTTTTCACACTTCCGACCTCATTGGCCCCACCTGCCCCCCACCGCCCACACCCATTCACTGCCCAGCATCATTGCAGCCATCCAGGAATGTGCTCAAGCTCTCTCTGCTGCCACTACTTCCTCCTACTCTGTGGCTTTCCTTTGCACTTCACCCACAACACAACAAATCAGAAACCACATGACATTGGGTCCTGTGTGGCCTAGAACAAGTAGAAGGTCAGAAGCGAAGTCAAAAGCCAAAAACATGCAGAGGGCACAAGTCCTAAGTCCAGATAAACAGAGCAGAAGCACGGAGACCTATGAAAGACGTGAGACAAATGAAGGAATTGACAAAGCTGAGTATTCCCTTCAGGCCATGAAAAGGGTCAGAGAGATAGTACAGAGGGTAAGGTGTGTGCGTGTGTGCCATGCATCTTGCTGACTTGGTTCAATTTCAATCATTTCAATCATTGCATACTGTCCCCCAAGCACTGCTAGGAGTGATTCTTGATCACAGAGAAAGGTGTAAGCCCTGAGTACAGCTGGGTGTGGCCAAAAACCAAAAAAAACAGGAGAGGATAGGAAAGGAGAGGAGAGGGAAAATGAAAGGAGAGGAGAGAGGAGCGGAGAGAAGGAAAGGGGAGGGGAGGGGAGGAGAGCATAAAGGAGGAGAAGGGAGGAGAGGAGAAAATTAGGGTGTAGACCAAGGACTTTGGGTAGCTTCAGAGTCTATACAGAGCCTGCCACTAATAATCAGTGTCAGATAGAGTTAAATAAAGCCTCCATATTACAATGAACATAAAGTAAATAAGCTCAGTTGAAAGGATGCTTACCTAGATGCATTGATGATAATGAGATCTCCCTGCTTGCCAACTTCCAGAGATCCATGTGTGTGCGACTTCCCCAGTGCGTAAGCTGCATTGATGGTGGCAGCAGCCAAGGCTTCAGGCATGGACATTTTCATGTTCACACAGGCCAGGTGCATCACCATGGGCTAAGGCAGACAAAGAAAACATTGGAGGGAAATAACAAAATGACAGGTAGCTGGCGTTTACTTCATGCAACACAACACATGAAGAGTGAGAGGTATAGGTGAAATTTTACATATACATGAATCTTAAGTCTTGGAAAATATTGTTTCAGAGGCAATCCCCCCATATATGTTTAATACTTACTAATAATTCTTCAAAACCACTGTTCAAGTTACTTTACCTCTGCTCTAACTTAGTAAAACTTGGTTGAGTCTCTCTGCTTTCTTTGAGATTGGAAATCAATTACTATAAAATCACAATACTCAAGGCTGAATCAGAAAATTTTGCAAATAAAATCTTCTCTCTTTTCTTTGTGCCTGGAGGTGTCTCAGTAATCCAACTGCCTACACATTTTTGCTTATTTCACAGGAAAATATTTTTAGATATCTGATATATGTCGGCAATTCATGAATTTTTTGTTAGCATTTTATTCCTGGAGGTCTTAAACTCCCACTTATTTTTTTCCCCATTTTAGTATTTACTTTATAAGCAATTCCCTTGTAGAATCTAGGAGACTCACTTAACTCAGCTGTATAACTTGCCTGGCAGAAAATTTCACCATTAGCAGAAATGTCCATACACCAGTTCAGTCCTGAAAGTCAAGAATGGCAGCATAACTGCATATCATTTCTGTCAGAACCTAACACTAATGCATAGGTTTGTTGATCTTACATGCCAAAGACTCAAGTACCTAATGAAATATCTTTAAATGCTTAAAATCTTGTTGAGGCTTAATACCTGGTGCAGAAAGTTATTTTTAAGATACTTACCATTGAAAAGCAATAAGCATTAGGGTTGAAATCACTGCCCAGAGCCACAATCACACCTTCATCCAACATTTTCCTCGCTCGAGGTTGTGTGAGTCTAAGGAAAGGTGGAAAATAGCAGATTAGATGTTTAGAATGAAAGAAGACTTATGAATCCAACCCCATTGTGCCCTGGAAACAGCAGCAGAAACTTGCAGTTAAGTGATTAGTGGTGAAGTCCAGCTGAATCCCAGGACTCTGGATTGTTTTTTTAAAATCTGCTTTTGAAATTACTTAGCTATAACTTTTTCCATTTCTGAGTGTTTAGCTCAACAATCTTTATACACATACATACATATACATGTATATGTGTATATGTATACACATATATATACATATATATGTGTGTATATATATCATATATTCAGAAAGTCTTGCTTTAGGAAGAAAAATAGAATGCGCAAGTTGCTTTCCAATATCATAAACATTTTTTGCAACTCCATATATAAAAATGCAGTTTGCAGAATACACACGGGTTATTATTATTTGTTTGTTACTATTGATTGTTTGGTGCGGAAAGGGTATCTACTCCCAAGCAGTCAGTATTCATAGGATCATAGGACTCAGGGCCATTCCCAGTGACACTCAGCTGGCTGTGTGGCCTCTCAACAGTCCAGCAAGAAGGTGCTCGGACCCCAGTGTGTCTTGGACCCCAGAGACACACCTGGCATTGTTTGAGGTTCAGGGCCAGCAATCAAACTCAGGACCTAGTTTGTATAAGTCCAGACCCTTGAACAACCTCCCCAGACCTTACTGATTCTGGGGGTGAATTCTCACTGATTCTTGGGGGTGGGGGCCTCCCAAGCAGGGCTCGAATCCCTCCCAGCAATTCTTGGCCAACCTGGTCAGCAGATCAAGTGCTGCTGGAGTGCAGTAGTGCCAGGAATTCCCCAGGTCACTCCAGTGTTGCTCAGAGACCACTAGGAATGCACCCTGAGGTATTCAGGGGACTGTATTTGGTACCAGAGAGTCACCTACGGTCAGCCACATGCAAGGCATGCTCCTTTAACCCCTTTACAATCTCTCTGGCTCCCAGAGGGCAAATGAGTTAGATCTCATAGTTGTGTATGTAAATTCTCATAGAATTTAAAAATTCTCCATGACTCCCCACCTACTTCCTTTCAGACTTTGGACTCGGTGCTAAGACAGTTTGTCTCCTGCTACTCTGCCACTGGCTCACAGCTCTGGCCTCCCTTGTGTTCCTCACACACACACATCCCAGTGGAGACATCGTGACATCCACACTCCAGCAGAACCTCTTCCTCCATCCTCCTGCCTCCTCTACAGGTCTAGCCTCTTCGCCTCTACAGGTCTCTGCTCAGATGCCCCCCTTCAGAAAGGCTTTCCTTGACCAAGCTGGAAAAGCAGCAGCCTTCTACCCCACACTCTTCTCCTGTTCTGACTTTTTGGGGAGCGATTAGCATCACCCCACTTGCTGGTTTTGCATCTGTCTTCCCATTAGAATGGACACTCTTTAAAGTCTTTGTAGCTGGATCCCTGATGCCTAGAACACACCCCGCCAAGGAAGAAACCCCAATAGATGTGTTGAACACATGACTTAATAACAAGGGAGACAGCAATGACTCTTGCCTTGGCACACTGAGGCATGACTGCTGACCTGATGGGCCATTAAAGGCCACTTTAATAAGTTGCTCTCAGCAATATGTGGGTGGAGGAGGTATGTGAACCAGAGAGAAAGAGGGAGGAAAGGGTGGAGCTTAATGGTTCCCCACAGGGCCTTCACCCTCCTCTTAAAGGGGGGTGGGGAACATGAGGCTATAAAATACTCCTGGTGCCACCCAGAAACATGGGGAAAGACTCCTGAATAGAGGTCATTATCCTGAAAAACCCTCCAATGGTCCAAGGTGGTGGCCATTCAGGAAATGAGACTTCCATCCATAGCACAGGGTTTAGCTCTATTGGGGGCCCTGAAGGAGCCTCCTGACAGAGTGGTCAGAAAAATGCTTCAGGGTCTAGCTCGTTCCATCCCAGGCACCACAAGGTTTCCCATGCATGTCACGTTTATCTTTGGAGGCCCTTGAGCACTGCCAGGGTGAACTGGTGGTTCCTACAAGTGCCAAACAGTCCAACACCCCAGGCCCAAGCATCGCCATACCCTGGGGCCCCCGCATTGAACTGCAGACCACCTAGGCTGAATATTGCTGTGTGTGGCCCCCAGGTCCTCTGAACATCTTTGGGAGCCAGAAAGAAAACTATGACCTATTCTTTGTCCTGATTGTCCAGACAAGAGCCTGGACCTTTCTTGTGAAAACAGTGGAGAGCCTTTTTCACAGAAGAAGGACATAGTTGGACTTTAAATGCCATTCAGGACACCAAGTCTCATATATCTGCTCTATCTCACAATGCTCAGACTGAAAAAATCTTTTATGAAAAATGCGTTCCTTAGGTAGAAAATTAACCTACCTAAAAAATTAACCTACCTACTCTGTACATAAGATTAAGTTCTGATGACTTTGATGAATGACTGGTGACATTTGCAAGAAAAGCTGTTTTGATCATATCAAAGCAGTTACAGAGTAATAAATACTTCCAGTTTTCTACATTATGGGCACATTAAGCACCAAGAGAATGGCCATAATAACAGAATTAAACATGTATCATATCATGTACTCCTTTCTTGTTCCTGGTAAAAGTTACTCACAGCTGTCTTTATAAACCTGATGCAGTTTCTCAGTACCTGCTGCTTTCATGAAACCTTGGACTGGATCCATCAGCATACTGGTATGCTACTTGGCACTAGATGCCAGTAGCGCCCCCAATGGTGACAACCAACATTGTCTTTACCAGTGATTTCCAAAAGGCTATACTCTGGCCTCTCTCCTCCCCTCCATCTCTGGTCCCCCAGGTGGGATGTTGAGTGATTATTTTTTTTCTGAAAAGGGGCAATAGGTCAAACAAGTTTGAGGATCTCTTCTCTAAACATTGTCAGATATCCTCCAGTGAGTCTAAATCACCCTGAGATGAAGAGCTATGTCCTCTCACCATAGCAGCAAAATCATTTCCAGAAAAGCCATGTAGCTCACCCCCACTGGAAGCAGCTCCTCTTAAAAGAATAAATTGTCTAGGAAGACTGGTCTCAGCCCCAAATGTGATTGGGCCATGACAGTCACCTCATGTACTCAAACGCTCCAGCTTTATATTTAGTGTAAGTAGAGAAAAGATGGTTTTCTATGAACTATAAAAGATGGTTTTGGTGGGTTCACTCCACCAAAGTCACTCAGGGCATACCACAAAGTTCTTGGGAAAGTTTTATAAAACACACCTTTCATCTGTTCCCAGGATCTAGAAGGAAGCTTGGTATATAGAATAGAATTCCCTCTCATTTTTTTTTTGAGAACTGTTCAGATCTTAAACACTACAAGTCTAACATCTTATATATTTTTATAAAGTACAAGGCTTGTTTCATTATTTTTTCATTGTAAAAGTAATGCGTAAGGATGTTTTCCTCGGAAAATTCAAAAAAGAGAAAATGAAAACAAAGAGTCACACTCCTTAACAACCCTTACACTTATAGACAACTTGGGTCCAAGGTCCTTCTCCTCCAGACAATTCACTCATGAACAGTGATCCAGCAGCTCCTGCGAGCTCAGCTTTCTTGTTCAGCACGGTAAAGGGATTTGTAGGCACTATGGTGTATGCAGAATCTTGGAAGTGTGTGTTCTTCATGGTTTGCTCCCGTATGGCGTGAGGAAACCTCACCTCAGCATGTAGGCCGTAGTGGGCAGAAGGACGGCGGAGCACTGAGCTCTTGCCATGGCAGCGATGCCTTCGTCACTCACTTCTTCCAGGTGACTTATGGCCTGAGCTCCCAGTTCAGCCCCGAGCTACACGGAAAGGGCAAGAGAGAGGAGGGATGGGTGGGGAGGTTAGCCAGCAGCATCACAAATCAGAAAGGGCCAGAGGATGGTTTTGCCTCAAAGTGAACCACATTTATTATTGAGATTTCTTGCACACTAACTCAAACACAGGCTTCCAAATAAAGAAAAAGATTGTTTTAAAAAAAACAAAAAGATATTCACTTGGAAAGTAACTCGGATGCTATATCAAAAATGATTTTAAGCATGCATAACTGCTGAGAGTCATCAGCTGTTTGCCAAAATAATAAAATTTTTATGAGACCAGGAAGATAGGTTAAAGCACATGCTTTGCGTGTAGGAGGCCTCAGTTTGACCTCAGCACCACAGGGGCCCCTAATCACCACTGGGGGGAGCAAGCCTGAGCCAAAAGCCAAGAGTAACCCCAGCACTGCCAGTTGTGCCTTCCCCCAAAAGAAATAAAAATAAAAGATGAGTTTATGAAGCTTATGGATCAAAATAGAACATGGAGTAAAGTTGGTAATGAAGTCAAATAACTACAGAATCAAAAAGAATAATAAAAGGTATCATGTGGTGTCAGTATATGTATTAAAAGTATATGTATTAAAATAATAAAAGGTATCATGTGGTGTTAGTATATGTATTAAAAGCTTCAGCGGAGAAGACAAACTTTTCATATGGGGCACTTACATGTGTTTGAAATTTTCAACGTAAGTTTGATTTTCTCTCCACATAAAAAACTTTGGTTAAACAACAGAAAACCAAGAGGAGAAAATGTCATGGAAATATGAATTAAAGAGGGTCTCTTCTCAGCTTGATGGATTCACAGACACATACACACAGACTGAAAGCTGGGCATGCCAGTCCATGGAAATCCAAGCAGACTAATATTCCATCTCACAATTCAGCCCACAGGACAGGGTAACCCAGATAAATCTAGGAGCAGTGTGAATCAGAACTCATAGCCCAGAGCTCCACAAGAAAGACGGTAGATCTTTCTGATCTTGAAATCATCCCCACTTTTCCAATCTTCCCTCCCCTTCCCTCTCCTTCCCTTCTCTCCTCTCCCCTTCCCTTCCCTCCCCTCCCCTCTCCTTCCTTCCTTCCTTCCTTCCTTCCTTCCTTCCTTCCTTCCTTCCTTCCTTCCTTCCTTCCATCATTTCTTCTCTCGTTCTGGGTATTGGCCTCTATTTCATTCACCAGACATTTGTTCTCTATGTCCTCATATTCATTAAGCAAACATCTGGCAAATGTTTGCTTAACATTTGCCAGATGTTTGCTTAATGAATATTTATGCACTGTGCAACCGGGTTGCACAGGGTTGTATAAGACATTATTCCTGTCCTTAGCATGCTTAGAACCCAAGAGAGATCAGAGAGACTATTTTAACTCGGTAGGTTACATGCAGAGTGGGGGTCATTTCCCACTCTTAAAAAGGTTGAGGAAGGGTGTCAGAGACACAAAAGCTTAGATGAAACATGGAAGAGTTAGGGTTTAAACAAATGTGTGTGTATGTCTGTGTGTGTATGTCTGTGTGTGTGTGTCTGTGTGTGTGTGTGTGTGTGCGTGTGCGCATGCGTGTCCGTGCACAGGCACCCGTGCGTATTTGTGTTCTGATCCCATAAAGAACATGTACAAAGGCCAGGGGATTCTGGTGTTCTACATGTTTATTTTGGCTGAAACATGTTAGAGAAAGGGGAGAGAGTGAAAAGAGGAAGGGGTGGATAGAAAAGTAAGCTGGAGCTGGAGTCCTGGTAAATCCTAATCCTGGTAAGACTGCTGGTAGGGAGTTTGGAATTTGCCTTAGCAGCATGAAAAGTAAGAGAATTTAAGACGTGGCGGGAGAGAATTAGATGTAGCCTTCAAGGAATGGATTAAATGGATAGAGTAGAAGCAATCTTGAGAAAAGTTATTGCTGGTATGCTGGTGAGAGGAGGTGGTGATTCTTGAAACAGGCATCAGGATAAAGGGAAGTTAATCTAGAGATATTCAAGAGGAGAATTGGGAGGAGTTGCTGATTGGCTGAGATATGAAAGGGGGAGTGGGAGGTGACATCCAGGTCTTGGGCATGTTACACACAGAACATATTGGGGGCAGTTGCATCTGTACTTGCACCCCATAGGCAGTTGTGTTTTCAGCTCTGGAGCTTAGAGAGGAGATGCAGACTCATAACTATAAGGATTGTGTTGTCTTATTCACTGTTGAATTTTCAGAGGTTAGAACAGTGTTGGCACACAGGAGATACCCAGATATTTGTTGAAAGCATAAATAAATGAATCTGAACAAGACATGTATTTGAAAATAGTGGTGTGTTTCACTAAAATTCATCTGGATTCTATTATAGAAAGATTCTAGAAGCAGTGTATGAAATGAATAGACTCTGCTAGTGTGGCTTTGTGTGCCAACCAAAATAGCTCATGAATTTAGCACATAAAATCACAAACTTGTTTCTTATTTGTACAAATAGGCGATAATAAAAGCATATGCGCCAGGGCAGGCGAGATCACTCCAAGGACTGGTAAATATGTATTGTCTGCAGAAACCCTGGCTTGATCTCTACCAGTGCAAATTCCCTGGAGCACTGCTGGGAGCAACTCCTAAGCAACAAGGCAGGAGCAGCCCCTAAGAACTGTTGGGTGTGGGCCCCAAACAAAGCATGATAGAAAAAATAAAAGGCACACCAAAAAAAATGTACATTTTTAGTAGAGGCCAGGGAGCCTAAGGCTCAGCCAGATTAAATCTGCACAACACTCAAACAAATTTCCCAGGCTCTTGCTTTTCAGAGGGTTATTTCTTCCTTGAAACAAATGGATTAAGTTTTCCCTCCATGAGTGTTGACAACAGAAAAGCGAGTAGTCAACAGTACCTCAGCAGCCTTCATCGGGTGGAGTTCATCCCCATGGAAATTGATCTGCAGTCCCATCTCTTTTCCAGTTTGAAGAATCCGCCTAGTGGAATCGAGATCAAAGACGCCCTTTTCGCAGAACACGTCTATATTGTCCACGTGTAGCTCCCCTTTTCGGCTAAGTTCCTTCAGCTTTGGGAGATGGTTATGGACTATGTCATCAGCAGCTTCAGTGGCAGTTTTTCCTCTAAGGAAAGAAAATAATATTAGCAGAGGCATATAAATACAATTATACTTATATTAAATGTGTATGCGTTGATTTTTATACTACCACACCCAGTGGTGTTCTGGCCTTACTCTTGGCTCTATGCTCAGGGATCACTCCTGGCAATACTTGGGACCATGTACCAGAGGTAGGGACTGAGCTTGGGAAGGCTAGATGAAAGACAAACACCTTGACAGTACTATCTCTCTGGTCCCTATATATTTTTTTGATTGAGAAAGTATTATTTTATTGTTATTTTGGGGCCATACCCAGTGGTACTCAGGCTTACTCTGGCTCTGTGCTCAGGGATCACTCCTGGTTGGCTTGAAAGACCACTGGGGGTGCAGAGGATCAAACCCAGGTCAGCCATATGCAATGCAAGTGCCTGGCCCACTGTACTATCACTTCACCACCAGAGAAAGGATTTTTTTTCCCTTTATTTTTTTTATTTATTTTTTTTTTACAGTTGTAGATTTACAATTTTTTGTGCTTGGGTTTCGATTATACAATGATCAGATACCCATCCCTCCACCAGTGCCCATTTTCCACCACCATGGATAATATCCCCCCACCCCCATCCCCCCATCCCCCCCTGTCTCTGTGGCAGGGCAATCCCCTGTGTTCTCTCTCTCCTTTTGGGTGTTGTGGTCTGCAAAAGAGGCATTGAGTGGCAAACATGTTCAGTCCACAGTCTACTTTTGACATGCATCTCCCCTCCTGGGAGGATCCTCCAAATATCCTTTATTTGGTGCTCCCTTCTCTATCTGAGCTGCCCTTTCCTCTAGGATACCCGGCTGGCCTCTAAGTTATGGAGTAATCCTCCTGGTGCTGATCTCAGCTATTCTTGGGTATTAATCTTATACTTTGTTACTTTATATCCCCCAGATGAATGCAATCTTTCAGAGAAAGGATTTTTTTGGCACTTACACACTGCACTTAAGAAACTGTAGGTCTAAAACCGAAGAGATAGGACAGTGGGTAGGGTATTTGCCTTTTGCACATGTGAACCAGGATTTGATTCCTGATATTCCATATGGTCCCCTGAGCACTGCCAGGAGTAATTTTGGAATGCAGAGCTAGGAGAAACCCCTGAGCACAGCCAGGTGTGACCCAAAACAAAAACAAACAAACAAACAAACAAACAGAAATAAAGAAAGGAGAAGATAAAGAAACTGTTTAACTGACTGTGACTCTAAAAGACAGAGAAAGAATCAAAGCTACAAACTCAGGGCTATAATAATTGGGATATATCTATGGAGCAGAGCTAGATGTTCACTGACCCCAAAAATACACAGACTCACATGGTCACACAATCCAGCTTTCCTCTGTCACCTCTGAGAAAAGCCAGAGAGCTACCTGACTAAAAGACTAAATCTTGCAGGACTTCCTGGAATGCTATTTCAAAATCCAACACCGAGTACCAAGTATCACCCTGTCATTTTCTTCTGTTCCTACAGTCTAAGACTTCTTGTGCTGTCATCTGAGGACAAGGGGAAAAGCCCCTAAAATTCTGTTTCTGGCATAGTCATATATTAGAAAGAGCTAGGTTTTTAAAGTCAGATGGACACTTAACTTCCATTTATGGCTATGTAACTTCGAATCCCTTATACAGGCATCATTTGGCACACTCTCCCCTGGCCCCCAAGCTTTATCACTGTGGTCAAACCAAGACTTAGAGGCTCATAGACAAGTGGATCACAGTTCAGTAAAGAAAAAAGGAAAACAAGTTAGCACACAGAGCTTCTTGTTCAGCAAATCCATTTGGATGGGTGTGTAGGCGTGAATCATAAGAAAAGTGGCAATTAACATATGTGGCTTCTAATTCTCAAGAAATCAGAGAGAATGAGATGTTTCACAGATGAAGAATTCATGTTTGGAAAGTTAAGCGATCTTCTCAAAACCACCCAACTGGAATCAGCTGAGCTGGATTGAAGCCTGGATCCTGAATCACTCCAGAGTGAGACTCTTTCATGGTACATTGTCTTTTCCTAGTGAAAACAGGAACCAACTGTTTGACACCTTATATTCCATTTGAAAATTATTCATTTTTTTCAGATAGGCTGTCCTAAAATCTTAGTGCACTTTTAAAAATTTTTTTCCTTCTTTTTAATGAACTTTTGAACTTGAATCATTCATATATATAATATGTATGTATGCATATAGCACTATCCTCCCATTGTTCATCGATTTGCTCAAGCGGGCACTAGTAACGTCTCCATTGTGAGACTTGTTGTTACTGTTTTGGGCATACTGAAAACGCCATAGGGAGGTTGCCAGACTCTGCCGTGTGGGTGGGATATTCTCGGTAACTTGCTGGGCTGTCTGAGAGGGACGGAGGAATCAAACCTGGGTTGGACACGTGCAAGGCAAATGCCCTACCCGCTGTGCTATCACTCCAGCCTCTCTCTCTCTATATATATATATATATATATGCTAAAAACATACAAATATCATTGAAAAATTTAAGCATTTGTCTTTTGTGAATTTTAATAATACAATAAACATTTAATAATAGAGTAAACTAGCTCCTTTGAAGATGGTAAGAAAAAATTAGCAAAATTTTATAATTTATATTCAAGTAGCATTGATTTTACTGTATATAGGTTTCATGTTCAGAATTATAGTTCCAAATCTCTCTAAGCCACATTAGGGTCTCCAACTTATAAACAAAATTTAAATGATTAAACTTTTAAATAATTTTGGTCAGTTTGGCTATCTCTATTTTCAGGGGCCAAAATTGCATTATGACTTTTGAGAAGCTCTGTAAATTTCCAAGGCCCAAGTTTATTATTTTCAGATCTATTTGTTCTAGAAGTCAAGTCTTCAACACTCAAATTGTCTAGAAATTTGAGGGACAAACTAAAGCAGATACTGAAGGGAACAGAATTCTCTACAGAAAATTCTGATAGGAAGAGATCTGTAGATAAAAGTTAAAAGAGTGATATTAAAACAGATAGTATAGCTGTTTAACAGAAAAACAGATAAAACTCTAACCTATCCCGAATTGTCTTTGCTTTGAGATATGATCTAGCCCCCCCCCACTTCCCTCCCCCACCCCCCAGTGCTGTTCTTTCTCACTGTGGTCTTGGAGGGCACACCAGGAATTGCCACGGGTCTTTGAGGGCAGGGGCCCAGGCGTGTCAGGGGCTTTATACATTCAAAACCTGTGTTCTGTCCCCTTGAGCCACATTTCCAGTCCTCCAAAAACGTTATTCTTAAAGTACTTTGTGCTAGCTGTCACGGGAAACTATTGAAACTAATAATGATATTTGTAGAGGACCTATGATAGGGCATTTACTTTTGTTAACCAAAGGAGTTTGAGGTCTCTTCTTTCTTATCAGTAAGGGAGAGAGCCCAGAGGCCCCCAGGGAACTTAGCATGTAAAAAACAACAACAACAACAACAACAACAACAACAACAAAAAACATGACTGCTCAGTAGAACCACACCTCTGCCTAGTCGGCTCCCACCCTCTCCTTGGGAGCATTAAGGGGCCAAACGAATGCCAATGTCCACCCGCTGGAGAACGCCGCCTTCTCCCAAGCCCCGCAAGGCCCCGGCTAGGTGCTCAACGTGCCCAGTGGTTCCCTGGGACCCCTCGGAGGACGTTACTTTGGCACTGAATGCGCCCCGCAGTAGGTGGACGAGATGCCGATGTCCAGCTGGCGCCGGGCACGCTCAATCACGCGCAGCATCTTGAGCTCAGTGTCCAGGTTGAGGCCGTAGCCGCTCTTGCACTCCACCAGCGTGGTGCCGGCGCTCAGCATGCATCCCAGGCGCTGCTGGAAGGTGCCGAACAGCTCCTCCTCCGATGCCTGTCGTGTGCGCTCCACCGTGAAGTTGATGCCACCACCAGCCTGGTGGATCTCCATGTACGTGGCTCCTGCCAACTGAACACATAGCTTCGAGTGAAGGCAGGCCCACGCCGGCGGGTGGCTGGTGGGTCTGCGGAAGCTCAATCCACTATTAAACATGATTCGCCATCTGCCAGTCCTGAATCTGGGGGCCGGCTACTCTGCCAAGGTAATCTCGAAGATGGAGGTCGGGTGGGGGTGCAGACCCGAAGGAGGGGCTGAGACGTTGGCATGGCAAGACCTGCTGTCCCATGACAACTCCAGGGCAGCGGTAATTACCAGTTGGTAAGAGGACTCTGTATTTCATTATATTCAGGGTTAGGTCCACATTCTAGGATGCTCAGAGTCTATTTTTATGAAGGTGATCTAACTGGCTCCTAGCAATACCCAAGCCCATCTTGGTAGGGAAGAAAGAGGGCATGGAGAAAGAGGTCTGGGGGGGGGGGGTGCTGGGAGTGGGGGGGGGGCACACTAGCCACCCTTTGTGCACCCTTTGAGCCACCCTGGCCGAATTTCTGTACTGCAGTTCCAGATATACTGGCGATGTACTCCAGATCAATGTACCCCAGTTCTCAGCCTTTCTACAACATTCAGGACTTTGGAGAAATTGGTACCACTGCAGTTATTCAAAAATCCACTGAAGATCAGGAGTATTGGTCCATGGTAGGAAGTTTGCCACCAAGTGGGAAGGAGAGTGCAGTGAGGACAGAGGTATCATTATCACTATGACTGGGATAGTTGGAAATGATCAGATGGACAAGGAGTGAGTGTTGAAAGGAGGTAAAGAGATATACATGATAACTAGCACAGTGCCTAAAAGGAAAGTGTGTGTGTGTGTGTGTGAGAGAGAGAGAGAGAGAGAGAGAGAGAGAGAGAGAGAGAGAGAGAGAGAGAGAGAGTCTTCCATAGAGGCAGGCTGTAGGGGCAGGGAGGGAGGGGCCATGGTCAGTGGGGTGGGAGGAGAAAACTAGGGATATCAGTGGTGTGAAATGTGCACTGGGGAAGGGACAGGGACAGGTGTTGGAACATTGTATGACTGAAACTCAATCATGAACTTTATAACTGTATCTCACAGTGATTCAATTTATTTATTTTTTTAATCTTAAAAGTGTTCACTCAAGAGTTAGGGACAGAAGGGTTGTATGTCTCATTATTTGGCCATTAGAATTTAGGGACTGCCCTCTGCCACTCAAACAAATCAAGAGGCATTTCTGGAACCACAGATTCCTGTGATTCTGCCACAGCGAGTGTGGTGCAAACAGGGCATTTGGGCTAGAGATTCAGTCAAGGGTTATAGTCAACCCAGTTCCATCCCTGGCACCCTTATAGTTCCCTGAGTACAGAGCCAGGAATAATCCCTGAGCAATGCTGGGTGTGTCTCCCAAGCACAAAACAGTATGTTCACCTAGAGGGCATCCTGGGTAGTTTTCATCTAAGTTCTGCCCTAAATGAACCTACATAAGGCATGACCTCAGGCAACACCATTCTCACAGTGCATTTACCTCCTCTCTCCATCTCTGTTATGATAGCATCCTGCTGTAACTCTTCAAGGTCACTTTTGGCTCTGAAATTTTGTGATATAATAAAGAAGTCTGAAAAAAACTTTCTTGTGTAAGACAGGTATATAAGAGTTGAATGTGTGTTCACATTTTCTGGAATAATCCCATTCAGGTGGGGAAAAAAAAAACTCTAACTTAGAAAGTAAGCTTTTAAAAAATATGTAGGAAGAAAAGAGGAAACTCTGTACATATAGCTAAGTGAAACTGGGCCCATCTGAAATCACTCCATCTTGTGTGTTTTCAACTCTCCGGAATTCTAGAAAAAAATACAGAACTATTGGTATAGGAAAAAAGACCACTAGTTCCAAAGCTGGGAAGGAAAAGGGATGATGATTTAAAAGCACAGAGGATTTAGGGAAGCAGTGAAACCACCCAGGAGCTTAGGATGATCCCTGGCATCATACATTTCCCCAAATCTATAGAACACATACCAATAAGAGTGGACCTTAATGTAAACTACTAACTCTGGTGATAATGATTAATGACTATAGGTTCATCAGGTATAACAAATATAATCCACAGAAGGGAGATATCAATAATAACAGTAGCTGGGAGGGGTTGGAGGTGGGACAAGAATGCATAGAAAATCTCTTGTCTCCTACTCACTTTTGCTGTGTAGGTAGAACTGTTATAAAATATAACTACTGAAAAAAATTCAATAAAGACTCAGTGAGGATTTGAGGATTAACTATGGCAAATTAGTGACTGACATAGATCACATTTTATGTTTCTTAATAAATCCCCTACCCCTGGGAGGAAAAAAAGAACCAGACATTTTATTTTTGCCATAAGTAAAACATTTTTACCAAATTTGACTCTAATAAATAATAATTTTTTTTCAAACTGTTTTCTTGAGCCCCCTTTGAGGCTGCCAGGAACAATAAACTGGAATGATGGAAAGGAAAGAGAGGAAAATTTTAAAGCAAGGCAGCACAGTAGGTTTTAAACAGAGGATTCTACTGCTGACATATTTTCAGATGATTATGCTTAAAGGGTTGCCAGCCATATGCATAACATAAAGATTTGGTACAAATTAGAAATTAGGGTAATATTTATTTTTTTAGAGGAGCCTCCCAAGTGGTGCCTCCCAAGAGGCCCTAGGCCTCTCCCATGGATTCTCAGCCAACTGGTCTAGAGGTTCAATGTGAGACCAGAGGATGTGGAACTGTTGAGGCTCTACAGAGATTACTTGAGCCAAGTCAGCAGTGCTCTGGGAATCCAAGGCCTCACTCAGAGGTATTTGTGGAGGTAGAACAAGGTTATACCAGGTGATGCTCCAGGGCCCATGTGTTGCTGGGGACCAAACCAGGCTCACTGCATGCAAGGCAAGTGCCTTAACCCCTCTATTATCTCTCTACCCACCCTTAGTTATGTTTTATTGCAGTTTACTCCACAGGATAGGTCAGTAAAAATACCCACTTGATAGTTACAGATGACATATGTTGCAAAGTCTGATTAGCTATCAAGTTTCTGGAAAGGGACTTGTCTATATTTGTGCTTTATTTTAATTTGCTTTCACTGTTACAGTTACCTTCATTGCAAACTCGTGAACTCTTTCGCCAGCCCATACTGGATGTGTGTGTGCATCCACCAACCCTGGAATCAATAAATTAAATCATTTTTCAAGTTAGCACTGCACTGTAGCACTGTTCTCCCCTTGTTCATTGACTTCCTCGAGTGGGCCCAGTAACGTCTCCATTTTGAGACTTGGTATTGTGTTAGGCATATCGAATACGTCACAGGTAGCTTGCCAGGCTTTGCCATGTGGGCGAGATACTCTTGGTAGGTTGCTGGGCTCTCCGAGAGGGGCAGAGGAAAATCGAACCTGGGTTCGGCCAGGTTGGCTGCGTGCAAGGCAAACGCCCTACCCACTGTGCTATTGCTCCAGCCCCATTTTTCAAGTTAGAGAAAAAAAAAATCCTTAGAGGGCAGGCAGTCTGTTCTATACTTTCTGGAATTTGTGATGGTTCATTCACTGCCAAGGTGGGTTAAAAAAAAGAAAGGATTTGTGGTTTTATAGCAGAGAGGAAATAAGCCTTTTTGCTTGCCTAGAAGGTTTTCATGGGAAGGGGGGCGTTCCGGTCCGTCCTTCACGCCCTACCGAGGTCACCAGTTGCCCCCCACGAGCGGCTCTCCAGCACGGCCACAGCCCCAGAAGCACAAGGGCTTAATGCAGAACCCAGCAGCTTGGAGCAGAAAAGTGAAAGGACTATGCGTTAATCCAGGCAATCATTTCTGCCCAGAGGGGAAAGGGTGTTGCTCCCTTCCGCCCTCCTCCCTCTGGAAAGAAAGATGGCGGCCACATGGGAGCCTTGTGGACAGCAGGTATGAGCCGGGGGTGTGGGGGCGACTAAAACTTCATGGGAAGGGGGGCGTTCCGGTCCGTCCTTCACGCCATACCGAGGTCACCAGTTGCCCCCCACGAGCGGCTCTCCAGCACAGCCACGGCCCCAGAAGCACAAGGACTTAATGCAGAACCCAGCAGCTTGGAGCAGAAAAGTGAACGGACTATGCATTGATCCAGGCCATCAAGTCTGCCGGAGGGGAAAGGGTGTTGCCCCATTCGCCCTCTCCTCTCTGGAAAGAAAGATGGCGGCCACATGGGAGCCTTGTGGACAGCAGGTATGAGCCGGGGGAGTGGGGGCGACTAAAACCTCATGGGTCGGGGGGCGTTCCGGTCCGTCCTTCACGCCCTACCGAGGTCACCAGTTGCCCCCCACGAGCGGCTCTCCAGCACGGCCATGGCCCCAGAAGCACAAGGACTTAATGCAGAACCCAGCAGCTTGGAGCAGAAAAGTGAATGGACTATGCATTGATCCAGCCCATCAAGTCTGCCGGAGGGGAAAGGGTGTTGCCCCATTCGCCCTCTCCTCTCTGGAAAGAAAGATGGCGGCCACATGGGAGCCTTGTGGACAGCAGGTATGAGCCGGGAGTGTGGGGGCGACTAAAACCTCATGGGAAGGGGGGCGTTTCGCTCCGCCCTTCACGCCCTACCGAGGCCACCAGTTGCCCCCCACGAGCGGCTCTCCAGCACGGCCACGACTCCAGAACACAGAAACCAATTTCTTAACTATCTGACTTTCAGTAGAAATACTTCCAGGGTCAATAAGTAAAATAGCAGAAATCCAAAACCAACATTTAATTCTTGAACCCAGCTGGAGAAAGCAAATCACTTCACAATGCTTTTTCAGCATGTCTGATTTGGGGGGGGGGGGGTAAACTCTAAATAATAGTGGTGAATCTTTTATTGAAACAATCTAATCAAAGCGGATAGAGTGTTAACTAGAATTCATCTGCCTCACAGGGACGGGGAGGGGTGGGGGGTGGGGTTTTATTGGGGTTCTTCATGGGAAAAAATAAGTATTGGTAAAGGGAAATGTGTTTGATATTTGCATGACTGAGACATAAACCTGAAAGCTTTGTAACCTTTCCCACAGTGATTCAATAAATAAAAAAAAAAAAAAAGAAGGTTTTAATAAATGAGAGTGAGCACCATAACAAAAATGTTCTTTAAATATCTTTCCTGGACTTGGATTATAAAAAAGTAGTAAGTCATTTGTCTGAGACCCTGGATACAGTCCAAGCAAAACACACACACACACACACACACACACACACACACACACACAATGGAGAGGAAGGAACAAAACTCTTTTACTTCAAAAGTCCATACTCATCAAGTGAGTTTTTAAAATGGGATATTGAGGGGCCATAGAGAAAGTACAGTGGGTAAGGTGTTTGCCTTGCACACAGCCAACCCAGGTTCTATTCCTGGCATCCCATATCATCTCCCTGAGCCCACCAGGAGTGATTCCTAAGTGCAGAGCCAGGAGTAACCCCTGAGCACTGCAAAGTGTGGCCCCAAAACAAATCCCATATGGATATCTTGTATATGCTGAGAAAAACCAAGAATTCAATATTCAAAGTATACTGTTGGTGTAAAAATGGATAGTATAATTTTTACCCTCGACTCTGAAAAGGGAAAACATGAAATCATAAAGATGAATCTTTCTTCAAGGGAGAAATATACTTTAACTAAAGAGAAACTACCAAGTACAATTCAGTGAAGTGTATCTCTTGAGACTATTCGAAATAGCTTATGTATCACATAATTCTTTAGTGTTTTTTACTGGACTAAAATCGAGTCTCTATTATTCAGGTTGCTTTCTGCCATTTTCAGCTCTTTTACCTCATGCTTTACCCTGACTTCATTTTCTAATTCCCAACACCCAAAAAGTAGGTTTTTGTCAAATATACACAGTACAAATTTTATTTTATTTTATTTTTTTCTATTTTGGGTCACACCTGGCGATGCACAGGGGTTACTTCTGGCTCTGCACTCAGGAATTACACCTGGCAGTGCTCAGGGGACCATATGGGATGCTGGGAATTGAACCTGGGTCGGCCGTGTGCAAGGCAAACGCCCTACCTGCTGTGCTATTGCTCCAGCCCCACAGTATAAATTTTAAAGATATAAATTCTAGCCTTGGCATTTATGTATGACTCAAAATCTGTGAAGCTTCTTTCAGATATTACATGAAGTCATAAAACATAGATAATGTAAGAGATGGTAGTTAATAAATGGAGTCTGTTTTCAGTGACTAAAACTGTATATGAACTTCAGTGAAATCTTTAGGAATTTTTATTTTCTTTTGCACTTAGAGGTGTATCCTTCGTCTCATACCTTATACAATTTTAGAGTAGCACTGTAGCACTGTCCTCCCGTTGTTCATTGATTAGCTCGAGCAGGCCCAGTAGCATTTCCATTGTGAGACTTGTTGTTACTGTGTTTGGCATCTCGAATACGCCACGGGGAGTTTGCCAGGCTCTGCTGTGCAGGCGAGATACTCTCGGTAGCTTGCCCTGCTCTCCGAGGGGCGGAGGAATCGAACCTGGCTTGGCTGGGCAGGCTGTGTGCAAGGCAAATGCCCTACCGCTGTGATAGTAAATTCTGGTAATAGATACAGTAATTTTTCCTGCCTTTTGCCCCTATGTAATGAATTAATAAAATCCTTCTTTCAGTGGGTTTTGAACCAAAACACAACACACTTGTAAATGATTGGATTTGACTTCCAGTTTTGCCCTTTGTCTGCTTAGTAATTTGGGGTGAGACCTTCATTTAACCTTTGAACTTCAGTTTTCTAATCTATTACACAAAAGTGTTATAGATTATAAAGGAAGGTCATTGCAAAAATTCAACATGGAAACATGATAGGAAAGCAGTTCAATATTAGTACCAGAACATGGTAGCTTACCATATGGCCATGTCTAAAACAAGCTCCTATTCCTTCTCCATATTACTAAAGCTTTACATTTCAGGGTCTTCTTTGAAAGGAGTTTATACCTGGCAAGATGCATTTCCCAGAACAGTCAATTCTTTCTTCAAAGGTTGCATCAGAAAACTGTCTTCTGATAGCATCGGCAGGACCAATGGCTTTTATAACTCCATCCCTAAAGAACATCCAGAAATAATTACTTGACTTTGAGGAAATGTTGCGAGAAATCTGACTCATGATTTAAAAATATACTACCAATAATTTTTCTCTTGTCAACATTTATTATATTTCCCTCTTAAATCTGTGTTTGAAAAGTGATTCTAGTGGGAGCAGAAACTACATGGAAAAAAGTTATTATGAAAAGAAGTAGAATCATTGTGAGAACTGTGGGGAGGGAACAGTTAGGAATTATTACCACAAAGTACAGGATTATCTTCTGCAAGATCCTACACCTCTGTGCCATCAATGGATTCCTAATTATCATGTTTTAATAAAAGTTTATATATAAAATTGTTCCCATAACAGAGGAATTTTATTTGGGGGTTGGGGTTTTCCTAGCAGTGTTCGGTGACTCCACATTAGCCTCACAGCTTTAGAGTTCTGATTCTGTGGTACTGGGGGTGGTGATAACCAGGACTAAACTTGGGGCATGTGTTCCAGCCCTTTGAGCTTCCTCGACCCCACCCTCTAACAGTACTATTTTAAGGTAGTCTAAGATACACCGTAATCAATATTGAAAGCTGCGAGATCAAAGAAGGAACTTATAGATAAAGGAACTCCTGTAAGATTCACAAAAGATCTATCAAAGATCTGTACAGGCCAGAATAAAGCAGTCGAACACAGTTTCAAAAAAATACTCAATGAAATAAAATACTAGTTCTCACAGCTAGATCATCATTCAAATTAGAGTAATGATAACAGAACTTCATGGACAAATAACAGCTTTGGAAGTTCATAGCCTTGAAACCAGTTTTGCAAGAAGCATTACAAAGTTTCCTTTAAAGACAAGACAGATTTCAGAAACATTCATAAATTCTACAAAATGATGCTATAAATGATTTTGTCTCAATATTTTTTAAAAAAACTTGCTTAATTATTTACCTAATTATCACTGGTTTTCTTAGGAAAACAAGAAAACCCATGGAAGTTTCCCTTCAGCACTTTGTATTTTTGCCTCTCCTCTAAATCTTTAAAACAAATACTCCTTATGTTTGAGTTTATTTTTCCAGTCCTTTTAATTTTGTTCATTTATGTTGGTTTTGGGGTTTGGGGGTCATACCTGGCTGTGCTCAGCATTTACTCCTGGCTTTGTGCTCAGGGATCACTCCTGGTGGGTCCTTGGCTTACCCATTATACTATCTCTGCAACCCGTTTCTTTTTCATTAGATATTTCATCCTGGTTTTAGCCTTTGGATGAGATACTTATAACTGTGCATTTCTCTGTTTCCTTCTTGATGCTTCTTCAGGATCAGTTATAACCTGTACACACACTTGGGCACATATATAAAAATGGTTAAGATATCCTTGAAGTCCCAAGTGACTAAATACAATGGAGGAAACTAGGCTCTGTAGTATCAGACAATCTCTGGAATATTAGGAGGAAGGGGGAGGGTTTGGGGTTTTCTGGGATTTATGTTTATATTTCTAATGCCTGAGGGATTTGCTGCTAATTGCTGCTAATTGTACTCACAGCACTCTGACCTACAGCCTACACTCTTCTCATTTGCCACAAATGACCCCTGATTACAAGATTCTGCAAAAGAAGTGATGCAAAAATGTAAGACTATCACCTAAATAACTCACCCTGAAAGCACTTTTTTTTACCTTAAAATATTCAGAAAGAAAAAGCAAACTACATATTTCAAAGTAGGTAGAATCATCAGAGAATTATACCAATTCTGCATTTTATTTTGCATTCAGATGAAAATCCAATTCTGTATTGAACCAGCCAAACAAAGTCAAAGAGCAAAATTCCAAGTATTCGATACACACAGTTTAGTAAAGGAAATCTAATAAACTTGTAGGAAGTATAAAACAGACTCAAATAAGAAAATCCCCACCAGACCAAAAGTCAACACCCTCTTTTATTTTCCTTTTCATATTTTGCATAGTTTTATGGGGACCTAAGTGGAGAAAACATCCAATAAGTTGGATATATTACTAGATACATCCAAGTTGGAGGTACTACTATAATTTTTAAAGATTCTTTAGTCTCTCCTTAGATAGGTATTTCCTTAACTTTCTAAATCAGTGTGCAATTCTATGAACTGGTTCTAACAAAATGTCGACTAGGGATGTTTTTTAATCTCTTTATTACTTACAAACAAGCAAGCAAGCAAGCAAGCAAATATCCATGCGTACACACAAAATATGGTCCTTTCATCCTTTTATTAATTGCAAACAAACAAATATACATGCAGACACACATCGTACACTCCCTAGACACTGGGCTCTTACACAACCCTCAGCAGCCTCGGGTAAGAGGTGAGACCAAAGTCTGCCTTGCAATCACTGAGCGTTGGGCTGCTACACGCATCCACCCCTCCACCTCCACCCCACCCACCGCTCCCCACTCCAGGACTGTCCTCCCAGGCTTTGGCTGTTCTTTTATTGGTGTCCAGTAGGAAGCACACAGGATTAGATTTAAAACAAACAAAAAAAATTGCTGAAAGGGACGTCTTTTTCTGGTGGCTGCCTGTTCCTTTCCTGTCATTCTAAACATCACTAAACGGTTCTCCAGTTCTTACGGTCTAAGCAGGGTGAGGAGAGGCGGCGTAGAAATTCAGGTCTCAGAACTGCACCCACATAAAAGATCTGGGAACTCTGTGTGTGTGTGTGTGTGTGTGTGTGTGTGTGTGTGTGTGTGTTCAGAAATGTGTCTTTTGAGAAAAAAACAGGCCATGTGACACAAGTGGTCCTTGGGGCCGAGACCACACTTCCAGAAACATTAGCAAAGAACCCAGCCCCCTCTTGAGCGCAGACAACGCTCATTTCACCTGCAGAGTGAAATGAGCTTCTAAAGCGTCCCCGTGGGCTGTAGTTTTTTCCACCCAATGGAGACGCGATGCAATCTAACATATTAGCCAGAGAGTTCCCCCTCCTCCCCCAAAGGCAGGCGAACCAAACAGCCGGTGCGGACGGGCCAGCTTCTCCCCGGACTTCGCTCCGCAGCGCCGGGCATGCTACCGGCCCCCAAGAGGCAAGCCGGGCGGTGGCCGAACTCTCCCGCAGTCCCCACCCGGGCCCCTGCACGCGCCGCCACTTACGAGCCGACCACCAGGCTGGCCCCTTCCAGCACCGCCAGGCTGCGCAGGGCATCCCGCGCCAGGAAACGCTCGCCGCGGGCGCACACGAGCACCACTTGTTGCGCGTTCTCCAGCAGGAGGCGGTGGCCGCCAGCCATGTCGCCGTGCGCCGCGGGTCTCGGGGACGCCTCGGGGCTGGGGCCGCGGGCCTGGGCGCAGGGCGGAGCGGAGCGGGGGGCGGGTCCTCGTGCCCTCTGCACCCCGGGCCAGCCACGCGCGCCTGCCCCCACCAGCGCCGATGCCAGGACCCGCCGGGAGGATGATTATTAGCCAAAAACTGTTATCGCGGAATCTCCTTATTGGGTGGGGGGGAATGCTGATCTGGGAGGGGACCGTCCAGTTTCGTGCTGGGTAAAGGTGGCAGGAATTGTCCTGGCTTGACAATTTAGGAAACTGAAGCTCGTCCCCGGGAGAGAGAACGGGGAGGCGCTGCGACCTCATCAGGGGAGAGGGCATTATTGGGAGGCTGGGACCTCCAAAACGGGCCGAGTGGGGTGTGTAGGGGCAGGTAGCGGAGCCTGGGACAATGCCTGGGAAAGAGAGAGTGGACGGGAGTCCGAGATGCCCCCCCCCCCCCAACGCCGGCTGCCAGCCTGCAGAGGGACCCCCGAGGCTGCGCTGAGGGCCGGGCTCCCAGGTGCGCGCGGCGCGGTGGGGGCGCGGTTGGCCGGTGGCGCTGAGGATTCGGTACCCGCTAGATGCAGGGCAGCGCCCGCGGGCGGAGGAGAAAGCCGAGTCCACGGCCCGAGGAGCAGACTTGGCGCTCACACGCTTGACGACTTCCTGAAGGAGAGGTTGAAACCGTTCCTACATCTAAACTCAGTGAGGTAAAACTGCTTACAGCCAAGGAGTCCCCAAGCCACACAGCCCAGCTGTGTCTGCTGGCGCCTTAATTGGCGACCCAGCGAGAGTGGAGACCAAATCGAGGGGTTGTTGTTGTTGTTATTACTGTTTTTTGGCAGTGATCTCTCCCACACCTCTTCCCATCCCTCACCGGCTGCTGTGAACAAGTGGCAGCATGCAGGGTTTCGTTCCTAATATCTTGTTTTATTTTATTTTATTTTATTTTTATTGAATCACCGTGAGATACAGTTACAAAGCTTTTTTGTTTGAATTACAATCATACAATGATCAAACATCCACCCCTCCACCAGTGCACATTCTCCACCACTAATGTCCCCAGTATACCCCCCCTTTCCAACCCTCCCTTTGCCTCCATGATAGACAAGTTCTCCCATACTCTCTCTCTACTTTTGGATTATGGTTTGCAATACATATAACTGAGAGGTTATCACATTTGGTCCTTTATTTTGTTTCTATGTTTTTGTGAAGAGTCGTATGTTAGGACTCATGGAACATGTAAGATGTGAAAGGCACTTTCTCAGTCCAGTGAAGAGCCTCTGATCAAAAGGAAGACGCTGTAAGGACATAAATTCTGTATCACATGAACAGACTGTGGCCTGCAAAGCCATAAATTATCTGTCACTGGCACACCGTTTCAAAGTGAATTTTATTTCATTTCATTATTTATTTATTTTTGTTTTGGGGGCCACTCCCAACTGTGATCAGGACTTACTCCTGGCTCTGTGCTCAGGGATTACTCCTAGTGCACTCTGGGGTACCAGGGATCAAAACCAGAGTACAAAGTAAGCACCATATACTTGTATTATCTCTCCGACCCCTAACGTTAATTTTAAAACAAGGAACAGAAAGCAAAATCTCCTTTGAGTGGACACAATAAGAATATACATTAGTATGACCAATAAGATAGATTCAAGTAGGTAAAAGAGAAGAAAGGGAAAAAAGGAAAAGAATTAAATTATGTAAGTAAAAGAACCCCCCTTTTTATGGGAGTATTCAATAGACTACAACAATAAGTGTCTGCACAGAATGTTATTGGGGGTAAGACTCCTGGTAGTACTTTGGGAAGGACCACCTGAAATGCACAAGCCCACGCACTTTGATCATCTCCTTTATCCTCTCTAAACTGTTTTAAGAAGAAAGGAATGATGTGGCAAAACAATGCAGAGAAGAAGGCAGAGTAGAAAATAGAAACACAAAGCCAACAATTCATTGAGAAATGCACAAATTTTATGCTATATCATTTCTTACAATATAAGTCAGTCTACATGATTCTTGCTACAATTACTGGCACATTTGTGGATTTGTGGTATTAGAGGTGTAAATAATAGGACAGGGGCCTACAGTAGGTAAGAAAGCCCCTTGCACACAGCCGAACCAGTTTTGGTCTTCAGCACCCCAGATGATCCCCTGAGACCCTCAGGACTGATCACTGAGTGCAGAGACGGAAGTAATCCCAGAGAGTGGGCTGGTGCGGCCTCAAAGCAAAACCAGAAATAAATAAAAGAAATTATTTAGAAAAATAGATCTCAGGAGTTCTATAAACTTGTCTGATTCCACTTTTGTCACTTTAGAGCTGTTTGACTTTGGGGAAGTTCCTAATTTCCTTGCTCATGTCCTCATCCCTATTATGGGAACAATTGTCTTGACTTTATGGTTCTATTTGAGCTTTATATAAGATGAATTACAAGTTACTTAGTTTCATGCCTAGCTCAAACAAGTAATAAATCTATTATAATTACTATTGGCCTGTTTTGATCCTGCTGGTCAATTAAATTAAAGATTAGATTTCCACTAATAGTATTAGATTCCTTTTTGACGTTACAGAATGTACCACATATAGATTTAAAGTTTTACCCCCTCCTTTTCCTAAATGGAGATTTGTATCTGTGGGTGATCCCATACATCCAATGAGAGTCTATTTTGTACCACATTGCCTGAAAGCCTCTGCAAACAAGGGTTTTGCCAAAGCCAGGAAGCAAAAAGTGAGCTCCTCTCCTGCCAGGTCACTTCTAAGCAATTACCACAGGTCAGGGGTAATGCTTTTCTTCTTAATGGTAGTCAATGCCTGCAACACTTCTTAGTTTGCACAGTGCCTTTCACATCCCTTGAGTCATTCACTAATATTCCCCTCCCTCCCCCTCCCCGCTCCCCCCCCCCCCTCCGCCGCCCCATGCTTCCTTCCTCTGACCTCTGGTTATTTTTTGAGTTTGCCAAAGGGACAATCCTAAATGTCAACAGAAAAGTCCACACCAAATAACTAGCTTGACGCTAGCAGGACAGAGAGGTCAAACAAAAGTCAATTTCCTCATCATGCTCTGCCTCTTACCTAACCAAAAAAGGTGGGTCAGCAAGCAGGCCAAGGACCTACTGTCTCCTAGCTTTCAGGTAAACAAAATGCACCTTACCTGCTGACTATATCCCTGACTCAAAGGCAAACCTTTAAGCAGAAACTTCTGAATATCCACCCCTCCCTTTGTAGATACTGTATTTATGTACTAGAAATAAATAGGACTATATCACTGTCACTGTCACTGTCCTCCCGTTATTCATCGATTTGCTCCAGTGGGCCCAGTAACATTGTAAGACTTGTTACTTTGTTTGGCATATCGAATACATCATGGGTAGCTTGCCAGGCTTTGCCGTGCAGGCGAGATTCTCTCGGGAGCTTGCTGGACTCTCCGAGAGAGGCGGAGGAATCGAACTCGGGTCGGCCATGTTGGCTGCATGCAAGGCAAACGCCCTACCACTGTGCTATCGCTCCAGCCCAATAGGACTATATATTTCCTATAAATGAAGAATATATTCTTTTTTTTTCACTGTAAAAATATACAAGTCCACGATACTAAATGATAATAAACCAAATGATACTAAAAAGTATAAGAATTTAAGACAAGAATTGGGGCAAAGAAACTTCATTTTGGGAAATCAATATTTGGTCATCAAAATAAGAATCATTAAAAATTAGGTTACCCTTCATGAAGAAAACAATCCCATTGACAATTGTGCCCCAGAAAATCAAGTACCTAGGAATCACCTTAACTAAGGAAGTAAAGGACCTGTACAAAGAAAACTACAAAACGCTACTTCAGGAAATAAAAGAGGATACGAGGAAATGGAAAAATATCCCCTGTTCATGGATAGGGAGAATTAACATTGTCAAAATAGCAATACTTCCCAAAGCACTGTATAAATTCAACGCAACCCCTATTAGGATACCCTATGACATTCTTCAAAGAAGTGGAGCAAACACTCCTGAAATTTATATGGAACAATAAGCCCCCACGAATAGCTAAAGCAATTCTTGGGAAAAAGAAAATGGGAGGAATCAACCTCCCTAACTTCAAACTCTACTACAAGGCAGTAATAATTAAAACAGCATGGTACTGGAACAAAAGCAGAGCTGCAGACCAATGGAACAGGGTTGAATATACTGACATCTCCCTCAAAGCATACAAGCATCTAATCTTCGATAAGGGGGCAAGAAAAGTGAAGTGGAGCAGGGAAAATCTCTTTAACAAATTGTGCTGGCAAAACTGGACAGCTACATGCAAAAAAAAAAAAATGGGCTCAGATCTCTGCCTAACTCCATGTACAAAAGTAAGATCTAAGTGGATTAAAGACCTCAACATCAGACCGGAATCCATGAGGTACATTGAGGAAAAAGTTGGCAAAACCCTCCATGACATGGAATCTAATGGTGGTTTCAAAGATGTCACACTGCTGGCCAAGCAAGTGAAAACAGAGATAGACAAATGGGACTATCTTAAACTAAGAAGCTTCTGCACCTCAAAAGAAACAGTGACCAAAATACAAAGACTGCCTACAGAATGGGAAAGGAAATTCGCAAATACACATCCGATAAGGGGTTAATGTCAAGGATATACAAAGTACTGGCTGAACTCCACAAAAAGAAAACATTCAACCCCATCAAAAAATGGAGAGATGAAATAAATAGAAACTTTCACAAAGAAGAAATTTGGATGGCTAAAAGGCACATGAGAAAATGCTCCACATCATTAATCATCAGGGAGATGCAGATCAAAACCACAATGAGATATCATTTCACACCACAGAGACTGGCCCATATCCACAAGAACAAAAGCAACCGGTGCTGGCGCGGATGTGGCAAGAAAGGGACACTCCTTCACTGTTGGTGGGAATGCCGACTGGTTCAGCCCTTTTGGAAAACAGTATGGACGATTCTCAAAAAATTAGAAATTGAGCTCCCATTTGACCCAGCAATACCACTCCTGGGAATATATCCCGGAGAGGCAAAAAAG